ACCTCACAGCAAAATGAACAGAAAGACTTCGCGCCAAAATGTGGCGAGACAAGTCTCGCCAAGTTTCGATCAGACTTAGAATTCTCGCCAAAATTTGCCAGACAAAAATGTCTCGCCATTAAATGGCGGAGACGACCATATAAGATCTTTTGAATAGGTAAGCTATAGATACACTGTGGCAGAAAGCTACGGAAAATTCTGTAAACAGCTTGTGGTATTTCTCCGTAGCCCCCTTGTCAGTATTCTACGTATGCTCCTACAGTATTTTCCGTAGGACCGCACAGTATTCTCCTCAAGACCTTACAGTGCTCTCCGCAGGACTATATAGTCTTCCAGACCTTACAGAGAAGACTGTGCGGTCCTACGGAGAATACTGTAAGAGCCTACGGAGAATATTGATAAGAGGGCTACGGAGAATCCTGGCAAAAAAATTAACAGAATTTCCCGTACTATTTTGCCACAGTGTAACAAAAGTAGACATACGTAAAATGACAACAATATTTGTAACAGAGGCTGGAGGGCTTGCCTTGGGAACATGACAGGGAACCTTGGGGTTCAAGGATAGGCCGCCGTACATTATCCTGAAGAGAGAGGGAATGTTGTTCCTGAACGCGGAGCAAGCACCGCTGGGAAACTTGACCACCAATGCGTTTCGCTTCCACTCGTTGTTGTTGCGTACATCCATGCGAACCGCCGTCTGCAAACACTGCTTTGACTTCACTGCTGGCCAAAGTTGTACCGAGGGCCCGGTTAATCACCGCTGTCCCCATTGCGACACATTTGCCCGCATTCAGTGTCGTCTCACGGTTTGAGTGAGCGGAAATCGCAAGCCTTTTTAGCACCATTTGGCGTTGTTTGCCCCTCCCAATCGCTAAATGAGGACTGAAAGCATTGACAAATGTTCAATTAGAGAGCATTACAAGCTGTATTCATGTGTACATCAGAACGAGCAGTGATACACCGGACCCCACCACACGTAACGCACTCACTGAGAATGAAAGAGTCTCCACCGTCGCCCTCGCATTGGGTGACGCACGCACCGTCGCCCAATTTTGGGTGACAAATTGGTGGAGACCTAATTTTGGGCAGTCAAATATTCACCGCTCAAATTCGGGTCTCGGACACAAACGGAAAAGGACCCCGGCAGGCAGGACGTCATGTGGGACGACGACGTCACTCCAATTTGAGCGACGAAAAGCCTGTTACCGAATTTCGGGTGGTGAATTCTTCGTCCCCTAACGCATTAGTCGCATTGCATCACCCAACTCATGAATGGAGATGACACTCACTCAGTCATTCTCAGTATTTGCAAGTGTCGACCAGTCACATCACTCGTGTATCTTGTCAGAACGCCAGAAACCTGTCTGAAAACCTGGTCAAAATTCGCGCACCTCTGAAAGTTGAAAACGTATTCTCACATTCTGTAGATCTCAGGCTATCAATTTTAGAATAAGTTTTCTGAATTTCAGCTTGGTGGTGCGCGAATTTTATCAGGATTTCAGACATGTTTCTGACAATCTTCCAAAATTTACACGAGTGATCCTACGCCTGCAAGTATCGACCACACCTTCTCGTCATCTGTTAAAAGTTACCGCTACGTTTTCCCAGGGGGTGGCAACGGCCTAGGGAGAGCGTGAAGCGATGCTCGTGCCGTCAGTGCAGAGGTTGCGCACTTGTTCGAGATCATGAAAACTAGACAGTGTTTTTCAAAACGCTTTGCACCGATGGAAAGGGCTTCAAATTTAGGGTGCATTAGGCTAATTGCTCTTCTCGAAACTCCCCCCTGACTTTATATTATGGTGCAGTAAAAACACCGAAGAGAAATCATAAAATTCAGGAAAAACCAACTCGAATGCGCCATGTTGATGTTAATGATTCCGCCCTTGTGTTCGGTAATCGGAAGTAGCGGGCAGTCTACTAGGCCTAATGCAACTTAAATTTAGTGCTCTTTTGATCTGCGCAAAGCGTTTTGCAATCAACGGGCTAGATCTTCCAATCGAAGCAAAATAAGTAATCCCTGCACCTTTCTCGCGCATGGCTTCACGCGCTTCCTGGGCCGTTGCCGCCCCCTGGTTTACCCATGCGTTGTCGTCCAGTTTGTACGTCAAACTGGTGTTTCCGGAGATCGTCTGCAGCTTCCACGGCTGAGCGGGGTTGAAGTGACTCGTGCGCATGTACGTGGATGCTGTACCGTTACTAGGGCAACGATAAATTCGCTCCGCGTAAGCTGTGTAGGGCCCCTGCAACGCAATACACTCTCAAAAATGATTTCGGAAATTAACGAACGATTATATGTTGGCTAAAATGAATGACATTTGAGTCGGTTTTGTACGTCCATATCGTTTAAACTCGCGCTGCTCGCTGGGGGCTCCGTCCCCAGACCCCCACATGTGTGGGACGCGTGCCGAAGTGTTTTCAGTAAGTTCGTGGTGACCAAAGGCAAATTTTCTAAGGAAGTAAATGTACTGCTTCTTTGAAAGGTCTATTTAACAGCTTTTGACCATATAATTAAGCTACTTTTACTGCCCAAATAGATAGCTTGTATTGCATTGGCTACTGTGGCAGTCAATGGGTGCATACAAGGTCCGGAAAATATTGAAGACTGCTTTGACAAGGATAGAGGTGAATGGATAAAACCGCAAGTCTCTACGACCACTCCTTGACCCCAAACATTTCTATGAGTGAGTCAGTGAGTGAGTCGCCGCCAGTCAGTCGGATTGGGGCTATATAGATTCTTGATGATGATGATTTACCCAAATGCCGGTGGCGGGGACCCGACTGCTGCAGTTTCGGAAATTCTCGACCAGACCTACCGATGGGGCGAATTTTTAGTCATTCAGTCCCCTTTTAAGAAGATTGAGTAGGTTTGCTCGGAAACGGTGAAAAATTTTCAACTTTTGGGATTTTTCCCAATTTTCCCATTAAATTTGGAATCGAATGGAAAAAGCCGCAAGTCTCTACGACTACTCCTTGACCCCAAACATTTCTATGAGTGAGTGAGTCAGTGGATGAGTCAGTGAGTCAGTCAGTTGGATTGGGGCTATATAGGTTCTTGATATAGGTTCTTGATGAGTGAGGGAGTCAGTCAGTCGGATTTTGGGGCTATATAGGTTCTTGATGATAATTGATGATTGATTTTGAGTATGTTGCCGGTGACGGCGACCCGATTGCGGCACAGTTTCGGAAATGTCTTGACCAGACCTACCGAAAGGGCGAATAAAAATTCTCAGTCGGTCGGTCCCCTTTTTTTAAGATTGAGTGGATTTTGTTGAATTTAGGCCTATTTAATCGTTTTGAGGATGTTGCCGGTGACGGGGACCCGATTGCGGCACAGTTTCGGAAATGTCTCGACCAGACCTATCGATAGGGCGAATAAAAATTCTCAGTCGGTCGGTCCCCTTTTTTTAAGATTGAGTGGATTTTGTTGAATTTAGGCCTATTTAATCGTTTTGAGGATGTTGCCGGTGACGGGGACCTGATTGCGGCACAGTTTCGGAAATGTCTCGACCAGACCTACGGATAGGGCGAATAAAAACATCTTCTGATATTATGTACCAGTTTTTGCCGTTTTTAAACGACTTTTGTCTTGTGTTCACGACTATTGTCATGCATTTATGGCCGACCGTAAATTTACGACTTTAAAGTCGCTATTAAAGTTAGCAGCTAGAAAGTCGTAACTTTTTTCAATTGTTTAGCATCATTTCTAAACGAGTGTGTTGTTCTGAAATATGTCGTAAATCTACGATTATTTTTAACAGTGTACTGATAGGTGAAACCCTATTTTCTGAAGTATTATATGGCAGGGGTTTTGTGAAGAATTTGTTGAGAAGAAATTGACAGCAAGGTGCTGCCAGGGGGTGGCAACGGCCTAGGAAGAGCGTGAAGCGATGCTCGCACCGTCAGTGCAGAGGTTGCGCACTTGTTCGAGATTATGAAAACTAGACTGTGTTCTTCAAAACGCTTTGCACCGATAGAAAGGGCTTGAAATTTAGGGTGCATTAGGCTAATTGCTCTTCTCCAAACTCTCACCTTACCTGATATTAAGGTGCAGTGAAAACACCTAAAAACACGAGAAATCATAAAATTTAGGAAAAACTCGAATGCGCCATGTTGATGTAAATGATTCCACCCTTGTGTTCGGTTGAATTGGAAGTATCGGGCAGTCTACTAGGCCTAATGCACCCCAAATTTTGTGCTCTTTTGATCTGTGCAAAGCGTTTTGCAATCAACGGGCTAGATCTTACAATCGAAGCAAAATAAGTAACCAATGCACCTTACTCGCGCATGGCTTCACGCGCTTCCTAGGCCGTTGCCGCCCCCTGGTGCTGCTGATGCGAGTGAAGAAACTTACATCGCGTCACGCAAACAACATACTCTGATCCCAGTCAATTGCATTCTTATTTCGAAATTGTCAATTACGACCAAATGTCTTATTGCGAGTTTGACCATGGCATCCATTTTAACTCCAACGGGGGTTCGAATACCGTTGCGTTTAAATAGAAACATCATTCCCGAATATTTGAATCACTGTCCAAAAAAGGTACAGAAAAGGTGTGGTCTTTTGTTTGTCTCAACTGTTTGTGCCTGCCAAGCTAGGAACTTCTGTACTTTTTTTCCGTAGTCGTTTACATGAGTTGGGACAAGCATGGATGTCGAAAAGTTTATTCCGTACTATACATTCTTTTGAACATACTCTGTACAAAAGCACAGACTATTATACAGTAATCTTTGTACTGCCACTTTTCCTGTTATTGGACGCGAAACGACAAGGCTATGAAAGCGTTCCACGAAAGCAAACCAAGCGGACAGACGGTCGGGTCCGTGCTGTTTGAACTGTGTGTTTGTGTTTGCCGCGCTAATAGACCCAATTGGCCGAGGTTTCTTCGCCGGCAGCCCCATAATTCAACTTGTCATACTTCGCAGGTTGCGCCGTCATAATTAGCAAGAAATGATGTGTCTAACGTGTCGCGACAGATGCCATGCGACGCATTATTGCCAGCCCGCAGGGCCCTTATATACCCAGCAGGGCCGCATCTCTCCACAGTGTTCGTCAAGTCATTACTGCAGCAACATGACTCGCACCCTTCTCGTCGTCTTGGCCCTTGTGGCGTCCGCTTGTGCCGCGGTAAGTGTGCATCATGCACCGAAAAGTTAAAGGAATCCGCTGCAAAGTATGGCGAGGCAAAAAGTCTTGCCAAGTTTTGGACGGACCCGAAAGTGTAGCCATAATTTGGCCAGACAAAACTGTCTGGCCACAAAATACACACCGATTTCGACGAATGCACAAACGAGCCTATGGCCTGTGCGTCCAAATGTTTGACGATCGAAGCGTAACTTTTATCTCTTTATCAAGGTCTTTTGGCATTAAATAAGACCTTACAGCTTGTTTGAGTCTTCATTCTGTTTGTCACTTTTGTACTTTCGTATCGTGTCCTTTTTTAAAAAAATTATGGGGCTTGTTTCCGGTTTCATAAATTTATCTGTAACTTGAATCTGCAAAAAATTATGATCTCACCACTCTGTCACTGTAAAACTAAGTGCTGAGGTGCAGAATTTTCGGTCTCCGCACATGAACGTGCACAGTTGGCAGTCTCCACACTTCAACTGGGAGTTCTCTACGTTTGGACTGTGCTAAGCGAGAAGGGCTGAGCTACTCCACACTAGAAGTGTAGAGACTGCGAACTCAACACGTCGGGTTTTACAGTGTACCCTGGTGGTCATGTCGTGCACCATGAGCTGAAAATTCCTTCACGGAGCGGGTTTCCGATGTGTAACCTTCTTTCTTGAATTTTTGACGCAGGACAACTACGCTTTCAACCAGATTGACGAGTTGTTCGATCGCATCCAAGTGTGCCTGAAGCCTGTGCCCCAGCGCGGGTTCAGCTACCCCGCCACCGATTGCGCGTACAACGCCCGGAACGCTCTGAGGCACTCCACCAAGGAGTCCCAGGCTGACTCCATCGCCTCGTGCCTGCTCAACTACAGGGATCCCGTCAACGCCGCCGTTGTGGCCACCGCTAAGCAGTGTCTCAGCGAGTCCCTCGCCAAGCCCGTCCAGCCTGCCCTCAAGAAGGTGTGACATGATGGTGTGCCAGAAATCATATGAACTAGACAGCACACACTCTTAAAACCTTACGAAGTATTTTGAGCATACGTATAACAAACTAAAATACTTTCTATACGAAGAAATAGTTTGTAAATTACGAAGTTTTTTCTTTGTAAGCTTACGTTTGCTCAAAATGCTTTGTTCTACAAACTACTTTTCTTTGTAAGGCCCAAATTAGTTTGTAAGGTTTTCTCAGTGCAAGTACTGCATAACCGCAAACTCCACACCAGGGGGTGATGTGGAGTTTCCCTGACAAAGTCCCGAGTTCTCCAAACTTGCTTGACAGTGTGCTTTGACCTGATTCTTCCGTGCCGCAGGCTTCCTACAACATCAGGCAGCTGGATGTGATCGAGAGCCGCATCAAGGCGTGCCAGTCCGGCATCGTCGAGACCGCAACCTCCACCCCCGCAGCGTCGTGCCGCTTCGAAGCCCGTGTCAAGGCCGGCAAGGGCTACCCCAAGGAGTCCCTTGTCGACTTCCTCGTCCCTTGCCTCACCGGCAGGAACATTGACGCCACTATCGTTTCAGAGGCTCAAGCATGCATCGCCGCATCCCTTGCGAAGCCTCTTTAAGCCTGGTAGGTTAATCACCAATGACTAAAGCGACGATGTCTACCTTTCATTGCTATTAATAAAACAGTTAAAATATTTAATCTGAGCTTTCCTCTCAAATGAACCTATCGACGAAGGGAAAAGTTTACTCATCAATCCTGTGGTGTCGGTCGAAAAATAAGCCAGCCAGACACTGTCGCGCTAATACTGCAAATCCAACGGCGTTGCTTTCACTGAGAATGAAAGAGTCTCGATCAATAACCAATTTTGGGCGAGGTACTATATCACCCGAATTTGGGCGAGGAAGGATCCAAATTTGGGCTGGGAAGGGTGTATCACCTACGCTACGTGTATGGCTACGAAGTCTTATTACCCAAATTTGGGTGAGGAAATCATCCTCACCCAAAATTTTAGTCGTGATCATGACTTATTTATTTTCAGTGTAAGTATCTTCTTTGGCGATAGAATTGACTGTCGCCTAGAAACGGCCTTACCGTAAACCGGGGTAACTCGAGACAATATTTCTCGTTTTTCGGAGACTTTAACGTCTTGCCAAGTTTTGGTCTGACCTGAAAATCGCGCCAAAATTTGGTCAGACCAAAAAGTCTCGTCACAAAATGGTCAGACACGAAAGTCTCGCCACAAAATGGCGAGACTTTGGTGTCTGCCCATTTTGTGGTAAGACTGTTTTGTCTGACCAAATTTCGGCGATACTTTTAGATCTGACCAAAAACTTGTTGACACTTTGTGTCTCGCCTCTGGAGTGGCGAAAAGTTTGACCTTTGAATTTGTAGTGTCGGTGCTCCGGCCGCCCACCAGGCCAAATTGTGGCAAGCTGGCGAGTACTTTAAGAGCCAGCCTTGCCAATTTCCAGCATTAAAACCGGCTTGCCCATTTTGTGGCTTTTAGTCCCCACACTTGAAGTGTTAAGACTAAAACTCCCACAACTGTGTATTTCAAGTGTGGAGGTTTGCGCACTTGGTTTCACAGTGGCCAGCGCCTCTGGCTAGGTGTAAACGCCTGGCGAGAATGGGTGGAACTGGGATCTGGAGCAGCATCACCAAGCAGTCTGGCGTACTTCTTCTCAGTTAATAAAGTACTCGCCGCAAACGAATGGTAGTGATCCCCAGCTTTCGACTCGGCGCGGTGGAGGAGCAGTATAAGATACCAGATCTTGAATGCTTGCATTCTTCGACCTGCAATTTGAAATCTGACTTGACCTTGACGTTCGTAGACATAATATCGGCCCACGCTGATGAACACTCACTCATGAAACGACAGTTGAGAGGTACAACTGAACTCAAAGCTGCAGCTTGCGGTGCGGTCAATTACGTTCCGACGGGAAATGATACAGTTCATTTGGTTCTCTTCCTGTCGCGCCAGTGGACGGATCAAAATCCCTACCACTATTGATTGTCCTGAAGTGAGGTACATTGCATTCAGTTCACACGCCATCTGATCTGAAGCCCTCAGTTTTCCCGGTTAGCGTCATGGACTGATACGTCAAGGGGCAAAAGCACGGGACGGGCCGTAGTTGATTGGTATCGCCACTTTTGGCGTTGACGTATCAGTCCATGACGCTCACCGGGAAACTGAGGGCTTCAGATCAGAGCGTTGGGGTTATTATTTTAGGTCACCTGAAACCCTGAGATCCATGTACCATAATTTGACGAAACTTTGTGGGCGTGATCCTAACGTAGCAAAGATGTTAAAAACTTTTCTAAACCTAGGTTCAGAAAAGTTTTTAACAATTTTGGTCGGCCCAGAAAGCTTAAACCACGTAGTTTGTAAAAAAATGTTGAAACCTTCACTATGTTTATGTCTCCTTAGGTCCACCTACCCTGTAGATTTGCCTTCTTAGTCGTACTGAGAACAAGTCACTAGTTCCGGGAGCATGGACCAAAATATTCGTTTTTCACAAATATTAAAAGAAAAAAAAATCAGAGTTTTACGATGATTTTTTTTTAAAGGAAGGTTCTGTAGTGGTCTTCTACCCTGAATTCGTTTTGGGTTTGGCAATCGGAAAACAGAATAAAGGTGTGTTTTTGCACTTCATGGCCCACAGTATCGCCATTTCGAGTCCGACTTCGTGACCGCCTTGATACTTTTTGTTCGCGACTCGTTTGATGTAAGGTGGAGTCAAATCGCACCCAGATCGGTCATTTGATGTTACTTATCTCATTTTGAACAAAGCATATCTACAATGCCTTCAGGGGGGACCCTGGTGAAAAAATCGCCAAAAATCCAAAAAATTGTATTTTTAAAGTTTATAGATAAAAATGTGCATAGAAGGTTTCAAATTAAACAGGTTGAACACCTTTAAGCTAAGTGGGTAGTTTCTTTATCATTTGGCAGGGAATAACATTGAGATCAGTTGTCGTTGGCTTCTACGCGCAACTTTGCTCACAGATTTGCTCAGTCGACAAAAAATTTTGTCGTAGAAAAACTTCCTGCGTTCCTGGTTGACACCTACATGAGTCGTCTTGCATGGACTCTATTCATTGATGACTTGTCGACAAATTTTAGTGACGGAATCTTGATACCAACCCTACTTTTTTTAAAACACACCTAAAAGTTTGAAAAAAGGGAAAAAAATCACTTTTTCTTAAATGTTGAAATTTGAAAACTCATATCTCAGGACAGAAGTTGAATTTGAAAATTCCGTCACTAAAATCTCTTCTACACATCTTTGGGATAACCCAAAAAAATATTCAAGACTTTCCGCCCCAATGACAGACGCAGGAAGATTTTTCCCCAACGCTCCAAGAAACACTGAAAAGCCACTTTTCTCAGAGACCGTTCAACAGTTTGGATTGAATTTTGTTTAGGGAACTCACCACAATGAACCTCATAATTAAGCAAAGTTTCAACTTTCTGGGATTATTTTGAAGCCTACTTAAAATTTTCACCAGGGTCTCCCTTAACTTACCTCGTGGTGAGAAAAAATCACAGTACATTCTGGAGTGATTAGTACAGCTGTCACTGTAGTTCAGAGTACAGGCTTTACTGTACTTTTTTACAGGATCTACTGTACCCTGTGCTTGATTTACTGTACACTGTAAAAATTAATATCCGGAATAAACGACGGATCCTTCGGCATAAAAATTGCCAACGGTTCCTTCGTTAATTTACGAAGCTCTTCGTATATTTACAAAAACCTTCGTTCATTTTTTTTAAGATCTCTGCCGATTTTACAATTACCATGGAAATTTACGAAGCACCTTCGTAAATCTATAAAGATCCTTCGTAAATTTACACGGAACCTTCGTTTAAAAACAAAGAACCTTCGTTAATATACAGAGATTCTTCGTAATTATACGTCTGGAATTAACGACGGATCCTTCGGCAAAAAAAATTGCCAACAGTTCCTTCGTTTATTTACGAAGGTCCGCCGTAGATTTACGAAGACTCGTCGTAGATTAACGAAGCACGTCGTAAATTTACGAAGCCCTTCGTAAATTTACAACAAATTTTGTAAATTTACGATTTTTCTTCGTAAATTTACCAAGAACCTTCGAAAATTAACGACGAACCAACGTTGATTTACAAAAGTTCCTGTAGGAAAGACAGTGCACTTTTGGACATTCCCAAAAACCCTTCGGAAAACATTCCGTCGTAAATTCACAACATATTTTTTACAGTGTACCACAGGAGTGGAGTACGGAACATTGTACCTGGTACAGTAAATACTGTAGCCAGGCACAGTAAATTCTGTTCTGAACCACAGTAAACCCCGGCAAAAAATTTACGGGATTCACTGTGGATTATTCGCACAGTGTCCAAGGCAGACCCTTCGTACACACTAAATTACTTTGTACTTTTTGGTGCATAAGCTTTGCACAGAATTGTGCATGCACCAACTCGTTCTCAACCAAGTACTAAATTGTGCTTTGTTCCGCATCAGTTCGTGCAGGGGGTGGCAACGCTGTACACGTTTTCTGACGCCATGTTCGCCCCCCCCCCCCCTGAATCATGGACCTTTCAAAGAAGTTACTCTGTGAGCCTTTCAAAGGAATCGCATGAAACTTGAGTGCGGTATCAAGTTGAAAGGTAATATTAACGTAATAACTAAATGTGAGCACCCTTACGATCATTTCATCCCTTGAAACCGCATCGCCAAAACAAGAGAAAAATGGGGTTTCGCTAAAAACGCTACAAGAAAAGTGCCTACTTATATTTTCAAGACGTTAATCTTGGAAAGTTTTAGAGTCTTTGAGTTGGAACCTGGCCTAAACACTTCCTCAATTCATATATTATCGTAATAACAAAACAGCTTAGCTCTACTGGACTTAGTACTTTAAATCTAGTCGAAGTAAATTAATGTGGAGGGAGGAGGGGGGGGGTCGAACATGGCGTCAAGAAAGATGATGTAGGGCGTTGCCTCCCCCTGGTTCGTGCGTTTCACGCGCATAACCAATTTTGTTAAAAAAAAAAACTATGATAGAGTTCACATCCTGTGCCCTTGAGTGTAAGGGTCTGAGTCCGCAATTATAATTCTCGAACCGTGTCACGACCAATGAAATGCAACAGGTTCGCCATCATACACACTAAATGTCATGGGACTTTTTTTGTCCCACGGTTTATGCAATTTTAAGCACATCCGACGCTGATACAATTTTGTTCCCGTCTGGTGACACATTTCGTCCGGCGCCAGCTGCAACTTGTACTTTCACTAGACAATTTGTCCCGCCTGGCGGACACAAAATTGCATCACCACCGGATGTGCTTAAAATTGCATAAACCGTGGGACAAAAAAAGTCCCATGACATTTAGTGTGTAATGACATTTTAGGTTTAGAATGAAAGAAAATAAGTGGTTCAATTATAATAATCTTAATGCACCACGTTTTTCTCTCAACGCAACACTAAGAATAACGCTGGTGAAGATATTTACAAAAGCATAGAAACAAATAAGATTGTTAAGGGGTCTACAACTGCAAGTCAGCCACCGGTGATCAAAGGACTGTTGGCGAAAGAATGAAAGGACTGCCGAACGCCGCAGAACATTACTCCAAATCTTAAGGCAATTCCTTCGCCGCAGAACAGACCTCAAAATCTAAAGACGATACTTTTGGTACCGTTTATGGCGACACAATCGTGTTTCGCCAACAGAAGGCCATACACAAAATCTTCTCTTCAAAGAGGCAAAACAGAGTGAATGCCAAATTATAATTATATATTGCCATATATGGCAAAACTCATCAGTAAAACTCTGAATATTTCGGCGACAATTTTGTAAATCGCCTCTTTGGAGGTAAGACTTCCTGTATGACCCTTGTTGTCGAATTGTATCGCCAAAACAGAAACTGGAGTACCGCCTTGGGATTTGGAGTGAGGTCACTTCATTGAAGCGAGTAGAGGTCGCCGTCCCTAAATGAAGCACAGCTCGAGGGACGGCCGCATGATGTTGAGTTCCCGCACCACGAAGGACCTTGCGGACGGTTCTTCCACGCGGATCGAGAGCTCTTCCAGCGCGGGCACCGTGGCGGCAGACCAGCCTCGCAGCACCGCCTCGTAGTCCGTGGCCACGTCCAGCACGAGGCTCTCCACGGCGGGCAGCGCCGCCAGGAGCCTCTCCACGAGCGCCGGCCGCACGCAGAGGGGCGCGGACGGACGCACCGCCATACTGTGGACACCGCCCAGCACGCCTCCCAGGTCGAGCAGGCCCGCGAAGTGGTCCTCGGAGAGCAGGGGCACATTGACGTGCGTCTTGACCGACGTCGGCCCTTCGGACTGCGTCCACCTCAGCCACGCCACCGCTGACTTGCGGAAGAGGTCGGCGATCCTGACCCACTGGATCGCAGGGAGCCGCGGGAGCACCTCGGCCAGGCCGGTGCAGGAGGCCACGGAGAGTGTGTCCAGCCTGGTGCAGTGCTGCAGCACCCGCGAGAAGGGTTCGCAGCGTTCCAGTTTGACCTCGCGGAGGGTGTCCTTGGAGGACATGATGATGCTCCTGGCGGTGTCAGTGCTGAAGCGATAAGGATGGACCAAAATGAAGTTCTCCAGGCGAAGCAACTCGAACGAAAACCCCCGAGTGGGCGAGTCGAAGTTCACCTTTAGGGTTCTAAGCCCCCGGAGCTGGTCTATGCCTCTCAACACAGGTGCGAGGTCACTAGTGCTGCAACAGCGAGTGATGGTGATGGAGAGTGCTTGAAGACTGAAACAACGCCTGCCCAGTGCGCGCTGTATCATCTTGTTGGACACACTGCTGGCCACAAACGTCAGGTGCAGGGAACGAATCTGCATAAAGAACACAAAAATATGCCCAAATTGTAGGTACACAGTACATTACGTGCTTTGCGGATCTAAGTGCATAAGCTCTGTACAAGACCGTGCCTGCGTTTTAATATGCACGAATTTGCACTGAGAAAACCTTTTAAAAGACACTACAGTGTCACTTTTCTCAGAGGCCGTTCAACATTTTGGATTTTCATTGAATTTTGTTCTGGAAACTCACCATGATGAACCCAATAACTAAGCAAAGTTTCAACTTTCTGGGATTATTTTAAGGGGAGGTTCTGGTGAAAGTGCTATTTTTCCTAAATGGGTCCCTCTGTGAAAATTAGTTAAAAATTTGATGTCTTACCAAGCAATTATTAAAACTGTGCCAGTCCCATGTGCCAGTCGCAGTCCTTTTTCTCCTATTTAGGCTTTAACTTTACAAATCTTCTTGCGCATACTATTTTGTCGTAAAAGGTTGGCCTTGACATTTTTCACTTCTTTGATTCATTTTTAAAAGATGCCAGCATGCACAACTCAAAATCTAAATTACGCTTTTATTTGCAAGCTTTCTAACCAAGCATTTCACTATAATTGATAAAAAAGGTACAAAATAGTCAAATTTTAGGGACTTTTCAGCTTAAAAAGCTTACAATTAAAACTGTAATGGAAATTTTGAGCTATGCATGCCGGAATCTTTTGAAAATGAATCGAAGAAGTGAAGAATGTCAAGGTCAACCTTTTACCACAAAATAGTATGCGCAAGGAGATTTTTTAAGATACAGCCAAAATAGGCTCAAAAAGACTCTTCAACTGGGTTCAAACGTCAAATTTAAGTCTCCTCGAAGAAAGATTTTATATTCCGAACGAATTATGACAGTGGGATCCATTTGGAAAATGGCAAGATTTTCACCAGAACCTCCCCTTAAAGCCTACTTGAAAGTTTCATCCCCTTGGGCCGTTCCAGGGACGTGAATCATTTGAAACTTTTGCCTTTGTTTCCCCAGTGTGCATACAGGTCTCGGTGTTCCCTACCTCGCAGCGCCCTTCTGCGAGCGCCTCGAGGCCGACGAGTCCCCTGAGGGGCGGGTAGGCCATCTTGAGCACCAGCCTGTCGAGGGCGGGCGCCAGCCGCAGGATGGCCGCCAGGGGAACCGTGTCCTGCACACACTGCAATAAAAAGTGTGAATAATTCAACAAAAACTGTACAACTTGAGTACCACGGGGACTGTAGAAAGTACAACGAGAGTTGTGAAACCCACAACGAGGCCTGGACTGCACTGGTAAAACTAAAGCGTAGTATTACCCACTGTTTTTAAGCGTAATCAGTTCACGCTTGAAATCAAGCGTAACAGGCTCATCCGCCAAGATTTCCCCTATCTAAATGCATGGGGGAATTTCTAGCCTATGCTTGATTTCAAGCGTAACGTCTTCAAGCATAACTTTATGCTTGGCTCAAGCATAGAGTTACGCTTTAGTTTTACCAGTGTGCACTCGTCATGCTGGTGATTATAAAACTGACAGGAATTTTTGTGGGTTTGAAGTGGTTTTTTTTTCTAGCAGTAAATATAAAGTCTGTGAGCCTCAACCCGTTAAAATAGACCAGAATTCAGACTAGAATTGAATCTCTGGTGCTTCCACCCAGAAGTGACACGAGCGCCCTCAGAAACAGTCAAGGCTACGAGATAAAGTAGGGGAATTTCTAAAATTAGCCACATACTATCTACTTTCAGAAATGGTTTCCTACCAACCACCAAGCCAGAGCCAAAGTGTGAAATGAGGAAGCATTTGAACTTCTAAGTGTCAAAAATCGACGTATTTTGCACCCAAAGGGTAATTTACCACTTATGAAGTTCGAATACTTTATCATCCATGTCATGGAATGTGCTGACATTTTTGTTTGTTTTGTCCACACAAATCCGTTTCTCCACATAAATGTTCATTTGGTCAGTTTAGGAAAGTCATCTCACGACATGTGTTCCTCCTTCACTGTATCTGAGAACACCTGTGTTATTTCTGCGACCACCAAAATCAGATTCATATGCTGGCGTTTTCTATCGAGAAACGTGATGCACTCTAAATGTCTTACGAAGAAATTTCCCATAATACGAAGGAAATGGCGCCACCATATACACTGGTAAAACTAAAGCGTAACTCAATGCTTGAGCCAAGCATAAAGTTATGCTTGAAGACGTTACGCTTGAAATCAAGCATAGGCTAGAAATTTCCCCATGCATTTAGATAGGGGAAATCTTGACGGATGAGCCTGTTACGCTTGATTTCAAGCGTAAACTGATTACGCTTGAAAACAGTGGGTAATACTACGCTTTAGTTTTACCAGTGTACGAAGGTGGTTTATCTTCGTATTGCGAAGGGTTTTCTTTTTACACTCTCAGCACGTTACTGACTTTTTCCTCATTAATTACGTATTCGTTTAAACAGTAATAGTACATGGTATTTTTTAAGTATGACCAACATCCTTTGTAAAATTATGTGCAAAACAAAATTCTCAGTACATTATTAAATGTTTCCTAAGTAGTTCTTTAAAAAAAAGGAAAAGTACGTATTATGGTTGCACAAATTACGTGCATAAGTACTGACAAAATGAGCAAAAAGTCAATAACGTGCTGAGAGTGTATCTTACAATGAAAATGCTAAGAAGATTCGTATCACAATGAAACAGGGCTTCGTATTATGCTTTGTGCTTGCGCCGAATTCATTGAAACACATAAGAGTAACAATTCTGAAATTTCATTGGAAGACACTTAGAGTGTGGGCCTTTCAATGTACCGTCGGGATGGAGAGGCGGCGGTGGCGCCACACGGCCTTGGCCATCACCCGGTTGCTCCAGCGGCGGCCCAGCAGACGCAGCGACAGCAGCTGCGTGGTCGGCACGTAGGCCAGCACCGCGCCCAGCACGCTTTCCGGTAGAGACTCGAGCCAGCAACGGCCGTCCTGGGTGTGCTGCGGGCGGGGGAGGGAAATCAACACACCGCTAACAAGGTAAAACTGAAGCAGAACGTTACGCCTTCCTTGAAGCGTGCACTGGTAAAACTAAAGCGTAACTCTATGCTTGAGTCAAGCATAAAGTTATGCTTGAAGACGTTACGCTTGAAATCAAGCATAGGCTAGAAGTTCCCCCATGCATTTAGATAGGGGAAATCTTGGCGGATGAGCCTGTTACGCTTGATTTCAAGCGTAAACTGATTACGCTTGAAAACAGTGGGTAATACTACGCTTTAGTTTTACCAGTGAAAACGGTAATATCAGCACAGTAATTAGCAATTGCTAAGTAATACTGACAAAAAATACTAAGTATTATGGTTGCTTACAGAAATGCGTAAGCTAATGAGAAAAAGTCAGTAAAAGGCTGAGAGTTCAGGTCGGCTCCAGGTGGAGTGTACTTGTAGGCATGCCTCAACCTGAAGCATGCTGTATCGACACTTGCGTTTGTAGAGTGTATGAAACTTATACACTGGTAAAACTAAAGCGTAGTATAACCACTGTTTTCAAGCGTAATCAGTTTACGCTTGAAATCAAGCGTAACAGGCTCATCCGCCAAGATTTCCCCTATCTAAATGCATGGGGGAACTTCTAGCCTATGCTTGATTTCAAGCGTAACGTCTTCAAGCATAACTTTATGCTTGACTCAAGCATAGAGTTACGCTTTAATTTTTCCAGTGTTCTTAGTAAATTATAAAGAAACTTTTAAGTATTTAAGAACTTGATACTAAGTATTATGGTTGCTTACATAAATACGTCTGCTGATGAGAAATAGTCAGTAAACGGCTGAGAGTGTGGTTGACTCCACCAAACGCTTGAGACACAACGCTCAGAGGACCGTGACACTATTCACATTCGTTACAACGTGATGACACGTTCCCGCTGTGCAAGTCCAGGCACCATGGAGTGTACTTGCAGGCATGCTTCAACCTGAAGTATGCTTCAACCTGAAGTTCAAACACAACTTCAGGTTGAAGCATGCCTGCAAGTACACTCCATGATGGAGCACATATGCTTCCCAAGTACAGGCAAGGTAGCGTGTACCTGCAAGCACACTGTTGCTCTATGCAAAAGGTACGGGACTTAAGCAAGCAAGCATACTCCAGCCCAGCGTGGATAGTACATGCCAGGTTGATTCCAGGTGGAGTGTACTTACATGCATGCTTCAAACTGATGCATGGTATGTAGACACTTGACTTGGTAGAGCAATTAGCAGCGATAAAAAGGCTAATGTGATTCCTCCAAATTATCTGGTAACATGGTAAGAGTTTGGTCCAGATGGGTAACACCAAAAAATAATTTTGACTTACGAGAAGCAACCGTAGCGTGCTTTACCGATCAAGATTTCTACAGAGTTTCGTGTTTCATGACCTTTTGAAGTGCGCAGGAGCCTCTCACCTCAATCCCGGATTGCGTTGGATCTTCTGTTTCGGCCCGCAGGTCTGTGCCCAGAATTTCGACGCTGCCGTCACTAAAACTCTCTCTCTGCGGCTGGTCTGAACAGAGCTGATCAGGGTGCTGTAACAGACGCAAGATTGAACAATCAACAAACCTTGCACACGAAACTCTTGTGGATATGCATAGTTTTGCATAATAATGTATTCACAGATGCGTAAGTAGGTCGTGCATAATATTATGCATCATTGTGTACACATGTTATGCATCTTCCCGCATAAATTGTACGTGTTTACGCAACTGTGCACGCATATTTATGCATGAAATATTCATAACTGTGCATTAAAAACGTCTACAAGAATTTGAGGTGAGTTGTTACCGAGAGCATCGTCATAAAATGAAGGGATTTTGATCACTTTCCAATGCGATCGGTTGTGGTGCAATTTCAGTAAAAAATTTAAACCGTCAGAAATTTCAGTTAAATAAATTCTTAAGAACACGTTGAATAACGTGGCTCAAACTCAAACTCGGCCTCAACACATTGAATAGGTTTCGGCTACGGTCACTAGAAAAAGTAAGGGACACACACAAACCCTGGACTTGTCTTCACGGGAACCGGGAGTGGAGATTCCATGGTCCTCGGTGTTGCCTCTGTTCACGTGACGGCCATGAGCAGGGACTTCATTGGTCTCCGCATTCCCAGTGTCCATGTCGGCATGACCTCGATGCCAAATCTCACGGTCTCTGACGTCATCTCCATGAAGAGCCTCTTTGTCCGGCCACGCGGTGGTCATGCTAATGCCAGCATTTTCATGTGGGATCTCATTGACGCTGACGTCGTCCGAGCTGTTCACACCCAAGCGTATCAAATGGGTGTCATCGCTTTCGTCCGAGATCTTCAGACGGCTGGCGTTGTCTATGTCAGCCCCATGGAGGGACATTTCATGACTGGCCTTGTCCATGTCAGCCTCATGGAGGGTCATTTTATTACTGGCCTTGTCCATGTCAGCCTCATGGAGGGTCGTTTCATTACTGGCCTTGACCAAGTCAGCCTCATGGAGGGTCGTTTCATTACTGGCCTTGTCCATGTCAGCCTCATGGAGGGACATTTCATGAATCCCGTCGGTGTCGATATCCGTCTCCATCTCTGAATCATGCTGCGACATTACATTGACCTCTACATTTTCCAAATCTACAGCAGCGTACGGCAGCGTGATCTCTGAGACTGCGGCGTTGTCGATGTAAGTCCCTCGCTGACAAATCCCATGGAGACTGACGTCCATGTTCATGTCAACGCTATGAGTCGACATGACATGTACTCCTGCACTGTAGGTGTGATCACCGAGGTGCGAAGTATCGTCGTCGGGCTCGTCCTGCTGGTCAAGCTCCTGCTTGAGAACGCCGGCGAAAACAACACCTGGTCCCAGCGCGTCGTTCTGGGCATCCGCTTCGAGATCGTCGCGAGTCATTTCACCTCGGGCATCTTGAGGCTCTCTGCGTTCCTGGGCAAGCGAAACATTTGTGACAATATCCATTACGGCCAGATCTTGCATACGAAAAATCAGTGCACTGTACACTCTCTAAACCTTGCGAAGAATGTGTTCGCATTACAAATCATACTTGATTTGCAGCTTGTGAAGAGATTGAATTGGTTGTATTGCGAACTGGTAGTTCGCTATTTGGCGAACAACATGTTTGCAAGTGTTCGCGACACAAACAGGTTGTTCGCATGTTGCGAACTACTGATTTACACAACGTATGCGTTTTCCACATTGCGAACAAGTCAGATTCCTCGCAAGCTGTCAAACACATCGGTTCGCAAGGTTTTTAAGAGTGTACAGATTTGAACGAGACGTAATAGTTTTTGGCACAACTGAACTTGGCCTACGACTTATGTGCGAGAAACCGCACATTATTCACAAATTTTGTAAACTCTTCGCAAGCTGCAAACCATATGGTTTTGAAATGCGAACGCGTACTTATCGCAAGGTTCTTTCCCGCCCTTGAAGGGCGTAATAATGCAATGTCTTTCGTAAGGGCATAATGTGCCTTAAAGAAGTTAACTAATTCACGTCCATTCCTTGAGCACAAACTAATTTACCCTCATCGAAGGGTGTACATGATTTAAGCGATGTTAAGCTATAATTTTGATAGCTTTGTTCTACGGCTTCTCCCCCCCCCTTTCCTCACACAATGTACGTAATTAAGAGAGAGAGAGAGAGAGAGAGAGAGAGAGAGAGAGAGAGAGAGAGAGAGAGAGAGACCATTTTCACCGTTTCTTCCCGAGGGCCGTCCTTGCTTTCGGGTTGACACCGATGGACCTCCTCGAAGATCTGCTCGACAGCTTTCTGCAGGACATCACGGATGCGGTTCACGCAGGCCGACCGCGCACGCACCGCCAGCAAGTCCTCGCGGCCTGCCGCAGCGTTGGTCCAGGTCCTAAGAGAAAAATGTTCACAACAAAAATTCTCACGTAGCTCAATTGAACAAACCTTGAAAAGAATTTACGCGAAGTTTCAAAGAAAACACAAGTTGTTTGCACAGCAGAGAATTTTTCTCCTTGCAATGCAAAGAAATTTCTTGGCAAGGTTACATAAGAAGTTTAGCAACAAAAATTAATTTTTGAACAAATTTATTTGCATTATACAAACTTATTCTTCAAATAAAACAATTCGCAGTTACGTATGAATTCCTTTGCAGCTTCAAATAAATTTCTTCATATCCTAGAAGCCAATGTCATAGGTAAAATATTATCAGTCGTTTAGACAAACAAATGATATGGTACAAATGTATAACTCAGTATCTTAAAATTGAAGTCCTTCTGTGGGATTGTCAAAGGCTTCGTGCGAAAAAAAATAGAAAATATTCCTCTAAATTTACAAAGAAATTTCCTTGCAAATCTACAAAGAACGGGGTACGCAGACTTAAAAAGAAATTTCTTTACAAATCTGCGAAACACTTAAGGCCAGGGACAGGTGAAAAAATGAAGAAGTTCGGTGAAATTGAATGAAATGAGTTCTGGCTGGAAAATGGTCCTTTGGACCTTCCTCTTTCAGGATCTGTCGGGACTTCGACTATCCGGGACCTGGAAGTGCTTAAAATACATCTTTTCGCACACTCCTGCATTTACGACACTTTAGAAAAATTGTCCGTTTTGCCATCAAGGGGGGAGGGGGGGGGGAGTTCTAGCGAAAATCTTGCCATTTTCAAAATGAACCCCACTGTCATAATTTGTTGGGAATATGAAATCATACTTCAAAGAGACTAAGATTTGATTTTTGAAGGCATATGCTAGGTCTTGAACCCAGTCGAATTGTCTTTTTTGGACTGTTTTGGCTTTATTTAGCCGTATCTTGAACAATCCTCTTGCGCATACTATTTTGACGTAAAAGGCTTATCTTCACATTTTGCACTTCTTCGATTCATTTTAAAAAGATTCCAGCATGCCTAGTTCAAAATTTCCATTATATTAGTAATCACATGCTTTTTTCATCTAAGAAGTCACTAAAACTTGTCTATTTTGTACATTGTTGATCAATTTAAGTGAAATGCATGCTTTAGAAGCTTGCCAATGATAATGTAATGGACATTTTCAGTTGTGCATGCTGGGATCTTTTAAAAATGAATCGAAGAAGTGAAAAATATCCAGGTCAACCTTTTACGACAAAATAGTATGCGCAAGGAGATTTTTTTGGCTGAAAATCCATTAAAATCTGTCACCAAACTTTAAACGCCCTTTTCTCCGAAGACATTTTTTTAACATTTGAATGGTCCTGTGCGCATACAGTTTGAAGTGTCGTCAATGATATTTTTTCCACTGACTCAGTAGGCTATTGCGAGGAAACGCAAGTGACAGTTTTTGTATATTCCACCCAGAAGTATGTTTTTGGATATCGGTTTTTACAAAAAGAGGGAAAATCTTTGGTTTTTGAAAAATATCAAAATTGAAAAGTTGGTATTTTGCTATCAGTGCCGGAAACTAAAATCTGTCACTTGCGTTTGTTCTTTGGACTTAGACGAACAAAAAAATATGTCGGTCAGGTCAATAACCCAAAATGGGAAACGCACAGGAATTTTTTAACAAACACTTAAAAAATTATAAAAAAGCCTGTATCTCAGGAACCGCTTGATATTATGGGATGGGATTTTGGGTGAAATAGTTTATCATCAAGAGTAAGATTTTGACAGAAAATAAGAAGTTTTGGACCAGCAGTTTCTGAGATCATTTTTTCACCTGTCCCTGGCCTTAATACAGATACTTGCACAAAAAATTCTTCATACACTTGTGACGAACTTGTTTGGATTACAATGACCCTATCTTTGCAGTGTGTAAAGAAATTTCTTTGAAATGCGAACACTTTTTTGGCTAACTCTTTTTTAGTTCTGGCAACACCAAGAATAAAAGAGTCTTGATTGATACCATTATTTACCGAGAGGTATTCTTTACCACCCGAATTTGGGTAAGGGTTATACAAGAACCTACTTTTTGGCCCGTCCCGTTTATTTTTTGTAAAAAATAACAGAAAAAGTAGCGATATTCATCGTCAACTTTGGCCTGTCCCGTACATTAAGAAACGTACAAATTTCGCCTATGTTTGACCCTGACGGGAATTAAACCTGAGTCTGGGGTTAAAATAAATGTAGTTTTCGTCATCAGCACCCTCAAAAGCATCAGAAACAATGCGAACACTCGAATAAAAAGAATGTTCAAAATATACACCACTGGGATTTGAACCCGGGTCCAAACTTCTCCGATTTGCTTGAAATTGGCACCATTGGTTTTGTCTTGTCACCCCGATTCCAAAAATACCCCTACATGCCCTGCTAGCTGTATCCGTTGCCGAAATCCTCCTCGACCCCATGTAGACCATGATGCACCTGCAGCAGCGCCCCCGGGGCTCGGATCGGATTTGCTGCCACCGGGCAGTTCTTAGGGTCACCCAAGGAGGCTGCATACCAAATTTGATCAAGATCGGACCACGGGAAGTCCCGTCCCGTTTATTTTTTGTAAAAAAATGACGGAGGGACGGGCATATAGTATGATCCCTGCTGTCCGTCCGTCCGTCCGTCCGTCCTAGGACTTTCCGTGGTCCGATCTTGACCAAATTTGGTATGCAGCCTCCTTGGGTGATCCTAAAAACCGCCCGGTGGCAGCAAATCCGATCCGAGCCTCGGGGGCGCTGCTGCAGGTGCATCATGGTCTACATGGGGTCGAGGAGGATTTCGGCAACGGATACAGCTAGGAGGGCATGTAGGGGTATTTTTGGAATCGGGGCGACGAGACAAAACCAACGGTGCCAGTTTCAAGCGAATCGGAGAAGTTTGGACCCGGGTTCAAATCCCAGAAGGGTGTATTTTGAACATTCTTTTTATTCGAGTTGTTCCATTCTTTCTGATGTTTTTGAGGGTGCTGAGGGTTTTTGAGGGAATTAGGACAAAATAGAACACTGATTTGGCTGAACTATGAAGTTGCTTACAAAACTGCAAAAAAGGGCAACCAAAATTGTAGTCAAACAACAATTTAATTACACACCCGAAGTGTGCTTGCTTTTTGCAAACGGAAGTACAATTTAAGTTCTGACTACAGTGGAGTTAGAACTGCATTTAAGAACTGCACGTGAGACTGCAATTAAACTATACCTGTACTGCTGTTGAAAATGCCCTCTAGGTTCTACGACGGTTCACCTAAACATTTTCGCCCAAAACCGGGATGCCTAAGTATTTTTTGCCGAAAATTAAAATTTGTCATGTGACCTAAAAATGTTTCCCCGCACAAAAAGTGCTTTGTCCAGTGTTTCATTGTAGAGACGCCAGCCGCCCACTGGTGAAACAAAGGCATTAAAATTATGCCCTTTCAGGGCGTAAAAGATTTATGCCCCTGGAGTGGCGTGAATTGTTAATGCCTTTCGGAAGGGCATTAACACGAGTGTAAATTCATTCAGGAAGTCTCTCAGGGAAATTCACTCTGAAAATTGTCTGAGTGACAAATCCTGAGTCATTTTCGTGCACCTCTGAGTGATTTTTCCTGAGTGACCGTTTCTGAATGATGTATCCTGAGTGGCTTTCTCTGAGTGGCATCTCTGAGTGGCAATTTTTTGACTGTCTTAAGGGGAGGTTCTACTGAAAATCTTACTTTCTTCAAATTGAGTCCCATTATCAATATTCATTGTAAATTTAAAGTATTTCATAGTAAATAGTTAAATTTGAAGTTTTGAGAGCAATACCTAGCCCCCAACCCAGTCGAAGAGGAATTTTCTGCTATTTCTAGTCGTAACTTGAAAAATTCTCCTACGCAAAGTATTCCAACGTAAACTGATGTTCTGGGCATTTTTCACTTCTTTGGTTCATAATTGATAAACCGTGGCATTTGCAAGATACTGGGACCATTACAAAACCATAAGCTGTGTTTTGAAGACAGCATATCAATAAAATTTCAAGAAAATGTTAAAATTTCTGATATTTTGGTGTCTTTTTTTCTGAAAAGCAACGCCAAAATAAATTGGATGGTTCCCATGTCTTGGTGATGCCACGCTTTATTGCGTATGAGCCAAAGAAGTGAAAAATGTCCAGAACATCAGTTAACGTTAAAATGCTTTGCGTAGGAGAATGTTTTAAGATATTGCTACAATAGGCTGAAAAAACCTCTTCGACTGGATTTGGAGGGAGGTATTGGGCTCTAAATTTCATGTTTGACTATTAACTATATATTACTACACATCTGCAACAAATTTTTACATTGGGGCTCAATTTGAAAAATGCAATATTTTCAGTAGAACCTCCCCTTAAAAAGTCAAATATATTATTGATACGAACGTCGGAAGAACTTCCTCCCAATGTTGAAATCAAGTCCGATCCGTATCCGAGGTCCGTTTAGCGATATCTCGCTATCGGGTTTTGAAATGCCAGTAAATGTGGTCAGATTTGGACGAAATAAAAAGTGCCCTTGCCAATTGGCGAGAACATGCCGCCTACGCCCTTAAATATAATTTTCGATGAAACATCCCCTAAAACTTGATTTCGGAAGAAAAAATTTGGACATTATTGTTTTGACTTTAAAACTTTCGGCAATGTGGGTTTCGGTGAAAAAGTTTAGGTGAAACGTCGTGATACCGCCCTCTATACTACGTTTTGATCTACAGAGTTAAACTACATTAAAAGTACTTTTAAAACTGCCGTTTCTGAACTGCAGTTTTAGACTGTAGTCTGCACTCAGTCAAATCTGCACTTCCCGGGCTAAATCTGCACCACCCGGGCTAAATTTGAGTGAAAAAATCCTGGGGTATTTCTCACACAAATTTGGGTTGAAGAGAATACCTCAATCAAGGTGAAATCATCCAAAATATCAGTTATGACTATATAATTAAATTCACTGTCACTGAACGATTATGCCGAAAAGAGTTCCGAAGACCACTGAAGATTCTTCGGTTGGGATCGCGGTTTGATCCGAGGTATGGCGCCAACCTTAAGGTCTCCACTCCATGCGCGGCGCGCTGCAGTTCCACGGCCACCGCGTCGTGCAGAGCGTCAGCGTGCGTCACGGCTTCAAGCACCAACCGGCCTACGTTGCAAAAGGTGTGGTCGCGGAGGCAGCTAGGGGTGGGCGGAGAGTCACACTCCAGGCACCAAGGGCTGTCCGGGATCAAACACAGACAAGCATGAAAGAAAGCACTGAAAACGCATCGATCGGAGAGCGTCAAAGGAACGTGACATTTCATAACATTCGTTTCAACGTGATGTCACGCTCACCAGAGCAGATCCAAGACAATCCTAACCGCCAGAGCTGATCCAAGAGAATCCGGTCAGGTGTCAATTCAGTCGAAGGCTCAGTAAAAATTTTCAGCTTTATATTGTGACGTGGGCATGGTCAAGGGAAAATAACTGCAGCCAAATATGAACACCAAAATTCATCAGGCACGTAAAATTTACCAAAATTCATTGATATTCATCAAAATTTATTAAAATTTGTCGTAATTCTTCACGAAATTCTGCAGTTTTAGTCTGAAATTCATCGAAATTCTCCTGAAATTCATTGTGCACACTGAAATTTCCCCTTTGGCATGGTATAACAGAGGTATACTTCACTGAGTTGCAGTGAAGATACTTCAGGCTCATGGGCACCTCTGCAGTTAGGATGGATCTAAATCCGCATTGACCGTTCGGATTGTCTTGAATCTGCACTTCCAGACAGGCGTTAATTGATTGCGTTCAAAAAACAGGGTGATATTACGCCTCAGTTTGTTTCAAGGCTGAGTCACATTTGTTTGAACGCGAGTCGGCTGGTACCAGGCCTGGACGTGGCCGGATTCACGTTTAGACGAGACATAATATTCAAACGAATGTGACTCGATTCGCGTTTAAACAAACGTGACGTCATGTTCCCAGATCCCCAGCCACGCTCCCGGGTGCATTGTTTTACGAGGGGTCTATACATACGTAATGGCGTGTTCCTGGATGGCACCTGCGTCATTGTCTCCAGAATCCAGTCGAATTTTCTGCAAAAGAAAGAATATCGCTTAATGTAATAGAGAAACTGAGCTCAACGAAACAACACCCCGAGAACGCCTAGCGAGCTCTTTAACAAGTTTCAGCGTGCAAAGAATCCTCTATTAAGCAATCGGATGAGTCAAATTTCCAACGTCAACAAATTTACACTGAAACAAATTACTATTTGCACTCCCAATTATCCACTGAGAAATGCCGAGCAGTCATAAGACCATGCTGATTCTCAGTAATTTACGGAACAAATCTGTCATAAAACAGAAACTTGTTCGTAATCTGAAGAAACTTGTCATGAGTTACTGAGACCTCTTCACCATAGGTTACTACCGTACCTTCGCTGCGCTGACAAAAAACCAAGCTTTTAGTTTGCAGTACGAAGAAAACGCTCAGTACGATCCTTGTGAAACAGATTTTAGTGCTCCGGAGCCGGCTGATACAAGTGTCTCAGTACAGAAACGAAAGAGAATGATTTGGATCGACATGACCCTGAACACAGGTTTTGTTTCCCTTCGGGAATTGAAACAATGTTCCAGCCGACGTCCGACCATTGGATTAGAAAATAAAAACTCCAATGCTAACGCATTGCACGGTGTTCCGGTTGTGGGAATCAATTTGAAGTCTAAACGTTTATTACGTTAATTTTACCGTTATTTACGTAACTTTGAATCCTACCGGTATTTTTACATCCCCAAACCTGATTCAGTTAACACAATGACCATATCAGTCCATCTCGCGATCTCGCGATTTACAGTGCTCATGTTCGTCAAACGAAAGTCATCCGCGTTCCGAAACCACCCCTCCTGAGTTTATAAAGTTTGTCAAACCAACCATCGTGCTGGTTACAGAATTGAGGAAAACATCACAAGAGAACCGCAGCCTTTAAAAGCAAGCGAAACAATCCAACCTCAGCAACAATAGAGGGGCAGTTTCAATGCGCGCCTACTCGTTTTTTCAGCCTCGTGATTTTCGAAAGGGCGCAGACGCCGAGAAAATTGTTGCCAACCCCCGAAAATTAATTTATTGCGTCTTTTCTGCTGCTACGAACTTTTTACTGACAGACTTCAAAGATGTTCCAATGTCGGAACACCGTGCAATGCGTTAGCATTGGCATTTTCAAATTTCACGGCGTTTTGATTTTTTTATCAGCGACTTTAAATTTTGACAGTTGGTGCGATGGCACCGTGTCGTTGCCATGGAGACTTTTTTTAAATGTTTTAACCATTTTCTCAGAACACAGACGATTTCTTGTCACTTTGATGAGGCAGGAGGTTTAGTTTTGAGGAGTGGCACATTTTTTCTTTGAAACGTTTCTGGAAAATGTGAACGGATAAGGGTGCTTGATTGTTGCAAATTTATGTTTTAGTCGTTAACGTTAAATTCTCACGATAAATTTTCGAAATTTTTAGGAATTTTTATTTGATTATGATAACGAGTAACTTGGCGGGATCCATTTTTCGATTTGCGTCGGCGGAAGGAAAAGAATCTGAGCCGTCAAAAACAATAGGGGTCCTCCTTCGTCGGAACTCCTAAAAAGAAGCCAACTTTTCAATGCATCAGTTCTCTCCTATTTAATAGCTTGAATTTGTCAACATAATTCAATATTCACAGAAATGGGCTAAAACAACTGGAACAAGGCTCCATATAACGAAGAAAAAAGGAGAAACAAAGCGTCATCCTGAAGCAGGGATGTTGCCACACTCACAGCACGTTACTGCCTTCTACGTATCCGTATAAGCAACAATAATACTTAGAATTTTCTAAGTACGTATCACTAATTTCCTATGTAAAACTATGTACAAAACCACATTGTCCGTAAGGGAGGGTGGGGCACCATGACCACTTTTTTTTTGTGCCTCCCTCTACTCCACCGTGTGGTTCGAACAGTTAAGTTTCTAGCATGAGGGGATTCTTTGGACCTCCAAGGACCTCTTCCACCCATTGGAACTTGTCTGCAATGCACGGCAGGCTCACAAAACATTTTGGGAAAAATAAAACGCAAAGTGGTCATGGTGCCCCACCTATGGGGCACCATGACCACCCCGTGGGGCACCATGACCATAGTAATTTTTTGGCCCAAAAAAGTGTACTTTCTACCAGTATTCTCATTGAAAATTTTTTATATCGCTGTCATTACCATCAGGCCAGTCAACTAAACTAAAAAACACTGTAAAAACCTTCGAAGTATCAAACGTTCTAAGATGCCTTGAAATGGACGGTTTAAAACAGTTAACGCTCTAAGGCTTTCAAATTTCACATCCAAAGCTATGACATGTGTTAACATTTTATGTTTGTCTTGCTAAGACGAGTCCAAATTTGTATGCAGATTTCAATTTGGTAAATTTTAAGAAAATTATCGCGGTTACTACACTGCAAACAAGTGAATTAAATGCTGTTTTTCATAATGCCAGAGCCATCTTGGTGCAAAGTAGCCACGGATCGCCTTCGCGGCCAACTTTTGCGGTTTGGAGCTCATTTAGTGCAAGAAACTACCATTTCAAGTCTCAGTTTCAGAACCATTCTTAAACATCTTGGTGATTCACAAATTATCACAAATTTGTGATAAAACTATCTATTCTGCAGCAATTATTCAACCTTTATACATTTTCAGAAGCAAAAAGCAAATTTTCGACGAAAATAAATCATTATCAGGCTAAAATATGAGAAAAAACACTCAAATATGTGTGGTCATGGTGCCCCACTAAAAAGTGGTCATGGTGCCCCACAGTGCAGTTTACGACTCTAAGGCTCCCCGAGCAAGCAAACAACTACTTAGAATTAAATGTGATGTTGGATATTTTGCCGAAGAGCCGACATTTTGAGAAAAACCTAAGACATCGAACCTATCTTCTCAAATGTGAGAGTGAGAAAAAATATCCCAGATTTGAAAAACGCCCAATTTAGCCAAAACGCTGTAACAAAAATTTTGGCGAGGTGCTATGGTCGTACCCTTGAAGCTAGAAGGTAGGGCTCTGGCTGAAAATAGTTAGAATTCTATTCTCTCGAAAGTCCGGTCGACCGGTTGCCGTCGGCAAAGTAGTTCCCGAGAGCGAGGGGGGTGGTCATGGTGCCCCAGTGGTCATGGTGCCCCACCCTCCCTTACATTATTTAATATTTCTTTTCTTTAAAACCGAAAAATAACGTATGATGGTTGCACAAATTACTTGCATCAGTGCTGACAAAATGAGCAAATAGTCAGGAACGAGCTGAGAGCGCATGAAGAACGACGTCAATGACACGGTATATACTGTTACACTATAATCTGGTGAAGTTACCTTGCAGCACTGTGGGCAGCGCGTCTCGGAGCGTCGAGAAAAGTCCTCCTTGCAAGGCAAGCAAGCAGTGTGGCCGCAAGCCAGCACTCCCGCCGTGCGGTCCAGTGGGAAGGCCAGTCCGCAGAGGCAGCACTCTGCAGCCATCGCACCGTCAGTGGCAGCAGAACCTCGCGCCGATCCAGCCGCTGAGACTGACATATGTAACGAAAAGAACGCAGCGGTGAAAACATCTGGACCATTGGTGAAGCCTGCATCAATCAGACGCGGTTTCTGTTACGTTGAAAGAAGATCCTCCAGACGATATACGCTCTCTGAGCTCTGAGGCCCAGCCAGAAATGCTTCATCGAAGCAACGTCGATTCGACGTCGAAAGGGTTGATCGATCGAATGTCGATTTGCTTGGTCGATTCGACCAGTATATGGTCCTCATATCGACGTATTATCGACCTCGACGTAAATTTTCAGGGCGGCGGCAATTTTCAAAATATTGTCGCTCCTGGCAACTGTGGTGGAGTAGAGGCGACGGTGACGTAGCGAGAAACGCGCTCGGACCTCGCACTCAGGCGGGTTTCGAACCCACTGCCTCCCGCACGGCAGCCCTCGACGCTAACCGTTGCGCTGCGAGACTTGCTCTCTGGAAGAAGACAACTGATCCCTACAGGTGCAGCCGTTGCTGTCGTCTGCTCGCTGACGTTGGTCGGGCTATAAGTTTGGCTAATTCGAAACGCGGCGCACGATGACAACAAATATGTTCACTTGTGCGTTTTAAAACGCAGAAACTAAACTCTAAATGGACCATGAAATGGCACGTTTTTTTAACACACTACGACCACGCTACAAATATTTCTATGCTTTGAGCAATGTGAATTGATTTTTGTACAAAGTCGATATTGCGTCGAAATATCGTTGCCTTGATGTAAACAAAGTACCCGATCGAATCGACGTCGATTCGACGTTGATCCTTAGAAACTTACTTTCATGCGACAACTGATCGATTTTTTCGGTTTTTATCTATTTAGTACTAAACTATTATAGCCTCCTTGGCGTTTGGGTAATTCCCCGCGAAAGTCGAAATGACATCGAATCATCGACTAGCAGGCCATCGACGGGCTATCGATGGTTTCGACGTCGAATCGACGTTGACTCGATGAAGCATTTCTGGCTGGGAGGTAAGTGAGACGATCGAAACCGAAAGTCGAAGTGGCCGAGCCATTAAATGGTGGCAAAGGAGCTGAAGAAAGTTAGCTGATGCTTCCTAAATCGCGCTCCAGTACTAACGGCTGTCCAACCTCTGTAAGGGACGTCTATTAATTGCGGTGCGGTGTGCTTTCATAGGGGTACAGTGAGCTATGATTTAAATAGACAATTTAGGGCTAGGTTGAGACGGCGTCAACCAGCAGATTAGTTAGTAAGAAGGCTACCACTGATGAACATGCATTTTTCTTGATGATACCACTTTACAACGTGAAGTGTTCAGATGGAAGGGCAATCAAATACCACCACATACATTATTCTAAAGGTTGCATATGCCTGAATTTACCCCGAAAGTGTTTCACATAGCACCAGCGTACGGTATGTGACCTGCGGAACGCCGCGTATCATTAAGGTCGCCATGTGTTGCAAACGGCGCACTGAGAAAACCTTACAATTTATTTCAAGCCTTACAAAGCAAAGTAATTTGTTAGAACTAAGTATTTTGAGCATACATAAGCTTACAAAGAAAATACTTTGTAATTTACGAACTATTTCTTCGTATAATAAAGTAAATCAGTTTGTGCGTACGTATGCTCAAAATACTTCGTACGGTTTTAAGGGTACGTACCGCGGCGTTACGCAGGTCAGGTATCCCTAACCACACGTGCTGATCAACATTTTCTTGCAGAACTACGATTCACCCGACGCAGACGTTTATTTTCACTTCTGAGTCCAAGTATTGGACTACCGTTTCTAGTCACTGTACACAGTTGCGTACTTTAAACTGGTGGGGAGGTTGAAGGACTTCAACGGAGTCGTAGCTTGGCCCCGATCAGGGTTCGTCAAGGTTAGACTCATGCACTGAGAGTTTGTCAAACCGCGTTATCCGACGGCATCCATACAATTTGAACCGGGTGGGCTTCGCTAGAATCCGATAAGGTTACCCTTCCCTCTGCTACAGGCCGTCACAGGTAATCAACTCATGAAACAACGACCACCTTGAGAGCATTCATCGTTGAATTCGGAACAGCTTGTTCCCCCACAACAAAGTCGAATCGTATAGCAAGAGGAACCTTTTTAACTGTCAGGTTACAAGTCGTCGGTGAGTGAGCGGGGCATGAAGGACAGCTACCGGCAATGATGTGACCGATTTGACTTCGCATACCTTCTCCTTTAGTCGAATCAAAGACTAGACTGAAATTTTGAGAACTTGTCACTTCATTAGTGTTTAGCAGTTTCACATGGCCCTTAAATTACTTTGAAAGGGCAAGAAACGTATTTAATTTCCAACATGTTACATTCACTTTAAATGTCTTAGATTGAATTTTACCTACGTTATCCGTATGTTACAGTGAATTCGGCGCAAGCATAATACGAAGCAATATTCCTTCGTAATACGAATCTTTTTAGCTTCTTCATTTTAAGATACACAGAAATACCACCTTCATATTATGCTTGCGCCATTTCCTTCGTATTATGGGAAATTTCTTCGTGAAGACATTTAGAGTGTTAACCCGGGCTTTGTAGTTGTGGAACTTCTGTAGGGACCTTGACCCGGACTTTGTTCTTAGAATTCCTGTGATGAAAGGATGCGTAGCTACGATAACTTTGCCAGAAAGCCGGGGTAATTCAAAGAACACAAAGGTTCACCGGAAATGTAACTTTGATGTTTCAAATTTGGTGACAATAGGTGTTAAGCGTGGTTCTTTAACTGTAAGAATTAAAAATTTTTACGGGCTTAGTTCTATGATATAAGGCGGTCTGAATCTCGAGGTGAGACGACTTCGGACTTTTCCGGCGCCCTTGTTCCTCTTCTGCACTCAGCGTTCTGGTGGAACTCATGCACAATGTCTGTTTGCTGCGAAAGCTGGCTGTAAATTTTAGGGCGGCCTATCTGATTCTGACACATTTTGCCGGTTTGTATTAATGGTGTTCTGCACTCTTGGTTTCCAGGACTTAATCCGCCGCAGGTGCCGGTAACGCAGTCAGCATGTCTGCTCCTTCTTCCTTGAGCCACAGTAAGTTGAGTAAGAGCCGCTCCTGCACTCTTTAAAGCCTACGAAGCATTTGCTTCATAACTACGAAGAAAACGAAGTGATTGTGAAATTGCTTCGTGTCATGAAGAAATGCTTCGTATTACGAAGGATTTTGCTTCATAATACGAAGCATTTCTTCGTAGATTGTAAAATTTATTTACAATGCCCTCATTTTCTTCGTATTCCTCGTAGAATTTTTACTGCACGGCGTCCAATCCATTTTGTTGCGACCGGTTGTAGTCTGCAGTTTATTCAAAAGTCAATCTTGTGCCGGTGAAACGAAGTCACTTAAAGTACGCTCTTTCGGGCGTTACTGGTGATGCCGGAGGGAGGGTAAGAAAAGTCTGTCAAGAAGCCCTCCACCCATTCACGCCCTTTTAAAGGGCACTTAAAGAATCGCGCCGTATTAAAGGGCGCAATCCCCTTACGCTCTAAGAATGCTCATGCTTTCGTCTCACCACTGTTACGAATTTTGGCGTTATCGTGGGAAGAGTGAAATTAGTATACACTGCTAGAAATTATTGTTAATTTACGAAATATTTTAGCACGAAACATTTCGTAAAATATTCTTTTAGAAAGGTATCTTGAAATTTAGAGATAATTCCGTACTTTGACATTATAAATCTTGTATTAGCCACAAAACGATATTTGTGATATTTTTAGCAAACATTTTGTGGACAAATGAAACAGTTCTGAAATTGACAAAATACGCCGTACAGATTGCCAAAGCCAGCTGGTCATCGAGCTTCAAATGCCCTTTCAGAGCTGTGGCAGTTAGGCTGCCGGCGGGCCAGAAAGTTCTGGTTTAGAGTCTCCGACGAACATTTTTTCTCAACACTATTTGCTGCATGCTAGGGTGCATGTTACTTACAATTATCACAAATATAAGGGAATGTTTTGTAGATTTACAAAGTATCTTGTAAATTGATGTTTACGATGAATTTTGGAACTTTACGGCATATTCCATCAACTACGTTTTACAAAGCTCTCGTTTATAAAAATTTCCAGTGAAATTTTTGTTAATATACGAAAAATTTTCGAACAGTGTCATTTATTCGTGCTTTTTCATCCTCATGTTCTTACATGATGGTCACCCTTACATCAAAATGGATATCACCATTGGATTCTCCATGCCCTTCTACCCATTTACCATCTTTACTTGCATGTCTGGTGGCACTTTTTGAATGTACACAATCATTGTAGATCTTTCGGGTTTTATTCCTTGCGCACAGGATTTCAAATCCAAATGTTGTCCCAAAAATCTGACAAAGTCACCACATCTTTTTTGGTCTAAATTAAGGGGAGGTTCTACTGAAAATATTGCATTTTTCAAATTGAGCCCCAATGTAAAAATTTGTTGCAGATGTGTAGTAATATATAGTTAATAGTCAAACATGAAATTTAGAGCCCAATACCTCCCTCCAAATCCAGTCGAAGAGGTTTTTTCAGCCTATTGTAGCAATATCTTAAAACATTCTCCTACGCAAAGCATTTTAACGTTAACTGATGTTCTGGACATTTTTCACTTCTTTGGCTCATACGCAATAAAGCGTGGCATCACCAAGACATGGGAACCATCCAATTTATTTTGGCGTTGCTTTTCAGAAAAAAAGACACCAAAATATCAGAAATTTTAACATTTTCTTGAAATTTTATTGATATGCTGTCTTCAAAACACAGCTTATGGTTTTGTAATGGTCCCAGTATCTTGCAAATGCCACGGTTTATCAATTATGAACCAAAGAAGTGAAAAATGCCCAGAACATCAGTTTACGTTGGAATACTTTGCGTAGGAGAATTTTTCAAGTTACGACTAGAAATAGCAGAAAATTCCTCTTCGACTGGGTTGGGGGCTAGGTATTGCTCTCAAAACTTCAAATTTAACTATTTACTATGAAATACTTTAAATTTACAATGAATATTGATAATGGGACTCAATTTGAAGAAAGTAAGATTTTCAGTAGAACCTCCCCTTAAAGAGACAAGGGAGCTAGATTTCAAAATAATGTTTTGTTTTTGTTTTTGATCTCGAAAACAAAAATTATGACTGTTTTCATGCCGCTTTTGGACAGTCATTGACCTGTAATTGAAGATTGAATTTTTTTTGGGACAAAAACTCTCTCTTGTCTTCTTGCTGTTTGATCAATTTAAGCTGTTGAAAAAATCTACCTGGTACGGTGCCCCCCCCCCCTCTTTTTTCAAGCGTTCTTCGACACTAATATTTCTAATGTGATAAGCATCGCGTAAGAAATGCAAAAAGTTTTACTCCGTTTTGGCTGTTTTTGGCCAAGATTTTCACATTTTGGTGCGATAAAAAGATGATGTTTACAATATTCATGGCACTTACAGCATTATAATTGTTTCATTGCGCTAGTAATCAAAGACAAATGGTAGGGTAAAGTGCCGAACATGGATCGGGGTACCAATCATGGATCATTTTTGTTGGTGAGCCCGTACTGCCAAACCAATCGACCAATTTAATTTTTTCTAAGTTCTTCATGAAGTCTGCAACTTTTAACTTCTAGAATCACGCGAGGGGGAGCTGATCAATCTTACCGTTACCCTTACAGTATGCAAGTGAAAAAGTGCCTCTGATAAGGGGTCCGAAAACGGCTTTGTTTCAGGTTAGGTTAGGAGTCAAAATTCAAACCGTTATTAAAAAGAATCCATTCATCAGAAATGTCTCAAAATTTTTTCGTGGCACCTTCAGAGTGTACCCTTTCAAAATTTAGGCGACCGGAAGTTATCGGATCGCCCTTGTCAAAACGCGAGGGGGGTGTTTGGGTCTGACCCACACATGGACAACTAAAATCAGTGAAATTTCAAAGCCCTGTAAATTTCAAAGTATTAGTTATTAAATGGGAGAAGTTCCTGGGAGAAGGTTGTCTTTGTGGTAATCTTGAAATGTGTCAAAAAAAAAATTAGGTCATCGCTTGTTTTAGCCGAAATATAGGACATTTCTAAAAAGTGATCCATGTTTGGTAACCTTACCCTATTGAAGTTGAAACGGGTTCATCATTATACTTGCACTGAATTCCAAACGCTGTGCGTATAGCAGGTATGGTGCAATGCAGCTGAGACATCGCACCATACGTGCAATGCGATAGACATATTGCACCTTACGTGCAATGCATCCCGAAAAGGCCCTGTGCCAATGCATGGGAATGGGGAGGCATTGCACCAATTGACGCTGTACTCATAGCGTTTGGATTCTCAGTGTGGGGTAACAGTGAGAGTGACTTGCCTGCAGACGCCCCGACGGGCCCGTGCGCGGTGTGCGGCGCGGAGGGCCGGCCGTGCTCGCGCTGCCGGCTGCACTACTACTGCGGCACGCAGCACCAGCGGCAGCACTGGGCCAAGCACCGCCACGGCTGCGGCAGCGTGGCGCTGCGCGGCCGGTACGTGGTGGCCACCAAGGACATCCCCGCCGAGACGATCGTCTTGAGGGAAATCCCGCTCGTCATTTACCCCGACTCGCCGAAGCCCGGACTCCCGTTCTTTGAGGTGAGCAAGCACTAGGGTCAGCAAGCCCCTGGGCACAACACTGAGGTAAGCAACGTGGTCAGGAGGCCTCGAAGCACGATATCTTTCTCTGCAACTTGATTGCGCTGGTGAAACAGCATCTGTTAAATGTAATGTTTTGCCCAAGGGGTTACCCACTCAAATTTTTAGCGTACACAGGATTCGTGATTACCAAAATTGCCTTGATTACCAGGATTACTAAGATTACCAGGATTACCAGGATTACCTAATGATTACTATGATCACCTAAACATTACCACGATTACCAAATGATTACCATGATTACCTAATGATTACCATGATTACCTAATGATTACCACGATTGCTCAGTGATTACACTGACTATTAGCATTCTTGGATAATAACCAAGTTCTCTCTTTCACTTGAATGGCTGGCGGTCAACGACTCGTCTCCGGAAACAGAGCTACTGCTAATAATGCATAGTGTATTTGCCGGCCATAGCTCACCATAGGAGCCAAGGTGATGAGGAGTGACGGTGTTGCGCGATTTCGTCTGCTTGGTTTTCTTGGGGTATGGTACAAGATTCTGGCGTGGTCGGGCGTATTGCCGCCGTTCCACCCCTGACTTCTTAAGAGACTTATGAGCGATTCTCACGTTTCGGGGTAGTTTCGTTTCTTCTGACTCCTGTGCCCAAACGAGCGCAGATATCGACATGGGGTTTGTTTCTGATGTTAGGGAGGGCCATTGCCCACTCAACGCACACATTTCGAAAAGTTCTCGTTCGTTGGATTGGTCTACGTAACGTTTGGAATACCCCAAATGTAACTTCCGTGATTGTCCAAAGAGAACATACTCGAACTTTCCGCCCCCAGTGTGGCGGTGTGGTTCGAAAATGCTGCCCACTGTCGATGGGGATTCGAAGCTTGGCATGTCTCGAGCTAATTTCAACCGAAGACTAATACGCCAGACTTCTTTCAAAGGTACTTATGCTGCAACGAAAAATGTCCTCCGTATATTCAATTTAACTACACAAATTTCGAAAAGGCAGCTCTGGACTTCTCCCCAAGCCAAACTTTTAACTTTCCATGACACAAGCCATCAAAGTGGAGTCCCTGGGATATAATTGCATGGGTCGCGGAAATCTAAGATGCTGTATACGGTCTCAAAGCGGGCTAGAGCATTATAAAATGGCGTGTATCAACAATTACCTGTAACTTCCGTGGCACCCTTTACCCAATGTTGCAGCAGCACTAGGTGAAAAAGTTTTCCGCTGAAATGTCGGGCTTAGAGTATCATTTGACCCTGGAACGACTTTGAAGCCACAGCAAACCCGAGTCAGCCGTTAAAGCTGATTTTCACACTTTGTAACTTCCGTGATAACGTAATTTCCGTGATCAAAACACCCACTAAAACGTATGGGAATACCTTATGGCTCATGTTTTTAGGAAGATAGTACAAGGTCTTTACTATAAATACCATTGCCATAACTCTAGTATCATCCAGGACCCCAATAATCAGAAAAACTTAATTGGATATTTCTCACTTTCGGCAAATCAGAGACGCCAAAACTACCCCGAAACGTGAGAATCGCTCTTATAATAAAACAAATTTGTTATTCTATCATTTTTGGGTTAAATATGAGAAACTGCAAACAACTTAATTAATTCTTAATGATAAAATATAGTGGAGAGGCAGCTTCTGTGAGAGTCCTCTTAAGTAGTATCTTCAGCAATAGTTTTGGATAGGAAAATGATAGTGAATTTAATTAAATAGGTTAAAAAAGTGGCACGAGGACGGACATACCAGACACGCCTTCGGGTGGCGTCGGGTCACTTCGGGTGCCCGGGGAAGACACCTCCCCGAGCAGGGGCTATGTCGGCCACTACTCCCACCCACACTGGTGCCTTGCGGGCCTGGCCGGTGGCCTACCTTGCCATTACCATTAAGGGCTAGAGCACACATGATGCCATTTCGGGCCCGACACATGCCCCCCTGCACTGCGGGCGTTAGCCTCCCGCCCACACAGTTGCGATTACCAAGGTTACCACACGATTACCACGAAAACTACAAGATTAGCACGATTACTACAAGATTACCACGATTACCAAGATTACCGAGATTACCACGATTACCCATGATTACCGAGTGGGTGTACACACGATTACCTCAGTGGGTAACCCCTTGGTTTTGCCACTCCTTGTTTACACTGTAAAAAATATGTTGTTAATTTACGACGGAATATTTTCCGAAGGGTTTTTGGGAATGTCCAAAAGTGCACTGTAAATGTTTCTTTCCTACAGGAACTTTTGTAAATCAACGTAGGTTCGTCGTTAATTTATGAAGGTTCTTTGTAAATTTACGATGAAAAATCGTAAATCTTACAAAATCTGTTGTAAATTTACGAAGGGCTTTGTAAATTTACGACGGGCTTCGTTAATCTACGACGGGTCTTCGTAAATCTACGGCGGACCTTCGTAAATAAACGAAGGAAGTGTTGGCAATTTTTTTGCCGAAGGATCCGTCGTTAATTCCAGACGTATAATTACGAAGAATCTCTGTATATTAACGAAGTTTCTTTTTTTAAAAACGAAGGATCTTTGTAGATTTACGAAGGTGCTTCGTAAATTTCCAAAATGAACGAAGGTTTTTGTAAATATACGAAGTGCTTCGTAAATTAACGAAGGAACCGTTGGCAATTTTTTTGCCGAAGGATCCGTCGTTTATTCCGGATATTAATTTTTACGGTGTAATTTCCGGAAGATTTCGCGTCAGTTAATCTGTCGTAACCGTAGCGTGCATGCATAATTGTAAATAGGGTAGAAACGAACGAATCTTCGGCTTTTGGGTGATTTGTATCTCACGTTTAATACTTCCGCCATGATTGCATAAAATTGTATTAGATACATGTTTTCCGGCCGGACGAAGCCAGAAGTTTATCTCGACCCCAGGCTCTAAGCGAAGTATTTAAATGTAGTTTTTCACTGTGGAGGAGTAGTGCGATGGTTAGCCCCTTCCCATTACTTCATATTTTCGCCGTCAGAAGTTAAAATTAGTATAATTTTAATTAAAATTACAAAATTTATTGAAGATAAACAATCAAATTTTGTTGATCTTCTAGAAGATAAAAGGACAGGAAACGAACGGGACAAGCCTTTTAACGATTTGCCGGGCTCGTGCGTATTTACCTGCTACTGAAATATGCCCCTTTTTACAGTACCTGTTAACATGAAATCTTATGGAACAAGTACGGACGTTCCGTACTTTATTCCTCAGTGTATTTCCCGTGCGCAATTGACGGATTTTGTTTTTACGGTGTGGTTCCTTTGCAGAAGCTGTGCCTGGGCTGCTTCGGGGTGCTGACTGGGCGGGGCGGCAAGGTGCAGTGCCGGCGCTGCGGGCTGCCCGTGTGCAGTGAGGCCTGCAGCAAGGAGGCGGCCCACGCGCCCGAGTGCCACGCCTTCCAGCGCGCCAAGTACAGGGTGTCGGCGGGTGAGTGCTCCGCAAACCCAAAGGGTGCACACTGCTAATCCAAGTGTGTACCACTGGTTGGTCCACGCTTTCAAGCATGGAGTTCTGTGCTTGCCAAGCGTGGACCAAGAGGTGGTCCACGCTTCAAAGCGTGGACCAACCAGTGGTCAACGTTTCAAAGCGTGGACCTGGTCCACACTTGGATTAGCAGTGTGTGCTTTTTTTTTTTTTTTGGGGGGGGGGGGGGGGCGCACGACACTTTTTTTCTCGGCGCCTCTCAGAAGATATTATTGCCTTTGTTTCTGTGTTTGCAGCTGAGGTTCGGGGGCAGAGCATCGTCATCTTGACGGCAGTGGGCGCGCTGCGCACTGCTCTGGTTGCGCAAACCGAGCCCCGCCTGAAGAACCTGGAGTGCACCTTGAACTTGGACGCCGAGGGCATGCTGGTAACGACTTTGATTCTGTCACTTGTTTTTCGAGTTGCATCATATTATCATTGGTCAACTGTGCGCTTGTGAAAAACGATTCAATTAATTTCATGCACCGGAGAACGGCATCATGATGTCGGCGTGCACCGTTTTGAAGGGTATTGTGAATGTAAAGTAAAACAAATGGCTTATCAACTTTTTCAACATACTTGAGTGCGCTCAAAAACTTCCACGAAGCACAAAGCATCCCTCGTAACTAGGAAGAAAATGAAGGCATTGTAGAGTTCCTTTTTGAAGAAATGTCTTGTAGTGTGGAAGATTTTGCTTCACGAGCCCCTTCGATTTAGATTCTACAATGCCGTCGTATGTATCGTTTTTCAAAGCGATGCTTCGTAGACTCTTTTCTGTAATGGGAAGTCTTATTTTATGGAGTGCACTCCTTTCAATTGCTTTAACTCAAAGCTGGAGAAGGAGTTTTTGTGAAACACCGAAACTAAAGGTTGACGTAAACCTTAATGGGGTAATGGCTCAGAAACTTCAAGGAGGACTAATACTGCTGAGAAAGCCCTTCGATATGAGCACTTGCCAAAATAAGGGTATCTTTCGTGTCTTTTGGCTCTATAATCGTTATTTTACAACGTATTGAGATGCGGTTTGGTGCGTTGTGTTGGGCTCGACGTCGCCCACTCTTATCCATCTTTAGTCACCACTTTTTCAATTCAGAAGATGTCGATAAAGTGCTCCAAAGGGTCATTTTGTAACGTTCCGGCATGTCCCCCGTCCATAAATTCAAAGTTTCGATGCTTATATTTCAGCTAATATGGAACGTAGAACGATTCTGAGAAGATATTCGGAAACTTTATTATTTTATCTATCATACACATGTTACTGAACTCGTTTTTACGAGCTCGATTTGGGTGCAATCTGTAAACGCAAAATGTCCTCCGTGGTTGACTTTGCGGAACGTTACATGTGAATTATCACGGTTTCTCGCGTTGTACTCTACTGATAGTTCTCGGCCTTGTCGTCAGATTAATCTGTTGCATTTTTGCCGTCGAATGGTGCAAACGGGAACTCTGAGAAGTTAATAGAAAGCTCAGAATCTTGTTTTATAGGTTATGTTTCGGTAGTGTCCGACCATGATTTTAAAATGCTTTTCTGTTCCCCGGGCAAGTTCTAGACCAAACAGAGATATGATTCTATCGGGACGTGTTGAGGAATCTTAAAACAGGAGCTCACACCAAATGGCGTGTTTTAATTCATAGCAAGAGAGTTACTAGGCCTGTTTGAATGACAATGTAACGTTCCGTATCCCGCTGTTTTCTGTAACGTTCCGTGTCTTTCCCCTATACTTTTGATAGGGGCTTTTTGGTCTTTCAGCAATATTGCACCGGGAGCTCGACTGCGTTCAGATATAAGTCGTGGGACATCACTGAATAAATTGGCCGAGAAAAAAGCCGACTTTTCCACATTTTTTTCTTGCGGTTCTATGGCCTTCAAAAGTGCCCCGAATTTTGGCAACTGCTCATATCTCGTACAGCAGTCCGCCGCCCCCCCCCCCCCCCCCCCCCCCTTATGTTTCTTTTTTTTTTTAGAAACTGGCTCTGCAGAGGTTTACTTAATCGCACTTATCGAAACAGGAGAAACTGCCTCTAGACCACCGACGCTTTTCGTTATTCTTACCCACTGGGGGCTCTGATGAAATCTTTCCCTTTTTAAAATGTTGTTTGTCTTTATGTTGATCTCTTCGTTCCCCGCTGCCCTGCAGGTGCTGCCCGAGGCCAAGGAGTGGGCGGAGGTGCACGGCGCCATGAACAAGACGGCGGTGGCCTGGCTGCGGCGGACCGTGGGCATCTCCTGGCTGACCGAGGAAGAGCTGCTGCGCGCCGCGCTCGTCAACCTGCTGCACGGCGACTGCGTCCGGGACGAGACGCCCGAGCGCTTCGGCAGGGCCGGCCTCAAGGTACGCACTCTTACACTATGGCAAAAATGTACGGAACATTCGGTTAATTTTTTTTTGCCAGGATTCTCCGTAGCCCTCTTGTCAATATTCTCTGTAGGCTCTTACATTATTCTCCATAGGGCCTTACAGTATTCTCCGTAGGACCGCACAGTCATCTCCGTAGGGCCTGAAAGACTGTATAGTCCTACGGAGAACACTGTAAGGTCCGGTAAGGTTCTACGGAGAATACTGTGCGGTCCTACGGAAAATACTGCAAGAGCCTATGGAGAATACTGACAAGGGGGCTACGGAGAAATTACCACAAGCTGTTAACATAGTTTTCCGTAGCTTTTAGCCACAGTGTATTGAGTTATCACCTGACAGAACAACGTATCTTCATGGGCAATTCCACGGCAGATGCGCTGTTATGTACGAATGCCACACAATCGTCTGGTGGTGAAAGGCCGCGCCAACATACTACACTATGTTGTACAGTGAAAGTTCTCCAAATTATGGTGAAAATGTTCTATATTATGGAGGTGCAGCTGACTTCGTAACATACAATTGAGAATTCACTGTACCTTATTGGTATTTTGACGAAAATTTCCACCAGAGTATATTGGTGCAGCCTTTCACCGTAGGACATTTACAGTGTTAAGCAAAATCGAGTCGTGGGGGAAACAACTTGAATTTTGGTGTACACTCTCCGCACGTTACTGACTTTTTTGCTCATTTTGTCAGTACTTATGCAATTAATTTGTGCAACTATGTTACGTACTTTTCGTTCTTAAAAGAACTACTTAGGAAAGATGAAATAATGTACCGACAATTGGGTTTTGTACACAATTTTACACTCTAAAAAATAATACAGGATTTTGTATCTTTTTTGATACAAAATTCTGTAACACGTCGATTGGTTGCTAAAAACTGTATCGATGTTACAAAATTTTGTAACGCTATCAGAATGTTACAAAATTGTACTTCATTGATACAGAATGCTGTATCTGATGCAGTATTCTGTAACCATATCTACATTATTTTGTATTGGTGGTGCGTGTTTTTGTAACAACCAGACGTTGATACAAGATTTTGTATCAAATACAAAAATTTGGTACATCGTACCAATATTTTATAAAAATGAAATTTTTTCGTTGAATGTAAATGGGGAGTGTTATTGAGGATGGATTCACAAGTGTCATTTCTTCACAAAACCATCTTTAATTTTCAAATAGTTTACAGATAGCAAATTTAAATAAAGCTAAAATATTATCTTAAATTTACAAATAAAAATTATTAAAAGGCTAAACAATGGGCCAAGTTTCTTCATGTTGAGAGTTCGTTGTATCCTGCGAAAAGAAAAGACAAGTCAAGTCAGACCAAACTGTGTATTTACATGTGCCACTCTGGATAATGTAGAATGTGTACTCACAATCCATTTCTTGCGTCTCTGCATACTCCAAGTCAGTGGTGTCCTCCACACCATCAATTCTTCCAATCCTAGTCAGGTATTCGTTGGCTTTGGCCCTCGCCTCTTCTTTTGTAACTGGACACGCAAACATAAATTTAAGCGTAAACATTGTGTGCAGCATAAGGTTAAAATAACTTCAATAAAGTATCTTTAAGTACCTCCACTTCCCAGTACTGCAACCAACTCAAATGGACAGTCAGGAGTTCTTCTCACTTTGACGATGTCACCTCCTTCATACATTTTGAGTACACCATAGACAGTAAATTTCTCCAAATCTTTTATGAAACAACCACACAATACGTAAGCTCCTTCCATAGTTTGTGAGGACATACTGCAAAAAGAAAGAGTGACTTTCATTGAAACATGAACTCCATAACCCTAAGTCCTACAAAACGATTGCTCACCTGGTGCACTTTGCGGTGTAGTCGGTGTTCCACTGACAAGCACATGTGTTCTGACTTCTGACAGGTTACCGGAAGAAAAACAATCCGTCATCTTCTTCTCTTTTTGACGGCATGGGGACGAGTAAACCAGGCCAGAGGGAAGGAAAACTAGAAGGAAAAATGATGACGCGACGTAAATTTTTCATAGCTTGGAACGGTTTCATTCAAAGTGGAGCCCCGCCCCCCGCTCCCCCCGTTCCCATTAGGAAGAAGCTGTGGCTGTGGCGTGGTGTGGTTGTGTCACGAGAAGTACAGTTTTGTACTCAGATCTGTTCATTTTATTGAAGATGTCACCACCAACCAGAAACCCCATGCCCTCGCGTGGCACTTCAATCCACTTCAAGGCACATTCATCTTATCACATCACAAATATTTTTGAATCTAGGGTGAGTTCTTGCACACGAACGTGCTTTAGTTGCATCGTCTGTCTGCAGTGGTAGAAGCCACGTTGTCTGGCCTTCTTGCTGCTTTTTGTTAAGTTAAAAGCAGCAATCATATAGCGGAAACACTATGTGACAGCTTTGTGAGACAGCTTTGTGACATTAGATATTTTTTATTTCATTACAGGCTTAGGTGGTATTTCATTTTATTCGTCATGACTGGCAGTACGGATCAACTACAGATCGGAACAGCTATCAACTCATCGATGACTGCCAACATTTTTAATCTAACTACAATGGGTTAGTTATTCAGTGTGAAAGATTAGACAGAGCCCTCAACAACACAGCTTTATGACATTGAATATTTTTCTTTCATTACAGGTTTAGATGGTGTTCTATTTTCATCATTGCCGTTACTACCAGCACAGCAACTTCAGATCGGAACAGCCATCACTCATCAACGACAACTGCACCGGGTGAGTTATTCAACAAGAAGTTCAACAAGTGTTTACATCACCACAGCTTTATGACATTTCAACATTTTTTTAAAAATTACAGGCCTAGGTGGTATTCCATTTTATTGTCATGACTGGCAGTACTATCAACTTCAGATCGGAACAGCCATAAACTCATCAGTGACAGCCAATATTTTTTAATCTAACTACAATGGGTGAGTTATTCAATATGAAACATAGACATGGTCCTTATCAAGACAGCTTTATGACATTGAATATTTTTCTTTCATTTCAGGTTTAGATGGTATTCTATTTCATTGCCATTACTGCCAGCACACATCTGTCAGCTTCAAGTTGCATTTATCACATAGGGACTGCCATCGACACATCAATAACAATAAATATTTTTGTGGAGTGAATCGCTGTGAAAAAGTTTTCAATCGTGAGAGTGTTCTCAGGAAACACATTTTGAGACATCATGCACTGAAGGTCAGCCAGCTGGAGGCTAAGAGACTGCCACCGACTGCCTTTAGGGGCAAATACATCTGCTCAGTTGGAACCTGCAAGAAGGAATTCGATGTTTATAAAGGTTTTCTCAGCCATCTAAACTTTCATCTATCCCAAAGTGCCATTGTTGAGTGCCCATATACTGAATGTTTTAAGAAGTACAAGAACAAGAAGTCTTTTTCTTCTCACTTATCAAGATCTCATCGTTCAGCTCCACCTGGCCAGTGCGGACAAGATTCCAGTAGTGCTGATGCTGCTGAAGATCTTTCAGATTATTTAATTACTGAAGATATTCCTGAGAATTGTTTTGTTGATCAAGGGAGTGCTAAGTCAGGTAATGAAGAGCACCTCCTCCTTCAGAACTTGGCTCACTTTTTCATGAAGCTGGAATATCATCATCTCGTTCCTGAAACTGTGATTCAATATGTCTATGGCGAGATGTCTCATGTTTTCTCTCAAGGCCTAGCTCACCTCGACAAAGAAATTAGAAGACAAATGGAACATCATAATATTCCAAGTGAGAAGATTCAGCTAATTATGTCCAGTGCCTTGAAGAATGATCCCTTCTCCAAAACCCTGTGTGATGACTTACGGTCAGATTATATGAGGAAAGAATTCTACAAGAAGACGTTTCCATTTGTTCAACCTGAAAAAATAGAATATGTTCGTACTTTCAAGAACAAACGTGGTGAGCTTATCAAAAGGGATGTATTCTTTTATTATATTTCTATTGAGGAAACACTACGAGCCTGCTTCTTGGACAAGTCCCTAAACTTAAAACTGGAGCCTGCAGTTGTGAGAACTGATGATATCATCTCTGATGTTACCGATGGTTTGGTTTTTCTTGAAAAAGGTTCTTCCAGCAGAATCCGTTGGCTCTGCGTATTGCTATTTACCAGGATGGTGTAGAGGTTGTGAACCCGCTTGGAGCCTCCAAATTGAAGCACAAAATACTAGCTATTATTTATCTATTTGAACTTGGCTGAACATGTAAGATCTCATGTCAATTCTATTAAGCTAGTAGCTTTGTGCAAGGAGAAAGATTTTGTCCATGAGGTGGTGTATGGTAGGATTGTCAAGGACTTGAAAGTTTTGGAAAGAGATGGAATGTATGTTGAAGGTGTTGGCAATGTGAAAGTGGGATTAACTTACATTGCAGGTGATAATCTGGGCAGTCACCAGTTGGGTGGATTTGTGTGTAATTTTAGTTCAGCCAAATACTTCTGTAGATTTTGTCACATTGAGAAAGAAATTTTTCACAGTAAATATGGTGAAACTGTTGAATTTGAATTGAGAACAGTGGAATCCTATGAAGAATGTCTTAGGCTGGGAAAGTCTAAGAAGTATGGCCATAAAGGCGTAAAATTTGATTCAGAATTCAATGAGTTGGAATACTTTCATGCATGTAAGCCAGGCCTCAGCAGTTGTGTTGGACATGATTATATGGAGGGATGCATTGCCTTTGACCTGAAGCTGTTCATTGACTATTTTATCAGTGAGTCCTGGTTCACGCTGCACGAGTTGAATGAAGCTATTGATAATTTTGATTATTCTAAAGAAGAGAAGCGGGATAAACCGCCTCCTGTGCAAGAAGAGGCTGAACGAGTCAAAGGAGGAGCTTGGCAGGTGTGGACACTTTTGCGCCTTTTCCCTCTGATTATGCAGAACTTCATTCTGGATGACACAAATAAAGTTTGGCAAGCTCTTATGTTGCTGTCAGAAATAACTGAAATTGTGTGTGCCCCTGGAATTCATAAATCAATTCTGCCATACCTGCACTGTATTATAATTGAGTACTTAACAGTAAGGAAAGCACTGTTTCCAGAGGTCCCTCTGCGCCCGAAGCACCACTTCATGTCCCACACAGTTCTAAATTATTTATTCTTCGGACCACTTCTCAAGTGTTGGACAATGCGCTATGAGTCAAAGCATTCGTACTTCAAACGCATTGCTCGTGTTGTCCGTTGTTTTAAGAACATTTTATTTACCTTTGCTATGAAGCATGAGTTGTTGCAGTGCTATTTACGCAGTGGAGCAGATTTGAGATGTGATGTAGCTGCTGCTGAAACCAGCAGGCTCTTCATCAGTAATTATTCCAAAAACATTCGGGATGCTATTACTGCCACAGTTGTTTCCCCAGGTGACTTGGAAGAATGTACAAAAATTACTGTAAAAGGAACACAGTATGTAAAAGGTAACATTCTTGTGCTTAGCCAAGATAGTTATGAGTGTAATGTTAGCCTTGGAAGAATCTCCTTAATACTGTTTGACTGTGATCAGATTGTGTACTTTGTGTGTGAGAAGCTACAGACTTCGTACAGGCCTCGACAAAGGCTCTACTCTGTGGCAAAAGTAAAGGGGTTTTGTCTGTGTCCGACAAGATGCTCTCTTGAGCTAAATGTAAGCCCCATGATGTTCAATCTTAAAAAAAAAGTTAGTCAAACTAAAACATGCCATTGTACAACCCCTTTTTTAATATTGACAATATGTTTGTGCATGATAGTTTTATGTACTTTTTATGCAGTCTGTAAGGATTGTTCTCCAATTTTAATAAAATAAATTTTATAACATCAACGCCACTGTACCACCTATCAACCTAATTCCTCAAACATTATTTGCCTTGGCTTTGAAACTCAAGAAATGTCAAGCAAAAGTATCATAGAAAGTTTCTCTCGGGAGATATTTTTGCTATTAATCTGAACCGGCTACGCGACCAGTTATGACAAGAAAACACCTTTGATTCGAATTACATTTCTCATTATTATTATCTATAATGCTTTACAAATACAAAAAGGATTATTTTGAGTCGAGCACACATTATTTGAAAGTATTTGTTGACACCTGTCTTGTCTGCTAGAGGCAGCCATTTTGTCACGTCCTGTACCAACCTCACCATAGTAGTGGTTATTTGAGTTTTGCTTCTGCTTCTCAAGTCTAGAGCAGACCAACACTAATCTTTTTTAAAATCAGATTTAATCTTACTTAAAAAAGCAAAATATAAGTGGAGAATAGTCGTCAGATCGCAGGCTTTCGGTGAAGGTCTGGTCTGAGTATTCATGTTGCGTGGTTGGTATGTTTTAGGCCACTGCTGATGTCAAAATCTGCCAGGAAAGTTTAGCTTTTGACGATGTTCTTCAAATTTGTTCATTCTTTGCCCTGTTTTCTGAACCGATTGACTGGCTTCACTCCTTTTGAGGTAAGTGCTTTTAGAGCCCGGTCCTAGCGACAAGATAGGTTTACTCTGGAAGTTATCCGTACCGGCCGGCTCGAGCCCATGGCTCGTAACACGTTTCTCCGGGGCACTTCTCTTTTTCAGTCTGGTTTACTGTCTTTACTCTATCAGATTTAATATAAAATGCTTCGTTATCACTCTTTGCCAAATTTCATCTTTTATTATCTTGGAAAACATCCATTTCAACCTGTCTTTTGAATCTTATTGTGTGTGAAGTTGAGGTTAGTGTACCAGACATGTTAGGCTTTCTTTACACATTACTGCTTCATTCTTTTTCGTTTATGTAATTTAACTTGTTACTGTGTCTCTTAAATCTTTTTCTGGCCCTCGCACTCGCATCAAATTTATTTTTATGGGAATCTTGGTTAACTCGTGGCCTTTCACTTTCTTGCCTTTGCCTTGCCCTTATCGTAGTTCAGTCGTTTCCTTCCAACTCTTTAACCTTGTCTATTTTATCTCACTCCAGGTTCACTGAGGCGACACCATGTTCCTGGTAAAGAGTGTTTCTCTGGATAGAAAGAAAGCCGTTTTTGTGAGGGCTGCTGGCTTGAATGATCTCATCTCTGAAACCAAGAGCAAGCTGAAACTGATTGGAGACGAATACCAAGTAAGTATCACCCAGGCAGGCCCACATTAACCTAAATAGCAGTGCTTTGTTTGTTCACTGTGATTGATGTTAGAGCTGTTGATCTTACTTTGGTTTTGTCTTAACATTGTGACTTGGATGCCACAGGTTTATCAGGAAGATGATGGGACACTTATTGATGAAGATGCCGTATTTGAAGCACTGTGTGAGGAGGCCAAGTCAAATCAAAAGAAGCTCTGCATCATGTTGCTTCCTTCTGGAATAGAGTGGAGCTCTAAAGATAACAGTGAGGGTAAGTGATAATGACTAGAACGTTTTCTGATTGTAATCAGCTTTATTTTGTTTTGTAATGCATATTTTGATTTTCAGACACATCGTTCAGACCAGAAAGGTCGAGTTCTGAGTCAAGTGGAAATGGTAGTTCCTCTGAGTCGTCAAGTTTAGACTCCGATCTAAGCTCGCAAGACTCACATTCAAGTTCTTCTCATCTGACTCGTGGATTTCCTATTTCAACTGTGATACCATTTCTGGATCCTATTCTTGAAGTTATGGATAACTCTGCTAGTCACCATCCGAAACACTTTCAACATTTGAAGAAGCATGCCATCAAGGAAACCTTCCACACGATTGGAAACTATATGGTGCTCACCCTGAAAGACTACAGCAAGGGAACGGCACGAAGCCTTGCTAGATCAGTTATGAACTATGCCGACAAGAAGTATGCGAAGATCTTCGAAATCATGATTAATGGTCAGCTTTGTGATCCAGGATATAGCTGCTTCGCTCAACAGATCTACGCCTACGTCCAGGCCAACAAGGGCGATGAAAAAATAAGAAGAAAAAGGGGGAAAGTGGGAAAGGGGAAAAGTCCCGCTGAAGAGGAAGAAGTCGATGATGAAGGGCTGAGCCCTCCTACACACCAAGACAGCTACGGCTGTGTTGCCTTTGAAGTCCCTCTGCCCAGTGGTGAGACACCTGAAACACAAGAAAGGCAGAGGTTAGAAGCAGTTGCGGTGAGTCCGGAGTCTTTAGAGGGATTGAAGCTGATGGCCGCTACATATGCCACTCAAAGACTGGACATTAACCGAGGCAAACCCATGATGAGGAACTTACCCAAAATCATGGATCGATGGCCTCTTCTCAAGATAAGTTCGCATCTTATCAACCATGGGGAGGAACTTATTGGAAAAGATGTCAGATCGGTCTGGACTAAAAGTGTCTCTGAGAAGTGGACCAGCATCTATGATTTCATGAAGCACCATTGTCAAATTAACTACAAGGAAACTTCGATTTTGAATGAGCTCATTGCTGACGCAGACAGTTTTGACAAGGGGACTCGCTCCATTCAAGCTAAATGTGCCAGTATATTCCAGCTGATTGTTGGCTTTATGAGTGAGCAGCAGTCTGCCCTGCTAACTGTGGTTCCCGTAAGTTTTAATTTAACAATTTAATATGTTATACATTAACATACTCTTGAGTGTTGACTCTTCATAATTTTGTGAAATTCTAATTTACAGACTGATGCATCTGAAGATGATATGAAAGCTGCTGCTGCTGGAAACGAAGGCTTTCCTTTGGTTTTAGTGAAAGGTATGTCAAATATTTCGTACAGTGGATTAATTGTGTGTGTTAAAGTTAGAGCTAATTTAGTCCATTTTTTTTTTTTTTTTGGGTTTTTCATTTGTTCATCAGACTCTCTTCTTTTCGTGATGTTGGGGGGAAAATCCTAGTTCCAGTGCACAATCCTTCTGAGGCTGTTTTGGTGCTGTTATTATCCCACTACATTTTCAACATAAGCTCCATCCAAAGCTCCACAGCAGCCTGGAATTCTTTTAAAGGTAATGGGAATGCTTCTTCAAATTTTTAAAATTAGGCAGTGTATAAATTTAGCTTGCTTATATTATTCTACAATTTTTTTCAGGTTCTTCCTTCAGGGAAACCCCCCACAAGGAAAACCCAAACGTGCAAAGAAGAAAAGAACAACGGATCCCATTGATTCGAAAGTGAAAGCTTTAGCATCAAAATTATCAAGTTTCAGTTTGGGGTGTTTGAAGTTGGGGTAATGAGTAATGTTTCATTAAACACATGAACAGTATTCACTGCTTTTATCATTCTTTTCCCCAAAGAAACAAGCTATAGCATTTTTTAGTTAAAAATCAGATATTGTTACACCCAAAGATTCTGAAGTCTACAACAGTGCCGCAGGATTTAGAACAGGTTTTAAAGGGTTTTGGGGAAATGACGGTAACAGAAACAAGGATCACAAACGGTGCTTTTTTAGAATCAAGGGTTTCACATTTCTGTGACACTAACAAATTTCTGTAACATTTCTGTTACACATATTTCTGGAACAAGTAACATATTTTTGTAACGCATTTAAGATTTCTGAAACACGTTACAAATTTCTGTAACACACTTTCTGTACACGTTACAAATATCTGTAAAAACACAACAGGATAACAGAACGATGTGATACAGAGAACTGTAGCGCTCCTGATACAAAATACTGCAACATTTGTAGGGAAATTAGCGTAACAAAGGGTTTCAGAATTTTGTATTTAAATTTTTTAGAGTGCAGCAGCCACGAGGCTGCGAGGCACTGCTCTACACTGTTAAAAAAATCAGTTGTAATTTTCATAACATTGGTTGGCATTTTTTTTCACAAACAATTGTTATGAAAATTAAAATCACAAATGATTGTAAATTGTTTTACAATCACGTTATGAAAATTCATATCATGTTATGAAAATTCATATTCGCGTTTGCGAGGTCATTTTAGGGCAGTTAAGGGGGCACACCAGTGAAAATGCAGAGGCTTCGTAAAAACGTTATTCTGATTAAAGTAACGAAGGTAATGGGTTGAAATTTCATTCTGAACGATAAAATATGTCAATTTAACCAAAAAAGTACACGGCAGCCAGGGGCGGTGACGGGAAGGGGGGCTGGGCGCCATCTTCATTTTTCGGTGACACGGCTCCACTTTGCCCAACTTTGTGAAGCCCTCGATTGAGCCACAAACATGGGGTTTCAAAATTTCTCATCAGGACACATGTGGCTATCGTGTGAACCACGGACATGTCGGAAACACAATCCTAAATGTGTTTTTTTGAGAAGCAAAAAAAGAAACTAATTTTTTGACCATATTTTTCACGTTTCCGTGTCTGTGGCTCAGGCCCTGTTCATGCTACGACCATATCCGAGATTCACACGAAAGCGGGAAGTTTAAGGAACATTTTGCCGCAAACCGCACTCAATTATCTCAATTTTTGCGGCCGCAATCGTGGGCACCAGGTATAAAAATGGTGTTTCGAGAAAACGACGTTTGAAGTGAAACTACGGTTTACACGCATTATTCCTCATTACGGACGCAATTTATGACATATTTGAGTTCGGTTTGCGCCATAATATTCCTTTTTCCAACTGCGTTTCGATGGTTCGAGGGTTTTGTCATTGGACTTCAAGTGAAACACCTGCACGTTAACAATTGAGGTAAAATATGCAAAAATAGTTACCTTCTTATGAACTTCAAAAATGTGCCCAAGCCAAAGTAATTGGAATTTTGAGGTGGGGTTTGCGGCGTTCGACTCGGAATGAATAGCAGAAAAATGAGATAAAATAAAAAAGGAGGCCAAAACTTGACGATTTTCACTGGTGTGCCCCCTTAAGGACGACCAAGTGTTCATGTATATGAACACCTATGCGGCCTTATGCCATTTAGTGAACCGATTCTGCTTTTGATCAGTGGGTTTCGAACCCGGGATTTTTGACTTGTGGTGCGCGCTCTTTACCGCTGTGCTACCACGTCCCACGGGAGGCGGAGGGTCAGCTGCCTGATGACTCTACCAGCGCCCCTTGGCCACGCCTCTTGAGCTTAGTTATGAAATTTACTATCGGATTCGGAAACTTACTATTGTGTGCTCAAAATCAACACTTAAGATTCGCAATTTTCAGAACATGGTTTGAAAATTACCAACAATTGTCAATTTTACGAAATTGTTTCGAATTTTCGCATCAAGTTCTGAAAATTGCAATGTTTGTAAATTTCATATCCGTGTTCGGAAAATTGTCATCAAAATTGCTTTGAAAATTCATAATTTTTTTAACAGTGTAGGCTGCACCCCGCAGCCTACAGGATGCCCCAGACAGCCTTCCTGCGCCTGGGCCACGCTGCCCCCGGCAGCTATGAAGCTGCGGGTCACAGCTACATCTCGGCCGCATCCTGCAGCTTCGTGGATGCCATCGGCAGCATCCATATCGCTACTAGGCTTCACTCTGTAGTACATGAAGGTCCCCATGACGACCTTTGAGGGTGCCTGTTGCGCCCTTTGAAGTTCCTGAATACCGCTAGCATCCACCACACCCAGAGGAAGGAATTCTTGTGGCAATCCCGGATTTTCTATTGAATTGTTTTGATCATAATTTACTCCATTCAATCCTAATTTTCTCACTTGGAGCATGGTTTCGATCGATTATGAGAACGTGTTATTCTCAATTTTCGGCCTGTATTGCATGTTCGACTTTAAAAGTGAAGGAGGCGACGGGCATCGATCACCCGCTTTTGGACTAGATTGCCAGCTCGCAAGCCACCGCGCCAATGTGTCGCTGTGTTCAGTGTGCCTCGATAAACGCTATACACTTCGACGCCTGCTCGAGCGTTTAGAAAAATTGAAGAGAGGATCGAACGCGGAAGCTGAGATCAGCTGATGAAGCCCCGGTTTAACAGATTGCAGTAAGGGAGTATGGGGCGATTTGTAACAGATTTTGGAATTATCTATACAAAATTAAGTACATTCTGCATATCGGCGTCAAACTTGTGCCAGTTTAGCAGTCTGGGCCCCTTTATCTAGACTGTGCAGCTCCATTCGATCAATCTGGAATCCGTAATCTTGGGAAAACTAAGACGCTTTCCTAACCCTTGCATGCTGTTACGAATCGCCCCGCAGGGGTGATTTGTAACAGCCATGGGGGTTTTCATAACATCCTACACATTAAATGAAACATCGTCGGGAATGTTATCTCCTCCAGCAGTTGTACTTCGGATGTCCTGCAGACGCCTTAAAATCTACATTAAGGCTGCCGTTGACCGCCTCAGCATTAACTGACCGGCTTTGTCAACCCTAACCTCACTTTTTTCAATTTTGGAGGAAAGAATAGAATAACTCGCTTTAAAATGCATTTTGAGCTGTGTGAATGTATTGGAATTAGGCAGCAGATGATTCGAGAAAGAATTCAAGCATTTAATTGCAAAAAACTACCTCAATTCTTGTTTTTACACGGGTCTGTTACGAATCACCCCAAATGATTGTTACGCAAGAAATACGTCCCTAACTATCACTGGACAAAGTAAAAGCAATTATGCCACGTGGTTTCATTGTAAAGGGGTCACGCTTCAAGGCCCTAACGGTACTTCGATGGTGATTCATACCTGGGGGGCCTCAGACTGCAACTTCCTAGAACTCAAAATAAAAGATTTGCCTGTTTTCGGTGTACCCTATATTTCAGACGCCCTCCAAAACTTTCCTGAGCACCGATCACATCCGCTTCGATTGTTGAAGGACCCTGTACTTGAAGCGAAAGAGGGGCCATACTCAGATTTTCCTCTGCTCCCTCCACTTAAATTAATAAACGCATTTGTTACGAATCGCCCCTGTTACAAATCGCCCCATCCTCCCTTAGTGTAAGGGAGAGTGGGGTAATTCCGGACGTTTTTTTTCTTTTTGGTCTTTGAGCTTGAATATGCTTCTTGGGTCAAATGTTATCACAGGAGAGTAAAGTATGGACCTTTCCTTCAAAATGATATACATGAAAGCCAAAATTTAGCAACGGTTAGAGAGAAAAGGCGCCTAACAAAAGCCCTGCAGTGTCCGGAATTGCCCCAGGCTGGGGTAATTCCGGACGACCTATGGGGCAATTCCGGACGACCTTAAAATTTGACACTACTCGAGCTTACTTTCGCTTGTTTTGATGTGAGGCATGCTTTTAAAAGGCGTACAAGGACATTTTCTGCGAACTGAAGTGTTTGATTTTTACTCAAAGCATATTATAAGGAATAGGGTTTTATCAAAACCCCTAAATTGACAACAGTGTCTCGAGTAAAGCTCTTAAACATAGCTGCAATACTATTTTTCGTTCTTTCTTTGTCCTTCTGAACGGTGGGGATGCTTGTCCACAATTTTGAACCCACTACCTTAACATTATGCGGGAAAATTTAAGTAAATAAACCCCCCTTGTCCGGATTTACCCCACAGGTAGTGAAAACCTTTGATGTTCAATTGCGAGAAAACGGCGAGCCATACGAGCACTCCCGAAACGCCAAAGTAAAGTCCAATGACCATATAATATGATAAAATTTAAGTCATGGGACTGAACTCGACGGTAAGGTACGATAAGCACATGGAAATACGAGGAAAAGATGTAGCTTTTGCCTATTTTTGATGGTACTCAAATTTCGTGAAGCGACCACAGCCAAACGGTTTGACCTCCTTCCTTGGCGATTTGGAATTATCACATTTAACTGATTATCTTCCACTGTTACACTACAAACCCAAAGGTCAGACTTCTCGCCACTCCAGAGTCAAGACATAAAAGTCTCGCCAAGATTCGGTCAGACCTGAAAGTCTCGCCAAAATTTGGTCAGACAAAAAAGTCTCGCCACAAAACGGTCATACACAAAAGTCTGACCCCAAAATGGCGAGACTTTTGTGTCTGACCACCACCGAAAGGCCGTAATGCGCCGGACGGTTACGGCCTAAAGGCCGTGGTCAGACACACAAGTCTCGTCTTTTTCGGGTCAGACTTTTGTGTATGACCGTTTTGTGGCGAGACTTTTTTGTCTGACCAAATTTTGGCGAGACTTTCAGGTCTGACCAAATCTTGGCGAGACTTTAATGTCTCGCCATATTTTGACGTGAAGTCTTTCCATACAAATTGCAGTGTAGGCGGGCTTTTGCGTTATCTTCACTCGAACCCAGTGAAAATCGAAGTGTCCGGAATTACCCCGTGTCCGGAATTACCCCACTCTCCCTTAGTGGTATCGGTCCCGTCTGGCACTTCGATGGACTGCGGTTCAAAACCCGTCCACTTTGATATTTTTGTTTTACCTTTAGGTCCCACCCCAGCCTTAGATCCGTTGACCAACTTCAAATCCCGGCTCTGCGGTAATTTTGTTTCAACTTCAACTGAATACGTCATTACAATCTATCGCCGTGCTCAGATGCAGCGCTGTGGTAGCGCAGTGGTCAAGGTGCGTCTCCCGTAGTATACGCACCTCGGTTCAAATCCCATCTTTTTTTTCTTTTTTCTTTTTTTTTTAAACAAGTTAGCACGCTTATTACGCAGAGCTCAACATGTAAAGCTGAAAACGACCAAAAACAACAGCCCGCCCCTTTGCTATCCATCTGAAGTCCCCGGCATGCGAACGGTCAGGTTGGCCTGGGAAAACAGGTGACGCATCGGCTGGGAACCGAACCCGGATTACTATCCTGTGAGGCAGACACTCTACCACTGTGCCATTGGGCTGTTGCAGAGCTGTCAGGGTGCACTCCCAAGATCCTACTGAGCTTTTTCTTCGTAATACGAACAAAAAGCTTAGTATTATGACAGCACAGCGAAGGTAGTAACGTATGGTGAGGGGTTCTCAGTAACTTACGACCAGTTTCTTAGTATTACAAACAAATTTCTTTGTATTATAATAGATTTGTGTCGTAGAGTACTGAGAATTAGCTTAGTATTATGACAGCACGGCATTTCTCAGTAGGAAATTGGGAGTGTGGGCTCGAGAGTGTTGATGACGAAATGTAGCTGCTCTGAAGTTATGTAGTGGGGGACAACAACCACCTGATTGGTCCATTCACTGCCTAGTGCGCATGCTCCATAGCTTCAAGAATGTGTTCTCGGCACAAGAAAACCGACTTTTCTCAGGCATTGCCCGTACAAAAATGTTGGAGTCCGAAAAGCAGCCGAAAACAAGCGTTAGCGGACTGTCCGAAACACAGGCATGGGACAGTTCCGAAAGTCCGCCTTCGGGCCGTTCCAGAAAACATGGAAAAAGACCAAAGTCAGAAAGATTTCGGACCTGTCCGGAGTACGAATGAGAGTAAAAAACGGACAGTCCGGACGCAAATTACCTCCTCATCCCTCTCTGCCCTACCCCGTTCCCCCACCCCCCTTCCCCTCTCCCTTCCCCGTGTAGCCTCCCCTTCCTTCCCCCGACCCCCGCGCCCTCCCTTTTCCCCTCTCCCTTCCCCATGTGGCCTCCCCTTCCTCACCCCCTCTCCTTTCCCCATGTTCCCCCTTTCCTTCCCCCTCCTCCCCCCCTCTTTCTTACCCTTCACTTTCCCTTTAAAGCATTCTCAAAACTTGTCTACTTGTAAAATAAATAATTTGTGCTGGTGATGATTGATACTTATTATATGGGCCCTCTTATGAACCCTCCTAACACATCACTAAAATATTGAAAAATAACACACGAGTAATTGACAAATATTTATTCATCATGAAATTCATTTACTATTGGACGGACTAATTCATGATCATATTTATTATATCAGAAAATAAGCAATAGACTTTTTAAAGAAAGCCCGAAGATCCAAAGAAAAAATAAGGACTAGTTAGGATAGACTGATGAACGGACACATACATAGCTATAACTTCATAGCAGAGTTCAGAAAATAAACAATAGCATATTAAAAAATCCAAAATCAAATCTAGGTGGGTACATAGGAAGCAGAAGGGGCTGCTGGCCACTGGTAGTTGGGTGGATAAAAATACTGGTAAGGATTTGACTGCCATGCCGAAGGCTCTGGTTGAAAACAAGGTGCTTGAGAGAAGGGTGCACCGTAAGGAGTTCCAGGAGCCCCATGGAGTGGGCCTGATGGAGGTGCATGGTGGGTTGCACTCTGCTGAGGAGTTCCAGGAGCCCCATGGAGTGGGCCTGATGGAGGAGCATGGTGGGGTGCACTCTGCTGAGGAGTTCCAGGAGCCCCATGGAGTGGGCCTGACGGAGGTGCCTGGTGGGGTGCACTCTGCTGAGGAGTTCCAGGAGCCCCATGGAGGGGGCCCGATGGAGTTGCCTGGTGGGGTGCACTCTGCTGAGGAGTTCCAGGAGCCCCATGGAGTGGGCGTGACGGAGGTGCCTGGTGGGGTGCACTCTGCTGAGGAGTTCCTGGAGCCTCTTCATGGATTGGTGCCTGCGGAGGCGTCCTTGCATCCTGGCGAGGACTAGAGGCATCCTGATGTGGAGGTGCACTGATGACATCTATCACCTTCTCATGTAGAGACGGAGGAGAGTCAGCCTGCAAGCATAACAAAGTCCGTAAACAAAACAAGTTTAAGTCTAATTTAAGTTAAGTTCAAAAATAAATTACGAGCATTTGCATGAAGTAAAAGTTAGAGATTGAATTAATATCGGAAGAGTCTCTTTTGGAAGCTTATTTCTAGTGGATACTTTAAAGGAATGACAAAAACTGTCTCAAATTCACAGAAGGTAATCATGCGTGTTACTGTTATGGACCCAAGATTAATCGAAGCAATCAGCCATGTGAAATAGTCTTTAAAGGAAAGCGTGGTGACACGCTTTTCTTGAAAGGCTATTTCTTACTGCTCACTGATTTGATTAATATTTGGACCCTAACAAATGCACACATCATTACCTTCATTGTGTTTGAGGCAACATTTATCATTTGGAAGCACCGCTAGACAATAGCTGCCAAAAGAGAGCTTTGCACGATAATCAATCGAGGCCTGATAACTCACCTCAGATAACTTCAGTTTCTTGGATCTGCTCTTCTTCAATGGTTTAGTGGATAGCTTCTTCCGCCAATCTTCTGCTCGTTTGTTGATTGTTTGGACTACTTGATGCATCTTCAAACGCTTGGAAGTGTCAACATGGTTGTTAACAAAAGCTATAGAAACAAAATAATAAATAAATGAAAAATAAGACAGTACATATAGTAAGATCAGTAATAAATTGATTACACTAACACTGAGAATGAAAAAGTCATGATCAATACCCAATTTTGGGCGAGGTTTACTTTCTCACCCAAATTTGGGCGAGGAATGTTTCCTCGCCCAATTTGGGCGAGGAAAGCTTCCTCGCCCAATTTTGGGTGAGGAAGGGTGTATCAGCTCCCTATATAGCACCCTAGTATTATGACCCAAATTTGGGTGAGGAAACTTTCCTCACCCAAATTTGGGCGAGGAAAATTTCCTCACCCAAATTTGGGTAATAAAGAATTCCTCGCCCAAAATTTTAGTCATGATCATGACTCTTTCATTCTCAGTGAACGTACCATATATTGACTTCAAAACATCATAACGGATCCCATAGGTGCCAGGGTTGTTGCCTCTCCCAGTTACCAACCGAGTTCGGAAGACTTCTGTGCCATAAAGACTGAAGAGTGTTTCACGGATTAGTGAAGCAGGCTTGTTCTTGAAATCAACTTTTAACATGTCCTTATCACTGGATGCAATATAGATAGGAACCTTCGCTGTTGAACTCAATTCAGTCTGAAAAGAAATGATAAAAGAAAATAAGATTGTATGGTTTAGTTTGTTGTGCACAATACAAGAGCTGAAAAAAGCATACCTTCTTGACATTCTCCGGGATTGGAAGTAATTCCAGATAGTGGACCTCCCTCTCTTTCCCGTGGCCCTCCAGAAGATCTTGTAGTTGTCTAAGGAACGACATGCACTTGGGATCACCTGAAACAGGATAAAAATCCACATAATTAAAACTGCAGTGACAAATCTCCTAATGCTGATACATTTGTAATGTGACGATAAATAAAGAGTCAAGAAAATGTAACTATTGATTATTCATGAAAAAGAAACTTACTGTATTTGCTTAGTGTCTGGCAGACCTGACAGGAACACCATGACGACCCAGCAGCATCACCAAGATCCTTATCGGAAATGTCACCAGAGTCAGTATTTGAGACACTGCAGTCAGACTCGTTACCATCATCATCAGAAATACAGCTGTCAGAATCCCTAACACTGCCTGAAAAACAATCAGAAAATATACACATGTTAAACTCGCAACAGTTACAAAGAAAAGGTGCTAACAATAGGCAACGGCAGGAATGACAGATGGAACAGTTCAATATTACCTTAATCACTAGACGCACAGGTTGAAGAGGGGAAATTAAGTGATCTTCTCACTGAGCTCAACACCTGATGGTCCATCGCAGTTTGACCAGTGAAGCGATTAATCATTGCATCTTTCTTGGCCTTCTGAGCGGCCTGCTTGATAGGCAGAGCAGCATGGGGAACTGGGGCCCTCTGCCCCAGTGCTTGGGCTACTCTCTTCTCTGAAGCAACAGAGTCATCTTGCTGCCTCTGCCTGCGTTGCCGCTTGTTGCCGGCCTTCGCCTTCTGCATAGCCAATTCAATAGCTAATTCTTCGGACTTCTTGTCCAATTCCGCCGCGTCACCTGCAAAGTAAAAGTGAGGTTAGACTCTGACTCGAAGTCCGGAAGATTCTTTAACGACGCGAAGGGATTCAGAGCATGAAACAAACTAGCAGTCGCTAAATAAAACAGCTAGGGCTACTGAGGAAACATAACCTCTTTACTATAAAGCACGAGGAGGCTAACGGACGGGTTCTGTGATGCCCGTAAGAAATGTCGCGTTGCCCTCGCATGCATCACGCGTTCTTAACTCACTGCACAAAAATCCCGAACACTGGACACCAATAAATACTCACCACTAATCATCTTAACTTGGGCTGCGTAGAACTTCTTGTCTCCACTAAACCGAACCGGTGTTACAGCACCTACGAATCGCGATGCTGCCGGCACATTGCTCAAGGGCTCTACTGAGAACTTGCAGTCCTTAGTCCACAAGACTAATACTTTGTCCTGCTTTCCCATGGCCGAGCCAAAGAAATGAAACACTGAGAGAAATATTTGAGAACGCGCACGACGTCCCACGTTCAACAGAACACACAAGCAACAGCTGACTTTGACAATCAGCTGATGGCCTATAAATAGCTTGAATTTCAAGATGGCGGCACGCGCATACCTCCAGCTAGGCCTACTGAGGAAACATAACTCTTTACTATAAGCACGAGGAGGCTACGGACGGGTTCTGTGATGCCCAAGAAGTCGCGTTGCCCTCGCATCCCATCACGCGTTCTAACTCAGCTGCCAAAATCCCGAACTGGACACCAATGAAATCTCACACTAATCATCTAACTGGGCGCGTAGAACTTCTTGTGCTCCCTAACCGAACGGTGTTACAGCACCTACGAATCGCGATGCTGCCGGCACATGCTCAAGGGCTCTACTGAGAACTTGCAGTCCTTATGTCACAAAGGACTAATACTTTGTCCTGCTTCCCATGGCCGAGCCAAAGAAATGAAACACTGAGAGAAATATTTGAGAACGCGCACGACGTCCCACGTTCAACAGAACACACAAGCAACAGCTGACTTTGACAATCAGCTGATGGCCTATAAATAGCTTTAATTTCAAGATGGCGGCACGCGGCATACCCTCCCAGCTAGGGCAACTGTTGAACTATTTTAGTATAATTATTTATTAAATGACTGCTGGGTTCAAATAAACAATTTAAAAAAACTAAAGGATAAAGAAATAATTATTATGAAGCGTTTTATCTACCATAAAAGTATTTCAAATCGGAAATCAGAGTGGAACAAACAAAAGTTGTCGTTGTTTAAAGTGCCGTAGGTGACGTTATGACGTAGTGCCTGCCCCCGCTGCCCCTCTCCCCCACACCCCCTCACCCCACCTTTCCCGCGAACTCACTTTCCACTATTATAAATTGAATAACGTAAGCCGGCCGGGAAAAAAACTATTTCACGCGGAAAATTCCATGACTTCGATAAAGGAAAGCCTTAACTGCTTTTATGGGCCATAAACTACAAGAAAGAATGAAAACCCTGGCTACTACGGTTCATCTCCCAATGCCATGGCCGATACACCTCTCTCTCTCCCCCTCCCCCACTGTCCACTGCTTGGATGATTGACGGGACGGGAGGTTAGGAACCCCACGGTCGCCACATGTGGCCGTCAGAAACACTGATTTTATCAATTGACCAACTCTCTTAATTTGTTTTAACCACTGGCTAATGGCTGATGACCTATCGCGTCGACGGAAGTTATATAGAAGGAAAACAAGAGATGCAAACTTTAAACGGCGAGTGTCAGACGAATCCTCGTCAGACTCAGAACCAGGTACTGGTAGTTATTTTGTTCAAGACGTTTTCGTTCTAGTTTTGGCAGAGTTCATAATCGTGTACTTTTGTTCTGAAGATATTTTGACACGGGCAAACTTAAAGAGGTCACGCTTAGATGGCAGCAGTAGTTCCACATCTGGGAATCAGAATCACTCTGAGGATGGCACTTCAAATTCTGATGCTGAAGTGAGCGGCTCTGGAAATTCTGAGGATCTGAATGCTCAAGGTAAGAACAAGAGCCTCTACCATACCACTTTTATTGTAGCTCTGTGGAGAGTTAATTTTTTCATTCCTATCTGTTTTATTTTTAGGTAACTTGGCTGAAGACAGAGATGGAGATGAAGACGGGGATGAAGCTAGGGAAGGAGGAGATGGAGAGGAGTCCGATGACAGTGGAGGTTTTGGTCACAATGTTGAAGGTATGTATCACTCTCTCGTCAATCCTTTGTGGTGTTGCAGGCAGTTTTTCATTTGGCTCTATTTTGATCTTAGAAATCCCAGCTGAAGGTGGAGATGATCGGCAGCCAGACAACAGTGAAGAGATGAGTGATGAAAACGCAGGGGAAGAGAATGTGAATGATGAAGATGATAGTTCCGAGGCCAGTGGGCATGTTGCTTCAGAGAGTGAAAGTGATAGTGAAACAGAGCATAGTGATCAATCTAATCATGAAGAGCCTATCTCAGATGAAGAGGATTTTGATAATCGTGATAACCAACCACTTTATGATGGTGCTCCAATCACAAGACTACAGAGTGCAGTTGCAATATTGGCGTTTGCCTTATCTTATAAATTGTCGGGTGCTTGCATTAATGATTTACTTGGGCTTATTGCTTTGCACTGTCTCCCAAACAACCTATGCTTAAAATCACTTTATCTGTTTAGGAAGTTTTTTGACATGTTAGGTAGAAAAGATTCTGTGCGTCACTATTTTTGTTCTGGGTGTGAAGTGCCTTTAGAGACTAAGACTAGTGTTTGTGGTAATTGCGGTGGAAGAAGTGAAGTTTCATTTTTTCTAGAATTTCCTTTGGCCATGCAGCTGCAAGGCATGTTTAGGAGACCAGAGTTTTATGAATCTCTTCAATTTAGGAACAACCGTAGGAAAAAAAAATGAAAACAATCTTGAGGACATGTTCGATGGAGAAGTTTACAAAGAGTGGATTAATACGGGTTTTCTCTTTAATGTTAATTCTATTTTTATTACTTTCAACATGTTTTTTGATGGCCTCTCTGTGTTCAAAAATTCTAAGTTTCAGCTGTGGCCTTGTATCAATCAATGAACTGAAGTACAAAGATAGGATCAAGAAAGAAAATGTTGTGATTGCTGGATTGTGGTTTGGACCAAAGAAACCGAATCCTAATTTGTTTCTACAGCCTATATATGTGTCATTAGAGAGATTTCTGTCCGAAGGCTTTAACTTAGAACTGTCAAATAGGGAGATTGTCAATGTGAAAGGAAGAGTTTTGTCTGCTGTTGGTGACTTGCCTGCCAAAGCCCTGTTCATGAAACTCACTCAGTATAATGGACTTTATTCCTGCTTCAATTGTCTGTCTAGTGGAGCACGGTATGGTGTGGGAAATGGTACCATTCAGGTTTTTCCTTTTTCGAGAAACTTTCAACCGCGTCACACTGCTGACATGGTAGACTTTGCCCATTAGGCTCTTCTGGCTCGACAAGTTGACCCAGAGGCAACGGTGTATGGTGTTAAAGGTCCAAGCCTGTTGGCTGGATGTCTGCCTGACTTTGTAAAGTGTATGGGACTTGATGTCATGCATGGAGTGTTCCTTGGACTGATGAAAACTCTAATGGATCTGTGGTTCAGTACTGAACATAAGCAATGTGAATTTAATATCTCAAACTGTAATGACATAGTTGATTCCCGTCTCAAAAGTATAAAGCCTCCATTTTCTTTACAGCGCTTGCCACATCGCTTGAAGGATATTGCCTTGATGAAGGCCTCTGATTTTAAATGTTTCTTTTTTTCTATTCAATACCTATACTTTATGGCCTTTTACCAGCTGTTTATTGGAACCACCATTGTAAAATTGTATCAGCTATTAAGGGAGTATGGGGCGATTTGTAACAGGGGCGATTCGTAACAAATGCGTTTATTAATTTAAGTGGAGGGAGCAGAGGAAAATCTGAGTATGGCCCCTCTTTCGCTTCAAGTACAGGGTCCTTCAACAATCGAAGCGGATGTGATCGGTGCTCAGGTATAGTTTTGGAGGGCGTCTGAAATATAGGGTACACCGAAAACAGGCAAATCTTTTATTTTGAGTTCTAGGAAGTTGCAGTCTGAGGCTCCCCAGGTATGAATCACCATCGAAGTACCGTTAGGGCCTTGAAGCGTGACCCCTTTACAATCAAACCACGTGGCATAAGTTGCTTATACTTTGTCCAGTGATAGTTAGGGACGTATTTCTTGCGTAACAATCATTTGGGGTGATTCGTAACAGACCCGTGTAAAAACAAGAATTGAGGTAGTTTTTGCAATTAAATGCTTGAATTCTTTCTCGAATCATCTGCTGCCTAATTCCAATACATTCACACAGCTCAAAATGCATTTTAAAGCGAGTTATTCTATTCTTTCCTCCAAAATTGAAAAAAGTGAGGTTAGGGTTGACAAAGCCGGTCAGTTAATGCTGAGGCGGTCAACGGCAGCCTTAATGTAGATTTTAAGGCGTCTGCAGGACATCCGAAGTACAACTGCTGGAGGAGATAACATTCCCGACGATGTTTCATTTAATGTGTAGGATGTTATGAAAAGCCCCATGGCTGTTACAAATCACCCCATGCTGGGGCGATTCGTAACAGCATGCAAGGGTTAGGAAAGCGTCTTAGATTTCCAAGATTACGGATTCCAGATTGATCGAATGGAGCTGCACAGTCTAGATGAAGGGCCAGACTGCTCAACTGGCACAAGTTTGACGCCGATATGCAGAATGTACTTAATTTTGTATAGATAATTCCAAAATCTGTTACAAATCGCCCCATACTCCCTTACATCACTGTCCCGAGATAGCATTTCTGATGATGAAATCGACACTGCTGAAGAATTAATTCGTTCATATGTATTAGAATTTCAAAGGCTGTATGGAGTTCGGTATTTGGGTCTAAATTTGCATCAACTTCTCCACCTCTGTTTCATTGTACGTAATCTAGGGCCAACATGGGTGTATTCATGTTTCTTTTATGAAAGTTTGAACGGCCAACTGTTAAGACTTGTTCATGGCACCCGCCATGCTGCCTTACAAATAAGTTCTTCTGTTTTTGCTTGTCTGAACTTAGCAATTTTAATTTCTGGAATGGCTGAAGGTGAAGCAAAACAGTTGTGTTTAAAATTTCTGAACAGTGGGAAGAGGAGACATAAAATTGCAGAAGTAATTGATGATGATACCTCTGTTCTTGGTGTGTATCAAGAAGCTAGGCTACCACAATATGTTAGAGAACTTCTTCATAATACCTTTGCCATTCCAAATGGAGGGCGGTTCAGGCAGTTTTTAAGACTTAAAAGAAAAGGATGGATTTACAGCTGTGAAAACTATGTCAGATCTACTAAAAGACAATCATGTTTTGTGGAAGTGTGTGAAAATGGCGTCCCACAATTAGGGAAGATAAAATCATTTGTACGTTGGTCATCGTGTGGTGTTCACTGCCCTAAATTATGTAATGTTTGTCCCAATAGATTTGTTTGTGTAGTTGCTTTATATGATAGAGTTCCATGGCAGTTGCAGGATTTAGGTCTCGTTATTCCTCACCTCAACAAAGTTAAGCCCTCTGAAAGGTGTGTGGCAGTCAGCCTTGATTTTCTGTCACAAGTGTGCCTTTACTTCAGTTTTGGCGACAATGAATTCATGTGTACGCCAGTTAACTCTTTAGAAGTCGAACTCGCGCTGCTCGCTGGGGCTCCGCCCCCAGACCCCCGCATGTGTGGAGCGCGTGCCGGAGTATTTAGTAAGTCCGTGGTGACCAAAGGCAAATTTTCTAAGGAAGTAAATGTCCTGCTTCTTTAGCTCTATTTAACCGCTTTTGACCCTATAATAAGGCTACATTTACTGCCCAAATACATAGCTTGTATTGCATTGGCTACTGTGGCAGTCAATGGGTGCCTTGACCCCAAACATTTCTGTGAGTGAGTGAGTCAGTGAGTGAGTCAGTCGGATTGGGGCTATATAGGTTCTTGATTGATGAGTGAGGGAGTCAGTCAGTCGGATTTTGGGGCTTTATATGTTCTTGATGACAATTGATGATTGATTTTGAGGATGTTGCCGGTGACGGGGACCCGATTGCGGCACAGTTTCGGAAATGTCTCGACCAGACCTATCGATGGGGCGAATAAAAATTTTTAGTCGGTCGGTCCCCTTTTTTGAAGATTGAGTGGATTTTGTTGAATTTAGGCCTATTTAATCGTTTTTGAGGATGTTGCCGGTGACGGGGACCCGATTGCGGCACAGTTTCGGAAATGTCTCGACCAGACCTACCAATGGGGCGACTAAAAATTTTAAGTCGGTCGGTCCCCTTTTTTGAAGATTGAGTGGATTTTGTTGAATGAATTTAGGCCTATTTAATCGTTTTTGGCCCGCCCTTCTATTCAAAAAATAGGGGGAGGGCCTGTGTGTTGTTGTTGTTGTTGTTGGCGTCTGTGTACAAGGAAGGAGTTGAGCTAGAGTAACCAGATTTGGAGGGTACTTCAGGAGTACCGTCCAAACAAATAATCCGGTGGTGCAAATCCCGTCCGGGTCGCACAAGGGCTGCTGCAGGTGCATCATGGTTTACATGAGCGGGAGGGGGATTTCCGCCATTATTGGTGCTAGCAGGGCACATAGGGGTATTTTTGGAATCGGGGCGACGAGACAAGATGAATGGACCTGGTCCCGACCCCATCGGCCGCTTTTACAAGTTGGCCAGATCAGGATCTTCAAAAAAGGGGGTCGACCGACTAAAAAAATTTATTGCAGATTTCGATTGGTCTCAGCAAGACCTTTTCAACGAGGGGTCGGAAAGGGGGTCCAGGAGCCCGACTTCGTCTATTAGTCACAGCAGGATCTTGAAAAAAGGGGGTCGACCGACTGAAAATTTTTACTTAAGTTTTGGATAGGTCTTGGCAAGCCCTCCTCAACGAGGGGTCGGAAGGGGGGTCCAGGATCCCGCCATCATGAGTTATGGGAAAAAGTGCAACGGACTCGTTTTGCGGTCCAGCTGTGCCTTTATTGCAAGGAGTTGCAGTAGCATGGCAAATATGGGTATTTTCGGAATGAGGGCGAAGAGTAAGGGGTATTGAAATGCACGCTTTTTTGATTTTCATACCGGCCCAACCGGAAAATTGTTTTTTCATCTATTTAATTAGCCTACGCCAAAACTGAGACCGGTCGAACAGGACCTAGGGGTCGCCAATGTTTTTTTAAGGTTCAATTTCGACACTGTTTGCTAAATTCCGAGAATTTTCGTGTTGTGGGTTCCCAGATCGACCGGTCTAGACCGAGCACCCCGGACTCGTTTTTTTTCTCTTTCTACTTAGTACGGGGGGGTAAAATGAGAGCTCGTGGGGTCCGATCGGACATGTTTGGGAAAATTAGTAACGTTGTTTTGGTGAAAAAAATGCCTTTTTTTAGCGTTTTTAAAAATTTGGAATTTTTTAGCTGTTTTGTGTCTGCACCAAACGAATCGTCCTGAACGTCATATTACAGAAAAAAGTCTCAGCTTTTGAATGCCGTATCGGGAAATGCTCTACGACCTTTCGTTAAGGAGATACAGGCGTTAAACGAATAACATGTCACTCAAAATGTCAATTTAATTAGTGATTTTTATCAGTGGAGTGCTTCCTTTTTCATTGCTACCTTAACAGTTTGTAAAGATTTCGCATACTTTGAGCCTGGGCGTCAGCTACTGCGATAGCGAGGAGGCGGGGGTGGGGATCGAGGTGCGGTGGACGTGCACACTGTAGGTAGCTCGGCCCAGGCGGCACAGGTGAGACTGCAGGTGGTGGGGGAAAGCAGCCAGTGGGGGGGGGATGCTGGCTTCTCGGTAGCACACGTGCTGCGTCTCGCTCCGGTCCGGCCCCCCGCGCGTGCGCTTCAGTGTCAGCTGACAGTGTAGGCGTTGCCGTCAAACGGGCCAGTCGTCTTGATGTCCGCCATCAAGACGACTGGCCCCTTGGACGGCAACGCTACACTGTCAGCTGACACTGAGCGGAGCGGACCAGACTGAGCGGACCGGAGCGAGACGCAGCACGTGTGCTACCGAGAAGCCAGCATCCCCCCACCACTGGCTGCTTTCCCCCACCACCTGCAGTCTCACCTGTGCCGCCTGGGCCGAGCTACCTACAGTGTGCACGTCCACCGCGCATCGATCCCCACCCCCGCCTCCTCGCTATCGCAGTTGCTGACGCCCAGGCTCAAAGTATGCGAAATCTTTACAAACTGTTAAGGTAGCAATGAAAAAGGAAGCACTCCACTGATAAAAATCACTAATTAAATTGACATTTTGAGTGACATGTTATTCGTTTAACGCCTGTATCTCCTTAACGAAAGGTCGTAGAGCATTTCCCGATACGGCATTCGAAAGCTGAGACTTTTTTCTGTAATATGACGTTCAGGGCGATTCGTTCGGTGCAGACGCAAAACAGCTAAAAAATTCCAAACTTTTAAAACGCTAAAAAAAGGCATTTTTTTCACCAAAACGACGTTACTAATTTTCCCAAACATGTCCGATCGGGCCCCACGAGCTCTCATTTTACTCCCCGTCCTAAGTAGAAAGAGATAAAAACGAGTCCCGGGTGCTCGGTCTAGACCGGTCGATCTGGGAACCCACAACACGAAAATTCTCGGAATTTAGCAAAACAGTGTCGAAATTGAACCTTAAAAAAACATTGGCGACCCCTACGTCCTGTTCGACCGGTCTCAGTTTTGGCGTAGGCTAATTAAATAGATGAAAAAACAATTTTCCGGTTGGGCCGGTATGAAAATCAAAAAAGCGTGCATTTCAATACCCCTTAGCGAAGAGACAAATGAAACGGGCATATTCTAAGGACAGTTGGAGTAAAAAGTGTAAGGACTATTGCATATTGTGAATAGAAGGGCGGGCCTGAGTCACGATGGTACATCGATAACTTTGCTTTACCCGCTCACGGTGTGTGTGATGCGAGCGGGCCGAAGGCCCGGGCCTTCGACTGGCCAAGTTGGGCCTGATGCGAGGGCCGAAGGCCCGAGAAAAGGCCGCCGGCAGGCCAAGTGAGGTGGGAATCCTACCTGACGGTCGCCGAACCCTGGCGATCACGTCCGCTAACACAGAGAAGGCGAGCGTGGCGTGGGAGCCGTTCCAGCGGGAAAGTAGCCTTGCAGTGGTCCACAAGAACCGCTCGTTCTCCGGAACTAAACAAAATACATTGGGGCGTTGATCTTTTCATTTAGAGGACATATCAAGGTACATTTTGAGCCATAGAACGCCATTTTTGATCAGGGTACAAAAAAGTTGCATCATTTTTAACATTTCACTATAAAAGTGCAAAAAGTAAAAGTTTCCAAAAATTTTTGGAAAAAATCTTATCTTTTTCAGTTTTTCTTCCTCTTTCCAACGGTATAAGCAGTTTTGAGAAAGGACAAATACTTTCCGAGATATAAATTTTTTTAGGTTGATAGGTAATTTCTTTTACCAAAAATGAAGTTTGAGATATCTCAGACCCCTGTCGACTTTCCGGGGAAAAAAGTACCGGGCCTTCAATGGGCCCATAGGGCCAACAATCCCTGAAAATACCGCTGGGTTCGGCCGACACGTCCCTCAAAACCTTGACGACTTGGCGTGGAATGACCCTAGAGAACATCATAAAATGACCATACGCAGTGAAAAAAGCAGACAGATCTGAAAATTATTTTAAGTCGCACGATGTCGCATTTTTTGGCGTTTCGCGCCACTGTGCGCTGCGGACCCTCGGCCGCGCCACAGTGCCGCCCTTCAGCCTCGCCGCGTTCGGTCCGCGGTCGACCAAATCAAAATGTAAAGACGCCGGGGCACGTAAAAAACCTTCCTGAATCTCCTGAGCTAGTCAGAAATGTTGTACGATGAGCCGTTTAGCCGCAAAGTGGTGTAAACCTCGGCCTGGCGGCGTCCCGGCTCGAAAAAGCTGGGACTCCAGGGCGCTCTTCTCTCATGATTGAAGCAACCCGCAGGGACGATGAAGAGATAGCCCCGTCCATTATGTGGAGAACTTCACACTTCCTGGTGCGGAGTGACGCTCCCCACTTGATTTCACAGCAGCCCGATGCGTGGAGGTGTGTGCTGTAGGTATGCCCTGTTCCAAGGGCAGGCCAGGGTGCTAGGGCTTGGCCAATGATGGGGTGGCGGCAGCGCGCAGCGGACCAGAAGACCGGTGGAGGCGCTCAAAATCCTGGCCGAGTTTTGAGCACCAGAGTCGTTAAATGGGACTCCAACAGAACACGTGACCCCACAACCCAACCAATGGATCGCCGCTCTTCGAACGAGGAACCGAGGTCGGTCACACGCTCGGGGTTCGAGTCCTGTTTAGCGACTCTGGAGCTCAAAACGCGTCTAGAGTTCGGGCCGCTGGCGCCGGTCTTCTGGCCCGTGCAGGAGTAGGGCTATCACGTAGCAATCTTCGGAAGTCACTGGTGGTTGCTCGGGATATGCGGCACTTGCTGAGCATACACTGTCCGGCCAATGGCTCAGATTGTGCCGGATTTAGCTTGGAGCCATAGTGTGTCTAGGAGGACGTTTTAGACGGTATTCACGTGCATCGTAAGTTGTGGACAAATTTGTACTAGGAACCATTCCATAAATTCTTAAGCACGGTATGGAAATATTGGCGGATATTTTCTCCATATTACAGAAGAAAATTCGACAAAATATCGACAAGGCACAATGCATTTTCAAAGGTGAGTTTACAAACAGTCAGCTGCGCGCTGCACAATCATCACAGGCAGTTTCCTCTATGAAATAGAGAATCTTCACTACTTTCTAGAGTGCAGTCACGGCCAGCCGTTGTGCAGATCGAGCGCCTCGAGACGGTTGGCTCAGCCCAGCAGCTGCCTGGCGGTGTTGATGCCGCCGGCGATGCCGTTGCTGACAGTGGACACGCCGCCCTGCACCCGCCTGGACCCGGCGGCGATGGCGCTGTCGATGTTGTTGGTGACGCCGGTGGCGACGTTCTCGGTGGCGTTCACCAAGCGGTCCACGAGGTCTAACTTGGTGCGCACCGCGTTGCTGCCCAGGTTGGCCACGCCGTTCACCGCGGCGGTAGAGGCGTTGACGGCGGCCCCGGCGATGCGCCCCAGGCCGACGGCGTTGGCGACCTGTCCGACCAGGTTGATGCCGGTGAGGGCGGCGCCCTGGGCCGCGCGGATGCCCGTCTCGGCCACGCCGCGCTTGAGCCCCGTCACACCGCGGGCTACGTTGGCGGCGACGGAGACGCCCTCCCCGGCGGCCTGGTTCAGGGCGCGGTTCACGCCGGCCTTGACCCTCACGCCCGCGTTGACCAGGTTGCCGGTGGCGTTGACGGCGGTGGTGGCCAGCCCGGAGGCCGCGTTGACAGCGCCGTTGAGAACACCGTTGGCAGTACCGTTGGCAGCACCGTTGCCGGTGAGGCGCGACACAGCGTTGATGCCGAACTGAGCGAGCCTCCCTACCAGGAGGGGAGAACCATTAGCCGATGGCACCTGGACCAACGCCTGCAAACACCAGATAGCCGAAGTAAGAAAACATTGTCAAGAAACCAATGTGGAGAACTCGGGAGAACTCCTCCACACTTCCCAGTGCAGAGCTTTGGACGTTTGGAGTTTGCAGTCCACGAGTAGCTAGAGCCCCTATCTGTTGGCATGGTACAGACGAAGAACAAGAAACTAGCGCGGAGGCGGCAAACTCTGCACTTCCAAATGCGAAGACTTGCAAATTCCACTCGTCTGCATGCCAAGTGCGGATTTTTCTCCACACTTGGTGTCACAGTAGTGAGTGATGCACAACAAAACTACACAGTTAATTCAGTGCGCACAGCTCTTTCGCGCCTCCGGTGTACTCACGACGGCGAGTAGAGCCACGAGGGCGAGGCCGGAGAACGAGGCGCTCATGGTGTCGGACGGCGAAGCGAAGTGTGGTCAGCGAGGTGGTCCAGCCCCTTATATGCGCTGCCCCGCGCAGTGCGCCGCACGGCAGCGGGCAACGATCAGCCCAGAAGTGCGGTCGTGCCCCGCCAGTTTCTGTTTGCACAGGTGAGCCACGTAATTTGAGCAGCAGGTGTCGTTATACGCCATTATCATGCAATCACATAATTCCGAGAAACGCTGTGTGGGGAAAAGACTGTTTTCTTTGTGTTGACGTGCGGCAGAAGCTCACGGCTGAAATCTGACGAATTATTTTGAGCATATGTAAGCCGATAACTATTAACTTTCTTTACCAAGAAATAGTTCGTAAATTTGGAAGTATTTTCTTGGCAAGCTTCGTTTGCTCAAAAAACTTTGTCATGACTTTACTGGTTAAGGCCGAAAATAGTTGTAAGGTTTCGAGAGTGCTGATTTTAATTGCTTTGAGTACCAAGCGAAGAGTAAAGGCTTTGACTTTGTGCTTTACGGGCCTCACTGTCCATAAGTACACACAAATGCATACTGGGCGAGTACAAAATTTCATTTGCACACAAACCTTATCCGAGCAAATAAATGCCGAGATCTCCGCATCACAAGTGTGCGGTTTGTCTGGCTTGGTAACCACATTGATCGCACGCGACGAGCAGGCCAAACACATTTAACCCGCATTAAATGCGCGCACTTGAAACACTTTGTGGAGCTCGTCCAACCACTTTTGCTGGTGTCCAAACGCATTTTCCCACGGTGGTGTTGGTGTTTTTTTTTTTTTTTTGGGATGATGTGTCAAACAGCAAAAAAAAAAAATACGATTTTAAGAAATCCTAGGAGTCACGAAATCAATTTGATTATTGTGCAAGAGTGTGGAGAAAGAAAAGAAGTGGTGTTGTGAAGTTGTGGCTCAGGGGACTACCATGGCATGGTCCCAAGGGCGATTGCCACCGCAAATTAAAACTTAAAAAAATGAAGAGCATTCCACGTTTCGGGGATTTTCTCCATTTGCCAAAGTGAGAAATACCAATTAAGTTTTTCTGATTTTGGGGCCTGGTGTACTAGAGATGGCAAGGAAAGAAAGACCGTCATTTCCCAAAAACATGGCCATGGTACCCCTTTTAGTGGGTGGCACAAAAAACGCACGGAAGTTACAAAGTGTGTCAGCTTTAACGGTGACCGGGGTTTTGGCAAAAGTCGTTATCGAATATGCTCTAACCCGAATTTGGGAAAATTTTTTCCCCTGTGTTGAACTTGGGAAAGGGGTCCACGGAATTACGGTAATTTTGATAAGCCATTTTATAATCTTACCCGTTTAGCCTTTAAATTTAGATTTCCGCACCCTGCAATTTTCCCCAGGGACTACTTTAAGGCTTGTGTGGGGAATTTAAAATTTGGCTTGGGGAAAGCCAGAGTGTTTTTAAAATTTGTGTAGTTAAATTAATATACGGGGACATTTTTCTTGCACAAAACCTTTGAAAAATCGGCGTATTGGTTTCGGTTGAAATTAGCCGAGACAGCCAACTTAACCCCATAATGGCGTTTTTTGAACCACACCGCCACACTGGGGGCAAAGTTCAGTTGTTTTTTTCCGGGAATTTGAGGTTTCCAAACGCTACGTAAGAATCCAAGAACAAAATTTTTCAAATTTGGGGTTTATGGGCAAGGTTAAAAGAAAAAAATGTGAATTGGCTCGGGGCACAGGAGTGGAAACAAAACACCCCGAAACTGAAATTAAAAACAAAATGCTGGAAAATTCAAAAAATTCCAATGCAATGTATTCCGCAGTTTTCTGACAATGGAACATCTTTTCCATCATTATTAAAATGTTCTTGGCAGAAAAAAGGGCAGAAAATTTATTTTCAGGGGTTGGGCAACTAGTTTCTCGGCGTCTGCGCCCTTGCGAAAATCGCGAAGCTAAAAGCACCAGCAGTCGCACATAAAAACTGCCCCTCCATTGTTGCTGACGTTGAATTGTTTGACTTGTTTCAAAAGGCTATGGTTCTCTAGTCATGTTTTCTTCAATTCTGTGTAATAGTTCTCCCTTACAACGTATCAACACCACGACGGTTGGTTTGACAAACTTCATAAACTCGGGAGGGATGGTTTCGAAACGCGGGTGAGTCTTGTTCGAGGAACATGAGCACTGCAAGTCGCGAGGTGGAGCGAAGTGGTCCTAGTGCTAACTGAATCACAACAACAACAAAATTGTTTTATTGACAGAAAAAAAAGGAATATTTGAGAAACTTTATGTCAGAAAAAAAGAACTTTTGTTTTGCTAATTTTTTGTGAATATTTTTTTAGAAAGTTATCACATAAAAATGGAAAATTTGTTTTATATGAATTTTCATAAGCAGGAAACAAAGAAAAAACAAGAAAGAGAGCAGAATTAATACAGATTTCAAATGCTACAGTTGGTCAAACTGTTAAACAGGTTGCAAACCTACTGCGCATGTCCAAAAACACTCCGATCAAGAAGTATTATTGGATAGTTCTACCCGAAAAACTGCGTTCGAACCGACACCAATTCTATTGTTGTGCAGTCAAAGAAATTTTTCACTTCGAACGTGCTATTTCAGCTTTTGGAGTAAGATGTACAGACCCAAAAAGAAGCTCGGCTATTAGTCCGCCCCGGCTCGGGCTCCCCCCACTTCCTTTTTTTTCCTTTGACAAGTCGAGTTTTGCCATGGAAACGGTGATTTTGACAGCAAATTTCTCAAAATTGGCCGTTAACTTTTTAACCAGATTTCAGCATGAGAATCAGCGTTTAAAATTCTACAAGTCTGCAAAATCTCATTAAAATCGTATAGAAAATTTCCGAAATGCATAAAGGGCCACACAAATTGAATCTCGGGCCGGCTGAATCCTGGGTATACTATAAGGCTACTTCGTGCCTAAAAACGCGGGCAAGCAGGATGGGCCGCAGAGATGATGATGCGAAGCCGCTGCAATCTTCTATATATATCCATTTAAGGAGTATCAGCGCCACCGCCACACTGACCTCAGGGGTGGCGCGGGGGGTTGATGGCTTGCGGAGGGATTGAGAAGGGGGAGGGGAAGAGGGGAAATGATAAGTGATCTCCCCGCGGGTATGTGCTGCAACTCCATTCATGTGGCCCGCCACGGCACGTGTCCTTGTCTGAAGCTGTGGAGAGAGAGAGAGAGAGCCAAACGAGAGAGAGAGAGAGAGAGACCCCGGGAGGTGATCTCGATCGGCAAGCCGCTCCCAAATCCATCATCGTCTTGGTGCTCCGGTGACGGCCAAATCCGAGGAGCAGCGGCGAGTCCAGGGCGGCCAGCGGCGTGGGGACAAGCTAGACGGCCGTCGCGGACGACGACGGAGCTTGCCTCGTCGCCAGGCCCGTCCGGATGAAATTAGAATAAATGACATCAACATCTCCGCAGCTCAGCAACCCGAAGCGGAGATGAGCCACTGTTCGCGTTTCGTCATTTCGTCATTTCTTCTTTCTTCTTCGTCTTCTTCTTCTTCTTCTTCTTCTTCTTCTTCTTCTTCTTCTTCTTCTTGGGAATTTGAGTCGTTTCACGTTCGTCGTGACACGTCCGTCCAATTAGCATGTCGCCGTAATCAAAATCACGTTCCTCGGGCATTGACGTCATTTTCAAATGGCCGTGTCTCGACACATTTTCAAGAACGTGACATCACATTCGTTGAAAAACAGTAAACAGTAATGAACACCTGTCATTGCACTATATACTCAAACCAAACTAGGACGAGCTCTCAGTTCTCGCCGTCAAGGGCCGCTGCCGCTGTCATGGTCGCTAGAAAGAGCTCCTCAGAGTTCGAGTCCGGTTCAAATACTATAAAGTCTTACGGATATCGGGTTTGTACGTTACGGGTGGTTTCGGGCAGCCACAATACGGAAGAAATTTACTGTATAATAGAAATTTACCTTAGCGGGGGTAACGACTGGTTAATTTCGTGTCAGCCAGATCACAGATACCCGCGCACTGAGAAAACCTTACAAACTATTTCAGGCCTTACAAGAAAAGCATCTTGTAGTAACAAAGTATTTTGAACAGGTAAGCTTACAAAGAAAATACTTCGTAATTTACGATATATTTCTTCGTATAACAAAGTAAATTAGTTTGTAGCGGTTTGTGTATGTATGCTCAAAATACTTCGTAAGGTTTTAAGCGTGCAAATAACCTGCGAATTACAAAAAAATCTCATTCAACGAACGTTAATGAAAGCAGATGATACTCGTTTGGTTTTCTTCTGGGATCATTAGTATGGGCTCATTCCAAAGACAGTTCTTAAAATCTCATTCAACGAACGAGGCCGAGCTGGCGCCGAAGTCGGCAAGAGCTGAGCAGAGCCGAGGTCTGCCCGAGTCACCCACCCTTTGAGACGTGGCAGGCGGAGAGGGATTGTCAATGTTGCGCGCGGGCCGTCGCGCGCGAGGAGGGGGTAGGGGGTGCCATTGTCCGCGTAGGCTGCGCCTCACCGCCAGCCACCCCAGCCCCCGCACCAGCCCCCCCGGCGGCCAGCCCCTATTATATTGTTAGGATACGCGCTTGGTTTCTGGACTCGAGAGTAAAAGCACGCTGACACCTTCATGTGTATAGTATTTTTAAGTATGTTTCAAGTGTGGTGAAGGTATCATCTGCTAAAAAAAAAACTATTCCTGAATTATCGTTGGATTGCAGGATTGCCTCGGATTACCGAAGTCGTTACCCTTCGTTTGGTCCTCAGAACGCCCTAAGAGTTTCCGTTGGTCACGAAGAATTATCCGTAAGGTAATCAATCGAATTTCAATGTCCATCTTCGCCATTTCTTTCATCCAGAAATCATCGACTTTTATTCGATTCAATGAACCGCTGGGTGTGACATTGGGCGGAAATATTCCACCTGTTAGTCTATTACAGCACTTTGCTTGGACTGGATTGGCTTCGGAAGCGGCGGGCGGGAGACGGCGGCGGCCCGCCCCGCCTCACCCCGCCCCGCCTCACCCCGCCTCGCCTCGCACCGCCTCACCCCGCCCCGCCCCGCCTCGTCCTGATTGCCGGATTCCGCTAAAGCACCCCAATGATGTTGGAACGCGGCAATCACAGACTCCAATTATTCGATAAATTGCCCTGCTGCTTGCTGCTCAAGCCCTGCCTGACCCTGCCCCGCCAGCAGACTGATTCCCCGAGTCGTTTTCGTCGCTCTGTCCCCCTCGCACAGACGAGTGCGAGAGAGACAGATCGACGAAAAAGACTCGGAGACTCAGTCTGCTGGCCCCGTCCACGAAAAAAAGAAGGGACAACGAAAAGTATGTTGATTTTTGGGAAGCTAAAAAATTGTTGGGGACACCCTTTGTTGTCAGAAGAAATTTCGTTTGCAACCTATTCGTGGAGTACTAAACCTTGAAAGTTTTTACCCTAAGAATAAGTGTGGAGCAAATGTTCGTTCTCACAACAAATTTTAGACGTCTAACAACTTTTTTTTTCATCCCAAAAACAAAAACATTTTCTTGTCACAACAAATTCTTTTTTTCCTCCCGGGGGGGCCGCGCCAAAAGCCGGGAAAGGGGGGGGAGCGCCGGGCAAGGACGGGCGGCACCGCAGGGCCAGTAAATAAGGGACCTCAAACCAATTTTAGGGGGAAAACTTCTTCTCTTCCCCCTTCCTTTTCTCTCCTCCTTCTTCTCCCCCTTTCTTTTTGGCTTTAAACGCCCTTCGAAATTTTGGGGCCAAAACTGAAACTTCGCATGCCAAGTCGGAACGAAAATTCCGAGATATTTCTCCGCTTGGTTTTTCCCGGGGGCCAAACGCCGGGGACACTAAAAGACCGAAGCATTCTCGCCCAAAGGCTTTTGAAAATCCCTCCCCGGGTGTCCGGCCAAAAAGGGGGTGGCAACCGCGGAAAAGGGGAAGGGCTTCTCCAAAAAATGCCATTCGCCCCCCGTTTTCATCCTCCCCCGACGGCCCCGCCAAAGAACGCAAACATTCTCCCCCCCCTCCCCCCTCTCCCCTCTCTCTCTCTCCTTCTCTCTCTCTCTTTTCCTCGTTTGGGTAATTAAAAACCAAATGCCCCCCTTTTCCATCAAACAGACAATGGTAAAGCAGGGGCAAAGGGCGGGGGAAGGAACCCCCGGGGGGGGGCCCCCCGCAGGGCCATCATCTGTTCTTCTCGCTTTTTATGGGGCCCCCGGGACGGGAAAAAGGCACGAAACCCTTTAAAAACCACCCTAAAATTTTTTCCTCATTCCGGAGGGTCCTCCCACGTTTTGGGGGGCCCCGGGGTGGGGGTGGGCCGCCGGTCCGAAAAAATTTTCCTTTTTGGGGTTTTTTTGCACCCCAGGTTAAAGCACAGGGGTTTTTAATGTCCCCGGGTTTCCCCCGGCCCCGCCGGGGGGAAAGGGGCAATTAAATTTGGGGGGGCCCCCGAAGGGGCGCCCCGCCCGGGGAAAACCTTTTGTGCTATCAGGAAACCCCAAACCTGACCCCTTTCAGCATTTAATCCCTTCGGGGGGGAGTGAAAAATTTTTTAAATTTTTCCTTCCCAAAAGGGCCCTTTTGGCCCGCCGGGCAAAAAACCCCGGGGGAAATTTATGCCTCTTTTCCTTCAAATTCCCGATTAAATTTTCCCGGTTTGGGGATTTCCCCATGGGTTTAAAACCCCACACTGCTTTTCGTTCACGGGCCCTTCGAAGGGAAATTTACCTCCCCTTTTGCCAAAACAACCCCGGAAAGGGGGGAATTGAAAACGGGTTGGTGGGGCCCGCGGGGGGTTTTTGGCCCCCAAAATTGGAAACAATTTTGGCCAAAATTTTTTGGGGGGCTTTTCCTCGACCCGTACACGCCCCTTCCAAACGCCCAGCAAAAAAATATTTTAGGGGAATTTACGTGGGGGGCCGAAAGGGGGGTTTTCAAATTTTAAAGGCAAATTGTGGGGTTCCCGGAAGGGTTTTCCCCCGTTTAACCAGGGGTTCCTTGTGGCCCCGGGCCCCCCCCGGGGGGCCCAAAAACGGGGCGTTTAGCCCAAACTGTTGCAAATTAAAGGGGGTGGGGGGGAAAACCGGGGGGGGGAGACAACCCTTTTGGGGAGCCCCCTTTCCCTTCTGAAAGGGGGGGCCCCCAAAAAGGGGAAAAACAACCCTGGGGGGGGCCGGATCCCCCTGGGTCGGGTTCCACCGGGGGTTCGTTTTTTGGGCCGGGGGCCATTCCCCACCGGGGGGTTTTTTTGTCCCCTTTGGGGAAGGGGCCACCCAAACCCCCAATCATTTGGGCCCAAAAAGGGAAACCAAGAAAAGGGGAAACCCCAAACCCCTTGGTTAAAGGGCCGTGCGGGGAGCAAATTCCCCCTCCGCATTTCAAGTGGAGTTCTCCAACTTGATTCGACATGTGCGTCGCTGTTTTTGTCAATCGGTTTACCGAAAGGGCACCCCGATTTTGTTCAGCAGGGGGTGCACCCGGGTTTTGTCAAATGTTGTTGGGAAACCAAAGGGGTTTAAATGGCCGGAATTGCTTCGGCCCCCGAAAAGGCTGATTAAGTCGTTTTGCCTTGTTTTGCCCCGGGGGGTTCCCAAAAAATCGGAAACAAGCACGAAAAACCTGGGAAAAACCTGGGGGTTTGGCCCGAGCCTAAGGCCCCAAAATTGGTTTTACTGTCTCCCTGTCTAGACGGCCCGGGCGAAGGCGTATGAAGACGCATGGAACGTCTCGGCGGACGCAGGCTGCCGCGCAGTCCGCCTCGCAGTCCGCCTCGCAGTCCGCCTCGCAGTCCGCCTCGCAGTCCGCCTCGCAGTCCGCCTCGCAGTCCGCCTCGCAGTCCGCCTCGCACCCCCAGTCCGCCTCGCAGTCCGCCTCGCAGTCCGCCTCGCAGTCCGCCTCGCAGTCCGCCTCGCAGTCCGCCTCGCAGTCCGCCTCGCAGTCCGCCTCGCAGTCCGCCTCGCAGTCCGCCTCGCAGTCCGCCTCGCAGTCCGCCTCGCAGTCCGCCTCGCAGTCCGCCTCGCAGTCCGCCTCGCAGTCCGCCTCGCAGTCCGCCTCGCAGTCCGCCTCGCAGTCCGCCTCGCAGTCCGCCTCGCAGTCCGCCTCGCAGTCCGCCTCGCAGTCCGCCTCGCAGTCCGCCTCGCAGTCCGCCTCGCAGTCCGCCTCGCAGTCCGCCTCGCAGTCCGCCTCGCAGTCCGCCTCGCAGTCCGCCGCGCAGTCCGCCTCGCAGGCTGCAGCCCGCGGATATCGTCTCGCCGGGCTTGCACTCCACCGGTAAAAAAATGGAGCCCCCAAACCGTGCAAACAACAGCCAGCGCCGTGATTCGGGCATGGGGTGCAAACCGGTGCAAACCAAGTTATCCCTTGACGACCATAGGCACCAGGATTTACCATGGGTGCTTGAGGTTGCAGTGTGGACGGACCCTGGGTCGCCTATGGGTCACTACCCCGGGGGCGTGGCTAAGACGGTGATGTGCATTTTTGCACATAAATTCGTGCGTGTTATGTGGGTGCTCGATTACTTGCTGTACACCAAGTACATAGCAATTTACTGATCTCTTCGATCTGTGTTTGTTGACAGGCACTCGGCATAGTCATCTCGTACACCGTACTTCTAATCCAGACTCAGGGATAGAGATGTCAACCAAATAATTGTGGCGCTTTACCGTCACCGGTAACGTCAATTCAAAGGTGATACTTTTAGTACATTTTTTGGCAATGTTGACAATTGAGTATCGCAAAGGGCCATACAAAAAATTATGGAAAAGAATGCATTCTAGTGTGATTCGTTTGCAATGGGCCAGCAAATCAGTTCTGGCAGTTGTCATATTATTATTTTTTAATCCCGCGTTATTTTAATCAATACCCACTGTCAGCCAAGACTGAAGTGGAGATTTCCGATGATTTGGAACATGGAACAGCATTGTTAGTTTCGGCGTCCACCACGGCGGATTTGGTTCAAGGGGATGCCTCCGTTAAGGAGGCCCCCGGGTGGAAGGAACTGAAGTTCGAATTATATCTGGGAATTGCAACTTAACTATTTGTTAGACTGTACGCCACATACTTTCTGTTTACAAAATAACTTAAGTTTTACTATATTCAATAAGTGTAGCCTATTTGCAGACGAACAGCAGTCAGACTGCAGACTGACCGATGCAGTTTGACTGTAGTTCAACTGTAATTTAACTGGTGAAACTGCAGTCTAACTATAGTTAACTGAGCGATTCTCACGTTTCGGGGTAGTTTTGGCGTCTCTGATTTGCCGAAAGTGAGAAATATCCAATTAAGTTTTTCTGATTATTGGGGTCCTGGATGATACTAGAGTTATGGCAATGGTATTTATAGTAAAGACCTTGTACTGCCTTCCTAAAAACATGAGCCATAAGGTATTCCCATACGTTTTAGTGAGTGTTTTGATCACGGAAATTACGTTATCACGGAAGTTACAAAGTGTGAAAATCGGCTTTAACGGCTGACTCGGGCTTGCTGTGGCTTAAAAGTCGTTCCAGGGTCAAATGATACTCTAAGCCCGACATTTAAGCGGAAAATTTTTTCACCTAGTGCTGCTGCAACATTGGGTAAAGGGTGCCACGGAAGTTACAGGTAATTGTTGATACACGCCATTTTATAATGCTCTAGCCCGCTTTGAGACCGTGTACAGCATCTTAGATTTCCGCGACCCATGCAATTATATCCCAGGGACTCCACTTTGATGGCTTGTGTCATGGAAAGTTAAAAGTTTGGCTTGGGGAGAAGTCCAGAGCTGCCTTTTCGAAATTTGTGTAGTGAAATTGAATATACGGAGGACATTTTTCGTTGCAGCATAAGTACCTTTGAAAGAAGTCTGGCGTATTGGTCTTCGGTTGAAATTAGCTCGAGACATGCCAAGCTTCTAATCCCCATCGACAGTTGCCAGCATTTTCGAACCACACCGCCACACTGGGGGCGGGAAGTTCGAGTATGTTCTCTTTGGACAATCACGGAAGTTACATTTGGGGTATTCCAAACGCTACGTAGACCAATCCAACGAACGTGAACTTTTCAAAATGTGTGCGTTTAGTGGGCAATGGCCCTCCCTAACATCAGAAACAAACCCCATGTCGATATCTGCGCTCGTTTGGGCACAGGAGTCAGAAGAAACGAAACTACCCCGAAACGTGAGAATCGCTCAACTATAGTTGAACTGCAGTCTGTTTACAGGAAAACTGGTAGTTTTTTCGGACATAGCAGTCATGTCTGCAGTTTTAATTATGGTTTCATCTCGCCAGTATTACAGAAGATATAACTCGAGTTTTCTATTGAAGTTAAAATTATTTTCGAGAAGTATTTTCTGAATTTTAGTCACAAGTGTGGATTCGGAAATCACGTTCAAATTTAGTTCTGCGAGCCCCCACTGCCGACCCTGGCCCTACTCCTTCGATGTCCTTTACGTGGTTGTTTGTATTGATGTGCAATCTCCGCAATGAGAGTGGAACCCGGTTGAAGGCCGGGCGGGCAAGTCGGGTGGACCTGTCCATTCCACACGACAAGTGCTGTCGGTATTGACTAAAAATTGGAAGGAGCTAGAATTGACTAACTTCGCCTTCCTAAATCACCACTACAGGTCTCCGAAGACTCCCTTGTAAGGTAGGAGAGTCTGAACAACCGAGCGAATCATGCGTGGACCCAACCTAATTGTCGCCCGTAGACGCCATCGAGTGCTAACACGGAATCCCGTTTTTCTCCACTTCAGTGCAATATTCTGATTCAAATTTTTCTCTAACGTCTAAAGCAGATATTTAGTAAAATGGCAGATGATGTAACTTGCAAAAATAACTTAATTCACTAGCCTAAATAAGAAAAGCAGTTTGACAAGCACTCACAGCGATCCAAGCGCCACCTAGCGGTAGGTCCTTGAAACCTGGCCTTGCAGCTCGGCGGCTGACAGTAGACCACACGCTGTGGTGGGATGAGGATTTTTCCACAGTTTGCGCATTACCCCGACGTCTCAGAATATCGCAATAATTTTTATGCTCAACGTTAAGTTTTGGCTTCACCCCGTCATGCTTAATCTCAGAGAAGAAAAACCATATTGATCGATGTACTGATCATTGCCTTCCAGGCGTGTCGGTTTTCAATAGCACCTTTCGCTCGTCGCCGAGTGAAGAACAAAAGTACTCTAAAAGGCCGGAACCAGGAGCGCGCCACCAAGCGGCCGTTATAGCGAACTGTCAAAAGCTGAACCCTGATTGGTCCAAGCGTAGGTCCGAACGAAGTTCATAGCATCGGCCGCTAGGTGGCGCGCTACTAGTCCCTGCACCCGTACGAAAATGATGGAGTCCGAAAATCAGCCAAAAACAGCCGTTTGCGGACCGTCCGAAACGGCTCCGAAAGTCGGACGGGGACAGTTCCTAAATCCGTCCTCGGACAGTTCCCAAAAACATTGAAAAAGACCAAAGTCAGAAAGATTCCGGACTTGTCCTGAGTACCAACGCTAGTCGAAAAACGGACAATCCGAACAAATGCACCAGCCTGCTGCCCCTCGCCCCTCCCTTTCCCCCTTCCCCTTTCCCTTCGGACGCAGGTTGCTTCGGCCGGCCGGCCGGGGACTTTCCGCGGGAGCAGCGCCCTAGCGCCGGCTCGGCTGAGCAGCCTCCACTGCCGAGGCGGCTCGGCTCCGATCGGCTCGGCTCAGCTCGACTCGGCTCGGCTCGGGGGGCATGGTGGCGGGTCACACACGGCAAGGGACGCGATTAGCCTCCAGTGGAATATTACACACAAATTTTGATCATGCACTAAGTGTATCATACCTGCAAGTACATGCCTGCACAAGCGAACTCGTTGAAGTTGTTTGCAAATGATGGAAACACTTGGGGACGAGGGTGAAAGAAGAGAGGCGAATAAAATAATACACCTCCCACCCTCTCACCGCCCGTCCTTCAAGTTTGAGAGACACACACACTTGCGGTAGCCAGCAGCCAGCGGATAGTTGTTTGTTTGGGACACTTCGTACAGCAACGCACTCCAATTCGATCAATGTTTAAGAAAACGCCGTACACGACACCTCACCAAAAATTACTTCCAGAACAGTCGCGAATCGCCTGAACATCGCTCCGAGAAAGTATCGAGCGAAAAGTAGATGTGACTTGTGCGCGTTTTTCTGTTCACTGATCACAGATGCGCTGCTGTGCGATGTGACTCGCTCAACAGCTCGCCGTAAACTGGCGAAAACTGCATCTCTGGCAGGGTTGCCAGACCCTGAGTAGGCCAGTGCGCCACCAGAGCGCGCTCTGAGCGCCACCGGGCGCCACGGAGGCCAAGTCGCCACAGATCGCCACCGGACCGCTCAAGTCGCCACTCTGGCGCCACGGGTCGCGCTTGATCGCCACCGAGGCGCCACCGTCGCCACCCGTTTCGGCGCGCAGATTCGGCCGGCCGAGGGCCGAGGAGCGCGGAAATGTCCCTAATCCCTGATCTGCTGGCCGAGCGGCGAGTGCGCCGAGCCAAACCGCCACTGGTCGCCACCGATTCCACGAAGTCGCCACTCCAGCGCCACTCGGGAGGCCAAATCGCCACTCAGGTCGCCACCGAAACTCGGCGCCACTTCGGCGCCACTCGGGCAGGCCGAGCGCCACTTTGGCGCTCTGGCGCCACTTCTGGCAACGCTGATCTCTGGCCGCGTCCGCCAGGGCGCCAGGTAACCTCGGCGACCCTTCGGCGTGCTTCGGCATGCCGGCGAGCGGCGATTTCCGCGTACCCAGTTGCCGGGACGTCCGGGCGCCCCGGCTCGGCTCAGGTGCATGGGCCGGCTGGGCTCCGGCTCGCCTCTGCTCGACTCGAGCCTCGCGGGGCCTGGCGGGTTGGGCCAGCGAGGGGCTGCAGTCCGGGACAGCTGCACCTAGGCAGGACTCTTTCGGACAGTCCTTGACTAAGAGTGGTTCTGAAACCAAGAAACGGAACTGTCCGGTCCGGACTCCGATTCGGCCCGGACTCGATTCGGGCCTAACCAGAGGGAAAGCGGAACTGTCCGGGGCTGGTGGACAAGTTTGGAATAGTCCTTGGCTAGGTTTCGGAACTCTTCGCTATTGTAAGGGCACTGTGATTACTTTTGTTCTTCAATCGCTTCCTAATTCCTGACTGCATTGAAAAGGTATACTATTAGTGTAAATTAAAGCGTAATGGTGTCTAAACAATAATCATGCAGATAAAATTACAGATAAAGCGTTGATATACTTGAGTCCAAAGTAGTATTTTAACACACTTTTGAAGTATTGTTAACTTGAGCAATGGTGAGTGTAACATAGCTATAGATCAAGCTGAAGTTTCGACACTATTTAAGAACTGAACTCTTAACTGGAAAAAAACTGCAGTCAGACTACTATTACGAGCGAGGGGGTAACCACTCGCGTAATACCCTGTACACAAAAACCGTGTATTACGCGTAATACACGTGGTCGTAATACCCTTTTCGGGTCAAATGTGCCAAATTTTTGCATTTTAAGGCCGTAATACACGTGTAATACCTCCGTAATACAGCGTAATACCGAGTAGTCTGTACACGATTTCTTGAAGTGTTTACCCCCTCGATTACGAGTACCACCTAAACAGTACACAAACTTGTAAATAATTACAGAGTTTTTTCACACTTTGACTGCACTGAAGACCGCAGTTTGTGCACTGCAGTTTTTTCACTGTAGTCGGTACTCAGTTAAAACTAGACTTCCTTCCACCCGGGCCGGCATGGCCGGGCTGGGGATCCGGCGCTACTGGGTGCACCTTTGCAGATGCTTTCTTGCTCCAAGGCCAAGTATCAGGAGACCTTTCTTGGCGCGATCGGCCCTCTTCATCGCAGTGCACTGTCTGGAAGCAAGAGACTGGACCTGAAACACTCTCCGTCCAGGAGCGTAACATCACGTGAAAAAGACCGTGACAATATGTGAGGCTCCCTCTTTGAGTGTTGTATCACGCTCGTTTGAACGTGGAATAGCTGATTCGCGGCTTATTTACATCCAAACGAGCGAGACACAATGCTCAAAGGAGCTCAGCATTTTACCAGGATCCGCATCACGCTGCTGGAATGAGAGTGCACCAGGAATTTCAGCTATTTGCGGAGCACTCGTGTAAATCTTGTCACAATATCAGAAACCTGTCTGAAAACCTGATCAAAATTCGCGCACCTCTGAAAGCTGAAAACATCCCCTGACATTCTGTAGAACGCAAACCATCAATATCAGAGTAAGTATTCAGAATTTCAGCTTTTAGAGGAGCGCGAATTTTGATCATGATTTTAGACATGTTTTTGACATTCTGACAACATTTACAAGCGACTGTGGGTGCGCTTAAGCACGTGCTTCGTCAAGCACGCATGCTTTGCAAAGTGCCACATGTATCAAATTCAGATATGAGAACATTAGGCAGAAATCCTGACTCCAGTGTTTGCTCGTTTCCAATCACGCAGTTTCATTCTCCGGGTTGCGTCCATCGATTCCTACCTGAGTCAAGACGCAGACCACTGTTAAAAAATGGTTGTACAGAAACAATCAGATGAGTGAAAATTTAGTCGTTCCAAAACATAGAATTTCATCATGAACCAAAGCGAAACAAATGTCGTTGACTCAAGTCAGCGACAATTTGTCGTTAAAGAACAATATTCTTGTTATCACCCTTAACGATACAATTTGTGTGGAAACAACATCTTTTGCAATTATCTGCTTAATTAAAGCGTATTATGACAATTCATCTATATTTTGTTCACCAAGTCATAGTGAAATTACTATTGATTAAAAAAGGAACCATGGAAAATAAATTTAGCGACAAAAGTACTCCATGAGTACTTGTCGCAGAAGTAACAAAATCTTTTTCAACTTACAATACTTGTCGTTGACTTACAACATTTGTTGTTGGTCAACGACTTGTTTTTGAAAGTGGACTGTTGATGTGTTATTACAAGTTAGTTGTTGTGAAATTATCCTTAAGTTCCTGTACGACTATTGTTTAACAAGCTAATTCGTTCCACAACAAATCTTGTCGTTAAAAAAGTTAGCGACAAATGTGTCGCTAAGTTACTACAAAATTTTTATCGGTGACGACCGCCAGAGCAAGGACTGAGAGACGGACGATCGAGGTGGCCATGGTTGCTATGCCGGCCAAGCAGCCACTATTTAAATGCCGCGACGTCTGGCAAGTGGTGCACTTTCGACGGTGCTTCGTAGGAACGAGAAACCGTTGTGCTTATCGTGCACGACCTCCCTATCGGCGAACGGCGCCGAACGCCACATCCTTGGCGATATACCGTGCGCATGTGATGCGTAAAAATGGAATCGATTGAGGGCGAAGTCGATTCGAAAACGAAACGAAAATGGAAAGTTTCTGAATCAAATCTTTTATGGACCGAAACGGCAAAAAAGTGCTCATTTCGACCCTCTTTAGACATAAATACACTGTTAGAAAAGATTGTTGAATTACGACAAAAGTTTCAACAACTTAGTCGTACCCAAACAACAAACTCATTCAAAATTAAAACGACTAAAACATCGTTCCAAAACAATTTCTACCGTTTAAGAAAATAACAGCTATATAGTCGTTCAAAGACGAGATCCCTGTTTTAAAATGACAAACTCATTCACTAACGACAGAACTGAGCAGATCAAAAATTACATGAAAAAAATCTTAAGTTCACTCAAAAAAAATAATATTTTCTTTAAAAGAGAATCCGATATCTGCTGAAACATGTTCCAGGTACTCCACTGTCCATGCCCAGTTGCTTTGCTCCGACTTGAATTGTTTGCCTACCGCTGACTGCGCACTGCTTGAAGCCAACTGACCTGCAATGTCGCTGATGAAGAGCTTGTTGCCTCTATCCGTAATTGCAATTGCAATTGCACAAAAATGTCCGTAATACGGATAGGATGTATCCGTATGAAGTGTAGTGTGTAGAAGTATCGCCAATATTTGGCGATACTTTTTGGTATTGCCAAAACCACGGCATTAAAAAAAGAACTTGTCCCCTTGATTTGTTCAACGTTTATTGCCACATGGTGGCAATACGCCGAGGTATCGGCGATACATTTGTGTATTGCCGTTTTGAAGGCAATACTTTTCTGGAAGGCCGTTTATTGGCAATACTTGATTGTATCGCCAAAAAAAAGTACCAAAAGCATCGCCATTAGATTTACAGTGCTGTAGTGTAGTGTGAGGGGTGTACGGAAATGGTACAGAAAAAATATAGCACACTGTAAAAAATACCGTACTTTTGCACGGAAATGGTAAAGAAAAATAAGGTACGGAGAAAAGTACGGAACGTTCCGTACCTGCTCCATATGAACCCATGTAAATGGGTACGGAAAAAAAGTACGGAACGTTCCGTAGTTGGCAAGTACGGACGGACCAGGCAAGACTAGACATGTTCCGTACTTTTTTCTGACAGTGTACGGAGGTACGGAGGAAAAGTACGACACGTTCCGTACTTCCTCCATATGAACCCATGTAAATGGGTACGGAAAAAAAGTATGGAACGTTCCGTAGTTGGCAAGTACGGACGGTCCAGGCAAATTATTGACCAGACATGTTCCGTACTTTTACCGTACTTTTCTCTCACAGTGTAAGTAATTCTCAGAGTTGCCGCGATTTTCAAAGACTGACCCATTTCAAGTTTTACATAAAATAAGGTCGAAATTATCTAAAGCCATGTGATAATGGGGCAGAACAAGATACAAAATAGTTTCAAACCGGTTTTAACGAATCGTCTTCTCTACGAACTGAAGTGTGTACTCAGTACGCGTCCGTAGACGCATACTTGCAAGTACAAACCTGCAGATGCATACTTGGATGAGTAAGGTATGCATTTGTAGATGTGTACTCAGCCAAATATGCATCTGTAGACGTACTCAGCTGAGTATTCATCTGTGGACGTCTACCCAGCTAAGTATGCATCTCTGGGTGTACTTGCAAGTTATGCATCTGTAGACGCATCACACTTCAGGTTGTAAAGTGTTTGGAATTCCTACTAATGCACTGTAAAAAAGTGATCAGAATTTTACCATACACACTTCAAATTGGATGGAAAGACTTCGCGTCAAAATATGGCGAGACATTAAAGTCTCGCCAAGTTTTGGTCAGACCTGAAAGTCTCGCCAAAATTTGGCCAGACAAAAAAGTCTCGCCCCAAAACGGTCAAACACAAACGTATGACCACAAAATGGCGAGACTTTTGTGTCTGACCACGGCCTTAAGGCCGTAACCGTCCGGCGCATTACGGCCTTTAGGTGGCGGTCAGGCACAACAGTCTCGCCATTTTATGTTCAGACTTGTGTGTATGACCGTTTTGTGGCGAGAAGTCTGACCTTTGGATTTGTAGTGAAATAAGGAAAATTTTGGGAATAATTGGGACACCAATTCCTCCTCCCCCCCCACCCCTAACGATATGACCCTATGTTCACTATTTTGGAAAAGATGCTTGGCCGTTCTTTTTCAGCAACCAAAGAAATGCACGAAAAATGGCCACTTTGTAGACGGTTGTGTGTAGTTGTCAAAGTCCGCCATGTGGAATGAAGTCCCGAAGGGACTATTGCAAAGTGCACTTTAAAACCACAATTTTTTTGGTCTCGTAGGGGTTGTTTGAGGTTCATTATGTCCGTGCCCAACCTCCAAGTGGTGTGGACTGCGAACTTCACGATCGAGTCAGGGCATACGTGCGCGTGCGCGGTGCGCTGATGACGACATCATAATGCTAACTGGGCATGGCAACCTTTTCTGGTTGTGATACTTGAGTATCTAACCTAACCTTTTAAATATGCAATTGAGAAAAATATCTTGAAAATCAAAAATGTTGCTGTTTTTAAATTCTTTTGAATATATTAAGACGAAATTTATGTAACTGTGACGGTTTGCGAAAAACAACCGTTTGTGTGGTGCGAAGTGCCATGATGGTAGAGGCATATGCTTTCACCCAGACAAAGCGTAAACTCGGTACGGTTTATCGCTTTGAGGACTCTATGAAAGACGTCGGTCAGATGTGTGCCGGAAAATGGGACCTTATCCTACGTACATGCACGCCCAACTTAACCTAACTGATGGGCTGAGAACTGATTCGAAGGAGACATTGGTACTTAGATCGAGCGCTTAATCTGTGTTCGCAGGAAAATATGGATGACCACACCAACGAGGGTCATGTCACCCCAACAAGGGCCGTGGAGGAGCGTGAAGAGAGCGAATGCACACCATCTCCGGTTGCCGCCTTCTCACGGCTCTTTGACTCTCCAGACCTAGGAGGATGGATGCCTCTCGCTCAAGGAGAGGATACGATCGACGCCATGCTTAATGAATTGGACAAGGACTTCGCTCAGCCGGGAATGGGTTTCCACCTGTCACCATCGCGCAGGGCAGCTGGCGAGTCCCCTGAAAAATTTACGGCTTCGGCAGCCTCTTCAGCTGTGAAAGGAATAATTGCCTTAACACTCTGCAAACTGAAATGTGTGCATGGCACGCTCTATTTGGAGCATGCCAAGAAGCACGCTTTAAATTGGAGCGTGCTTGGCAGGCACGCTTTAAATTAGAGTGTGCTTACCAGGCACGCTCCAAATTAAAGCGTGCCTGCCAGGCGAGCTTAGCAAGCTCACTCTAAACTACAGCATGGACGGGACGGCAACCACTAAATATGTAATAATGCAAAGTTTCCATTTTATACTTTAGGGAAACAACATTTTAAGTCTTGTTAGTGCTGAGATGTGTTTTACGTCAACAAAGCTTCTCCGCTGTTTTCACAACTATGGATGTATAAAATGAAAACTTAAAATGTTGCTTCCCTAAAGTATAAAATGGAAACCTTGCATTAGTACATATGTATTAATAATTAAAAAATAAAAGCCATTACGAGCATTCAGGAGTGTGGTTGCCGTCCCGTCCATGCTGTTTACTTTGTGTTCATTGTAATTGTTTCATCCTAGAGTTCAAGTGTAGGTGAAACACGCGGTCTGGGACTTGACCCACAGACGGGCTTACTTTGCGTTTTGTTTGAGTAGAAGTTGGCAGTGCAAGGTCTAGCAGGTCGTCTGCTCAGTGCATCAGCGCGGTGACCTCCGCGACGGCGTGTGGTCCCTCCCGGTGCGAGGTCAGCACCCAGACCGAGTGCCCCTGGGTGGAGACGCGGGGCACACGGACTACCACCGTGGGGGACCCTAGGACCCTGTCGTCCACCAAGGCAAAGGCAGAGGCGGCAGTGCGGGGCAAGGCGCCCCCGGCCAAGGCGACCAAGAAACAAGCCACAGCAATGGCAGCATACCCTACTCTGGGCCTTCAAACAAGCGTATGAATCCTACACCTTGTGTAAGTGATCTTCCAAAACTACCTGCTGAAGTCTTGTGTTTTGCATGGAGTATTGACACATCTTGTTCTTTTCTGTTTCTAGCGCCTCCATGCCAAGGCTACGGCCTCCCATGATCATGACCTGGTTCCGCCCCCGAAGGCCTTTGGGAATTGGGGCAGCTCCCTGTGCACATTCAGTTGCTTTTTCCTTTGGAGGGCATCTTTGAGGACCAGGAGTGGGACAGTATGGCCCTTCTTCAAACCTGGCCAACATTCTTGTGTGCGAACTGCCGGCACCGTGTGTTTGTAAGTGGGCGTGTGTGGCTCGGTTGTTATACTGGGTTGGGTTCCCGTCCTGCATGTGTCCTTTCTTCCTTTTAAGGAGGAACTCCCTGGCCCAGCCTTACCAGTGGGCCACTTTGCCCCAGAGGTGTTATTCCATCTCGTGCCCCCACCCTCCCCACTAGGGTGCCGCGAAAAACACTTTTTTCTGCAATTGATATCGGCTCGGGTGGCAAATTGTTCTTTCAGGGGCCAATATGAACGGTTTTAAATATCACCCCGATCGGATAATATCTTCAGCCCCCACAACGGCCTTGAAAATCGGAAAAATGGTTAAAAACGCCTTGTGGGTAGGCAATTTGTTTGCACGCTTCCGGCCACTTCCAGGCATGTCCTTAGGCGCATAAAGTCGAAAGGGGACCCCCTTAGCCCAAAATAAATTTGTGGACAACCTCACTCAATGATTAATACCAGTTTCTGCAAAGTTAACGCATGATATTTAACAATTCTGTCATGATTTGCCTGCAAATTCCCACGTATGTCAGTTTCGCCAATTTCGACCGTCTTTTTCTCTGATCCGACTTGCTGCCGAAGGGTCGATTTAGGAGGGGTTCAGTTCAGGTCAAAAATCGCTAGGACGCTCCGTTTGGCGGGAAAATTGGGTCTAAATAAGCGAAATTGCAGAAAAATTGATTAATTTGACCCAATTTTCCCGCCAAACGGAGCGTCCTAGCGCCGTCTGCTACAACAAAGACAAGCGTCGCTACTCGCTGGGCCACAGCGAGTGGTTGAGGGCGACGGGAGCCGAACCCAACATGTGCCACAGCAAGATGCGTGTCTGTCTTATAGTGGCGTTTGAGCGGCCGTCCACAACATCGCTGTGGCCGAGCGAGTAGCGCCGCTGGTCTGTGTTGACGAAGACGGTGGTTCGAAGCGGAAGTTCGTGGGTTCAAATCCCGACTCCGCTTGGGAGAAATATATTTTCCATGGGGCGTGGGGCTTCGCGGGTGGGGCTTGGCAGGGTCTCTCGCGAGACCCCGCGATGTCTTTAACAAGGCTTCGGGGTGTCTGCAGGATGGCTCCGCGTTGTCTCTCGCGAAGCTCCGCGTGCTCCCCCGCGTAAGTGTTCTGTCGCTAATCCCTGTTTGTCTTGTGGGTGCGTGGAGTATTGACACTTCTTGTCCTTTTCTGTTTGCAGCGCCCGGTCAAGGAGAGGCTTGGTGCTAGACCTGGCTACCTCCCACGGGGGTTGGCAATGAAGCCAGTCCCTGAGTCTCCTCACCAACTTCATTTCACCCCTACCCTGCGTGACCTGAATGAAGCTGGAGGTGATTTTATTTTTTATTAAATTTTATAAAGGTCCTTATAAAAATTTATTGGAGTTTTATATGATAAAGTAAGCTTTTATAAGGGCATTCGTATAAAATTTCATAACATTTTATAAAGATCTTTATAAAATTTTATAAACACCTTTATTAAATCTTATACATGACTGAATATAATTATATACAGCGGTATGCAATCTGTATAAGGTTGAATGAAGCGATTGGTCATGTATTAAGTTTTATACAGGTGTGTATAAAGTTTTATAAAGGGTTTTATAAAAGTTTATACAGGGTTTTATAAAGGTTTACTCGCGCTGCTCGCTGGGGGCTCCGCCCCCAGACCCCCGCATGTGTGGGGCGCGTGCCGAAGTCTTTTCAGTAAGTCCGTGGTGACCAAAGGCTAATTTTCTAAGGAAGTAAATGTACTGCTTCTATGAAAGGCCTATTTAACAGCTTTAGACCATATAATAAGCTACTTTTACTGCCCAAATAGATAGCTTGTATTGCATTCGCTACTGTGGCAGTCAATGGGTGCATACAAGGTCCGGAAAATATTGAAGACTGCTTTGACAAGGATAGAGGTGAATGGAAAAAAACGCAAGTCTCTACGACCACCCCTTGACCCTAAACATTTCTATGAGTGAGTGAGTGAGTCAGTGAGTGAGTCAGTCGGATTGGGGCTTTATAGGTTCTTGATTGATGACTTTGAGGACGTTGCCGGTGACGGGGCCTGATTGCGGCATAGTTTCGGAAATGTCTCGACCAGATCTACCGATGGGGCGAATAAAAAATTTTAGTCGGTCGGTCCCTATTTTTGAAGATTGAGTTGATTTTGTTAAATTTAGGCCTATTTTATCGTTTTGAGGATGTTGCCGGTGACGGGGACCCGATTGCGGCACAGTTTTGGAAATGTCTCGTCCAGACCTACCGATGGGGCGAATAAAAATTTTGAGTCAGTCGGTCCCCTTTTTTGAAGATTGAGTGGATTTTGTTAAAATTAGGCCAACTTTTATATCGTTTTAAGGGTGTTGCCGGTGACGGGGACCAGATAGCGGCATAGTTTCGGAAATGTCTTGACCAGACCTACCGATAGGGCAAATAAAAATTTTCAGTCGGTCGGTCCCCTTTTATGAAGATTGAGTGGATATTGTTGAATTTAGGCCTATTTAATCGTTTTGAGGGTGTTGCCGGTGACGGGGACCCGAATGCGGCACAGTTTCGGAAATGTCTCGACCAGACCTACCGATAGGGCGAATAAAAATTTCCAGTCGGTCGGTCCCCTCTTTTGAAGATTGAGTGGATTTTGTTGAATTTAGGCCTATTTTGATATTTTTATATCGTTTTCAGGATGTTGCCGGTGACGGGGACCCGATTGCGGCACAGTTTCGGAAATGTCTCGACCAGACCTACCGATAGGGCAAATAAAAATTTTCAGTCGGTCGGTCCCCTTTTTTGAAGATTGAGTGGATTTTGTTGAATTTAGGCCTATTTAATCGTTTTGAGGATGTTGCCGGTGACGGGGACCCGATTGCGGCACAGTTTAGGAAATGACTCGACCAGACCTACCGATAGGGTGAATAAAAATTTTCAGTCGGTCGGTCCCCTTTTTTGAAGATTGAGTGGATTTTGTTGAATTTAGGCCTATTTTTATCGTTTTGAGGATGTTGCCGGTGACGGAGACCCCATTGTGGCATAGTTTCGGAAATGTCTCGACCAGACCTACCGATAGGGTGAATAAAAATTTTCAGTCGGTCGGTCCCCTTTTTTGAAGATTGAGTGGATTTTGTTGAATTTAGGCCTTTTTTTTTATCGTTTTGAGGATGTTGCCGGTGACGGAGACCCCATTGTGGCATAGTTTCGGAAATGTCTCGACCAGACCTACCGATGGGGAGATTAAAAATTTTTAGTCGGTCGGTCCCCTTTTTTGAAGATTGAGTGGATTTTGTTGAATTTAGGCCTATTAAATCGTTTTTTGAGGATGTTGCCAGTGACGGAGACCCGATTGCGGCACAGTTTCGGAAATGTCTCGACCAGACCTACCGATGGGGCGAATAAAATTTTTTAGTCGGTCAGTCCCCTTTTTTGAAGATTGAGTGGATTTTGTTGAATTTAGGCCTATTTAATCGTTTTTTGAGGATGTTGCCAGTGACGGAGACCGGATTGCGGCACAGATTCGGAAATGTCTCGACCAGACCTACCGATGGGGCGAATAAAAATTTTTAGTCGGACGGTCCCCTTTTTTGAAGATTGAGTAGGTTTGCTCGGAAACGGTGAGAAATTTGTTCCCCTTTTTTGTAGATAAAGTAGGTTTTCTCGGAAACGGTGAGGAATTTTCAACTTTTGGGATTTTTCCCAATTTTCCCATAAAATTTGGAATTGAATGGAAAAAACCGCAAGTCTCTACGACCAGAGCAGTTCTCGCGAGATGTGGTAATTTCGTGTCCTCTCTCTGGTTCTTCCAACCTGAAGTCGATTTTAACCGGGTCTTTTCCTACCTTTATGTTTTTTGACACTGCGGACAAGGTACAACTCTCATCAAGATGAAATTTTGCCTCCTTCCACCGTTAAATTGCAAGTTTTACCCTAGAATGTAATTTCCGTGGACACTTTTTGATGTCCTACGCTCCAGATTTGGGGCTTCCCGCCTCTACTACAGCCCAAGGGAGTATGAGAAATCACTTTCGCTAAGTGCATTTTGTTCTACGCAAGTGAGGCTACGTTTTGACGTGTAGAACGTATCTCTCGGGTAAAATTTGCAGACACAAGATGATTCCGAAAATTGTCTTCCACAACTGAAATTCAAAAAGTCTAAAATCGGTTTTTTTGGGACGGTTTTTCTACCTTACGTGCGACCGTTCTGAAACTTTTCTCATATTGTTGGTGCATTCGTTCTACACAATTTGCAAAGTGGCGGAGTAATGTGGCACCATTAGAACGGAAAATATAAAGTTAAATAAGTTCCAAAGCGGCGAAAAAATTGGCCTAGCAAGCAATAAGTGTAATTTCCGTTCCACCCATTGCTTGCAGACCATTCAAAATTTTGATTGCGAACCAATCCTTGTGTGTTTGCCTTGTGGACAAGTTGTTCCAGTAAAATTTTGGTTCCGGTGGCACTTTTGGTTTGGCTTGTAAAACCCATTTCATGCAATAATGTAATTTCCGTGGACTGTAATTTCCGTGGACAAAATGGGGTTTTCGTTGCGTTTCACGTGATTTTCGCCTCGTAAGGGGCCTCAGCTCTAAAGTATGTCGATATTTTTCTGTTGTAAACCTCTCTTATGGAAGGAATGCCATCCTGGAGGGAAATGGGCATGGGGAATGGGAAGGCAAGCTGAGGAAAGTCGTGGCGTAGTTTAACACAACATCCATCAGGTTAAACCCGCCGCAAGTCACAAAATGGACCCAAACGAGCAGCGAGCCGACTTTTTGCAAGAGTCTAAGCTTTCGACTCCACTCATCAGATTGGTCAAACACTGTATTTTCTGGACAACCAAGCGGTTTTATGCTGCCTTGTTCGGCGCGGCCGGCATACTGCCTTGACAGTTGTGACTGCGAGTCAGTGAAACCGTTCAACGTTGATTATTCAGATCGGAAAGCTTAACCGAAAGCTTAATGTCTTGCGAAAAATAGGCTCGCTGTATTTTGGGATCTAGCTGACCGTTTAAGACTTGCGGTGGACTTAACCTGACCGATATGTTAAGCAACATGACGTCTTTCCTAAGCTTGCCGTTCGAATGCTAAGACCCAGTTTATCGAATAAATTGCAGCAATCTGTTCCTCAAACTCAAAGAGAAATCTTTCCGAAAATATAGGTTAGTAAACGTGGGTGCCAGATACCCAGTGAGAAATGGCTCATCGAATCGACGTCGATTCAACATCGATACGGTCGACGATGTTACGTAGATTTGGAACGTCGAATCGACCCATATATGGTCCCAGAATCGATGTGCCGTCGACATCGACAATATCGACGAATTAAATCGACGCAAAATCGACCAATTCTAGGGAGCGGTTAGCGACCCTCCTGTAAGGTCGCTAGGAGCGGTCTCACAGTTTTTCAAAAAGTTACAAAAAGGATCTCAAAAAATAAATAGTAAAAGAGTTTTCATTGTAATTGTTTATTTGTATTGCATACATAGACAAGGATTTCAAGAGCTCAGGGTTCTCTAAAGTATTGAAAGACTAGAACATAAAACGACTAGAACAAAAACTAGAACTGACACTGGAGTGGGTCTAGTCCACAAGAAATTCCCTATCTAATGACTGAAATACCACACCCTACAGAAATGAACACATAAGGGCTTAACAAAAGTAGCAAGTAGCTTTTTCAATTAAACTATACAAAATGAGATTTTGATCCAGACCTTTAAAAAGACAACAAAACAATAAACTCTTTTTCATGTTCTCCCTTTAGGAGGCAACATAACAAACATTTAATGGCTTCCAAATATGTACTCTAAGCCTAATCTCGATAATTCAACTGTAAAGATTAACACCTAACATGCTTATTTTGTCCAAGCCTTATTGTGACAAACCAAGCAAGACTGCGATCATCTATATTTGGCCAGACAAAAATCACTTCTAGGCCTAAAATTTAAAAACTAAAAAAAATCTTGCAGGGTGACAAGTTGGGTAAAATAAAGCATACATTCATGTTTAGGATGACTTCTTTTTCTTGGCCTTCTTCTTCTTTTTCTTTTCACCGTGCTGTTCATCTTTGGAGGCCTCTCTCTTACTTTTGCTTCCATCTCCCTGCTTCCTGTAAGGAGCATTACGAAGCCATGACCTGGCAGCCCTTTCGGCTTCTTGCAGATCGGAGTTTTCAACTTTAGATAGTACAGCACCTGGAGATATGAGGAAGAAAAAACATAGAGAAAATCAAGCAATTTATAAATAATTTAGAGTTAATATTTGTACAAACATAACTAAGCACCTACCTTGGACTGATTGCCACAACTTTAATTCTTTAAAGCCTCGTTTGACACCTTTGCCATCAAAGCTATAATACTTTGCAACAGCGTTGTCCATCACGTTCCTGAGTACCCTCATCACAGATTTATATTCTTTATTTGGTTCCTTGTTGACAAAGCAGGAAAGCATAATAGACTGCAAAAAAATAAAATAAGAAAACAAATAAGACCACGAATTATACTTATGTTTTCACGATAAACAAGAAAAAATTTACATACCAAACTAGTGACATTCTCCGAATTCTCTAAGAACCTCTCCAGAACTGCCAGTTCTTTCTTGGTTTTAACCGGGGTTCCTGGCATACCATCGGGCCTGTTTACCTTTAATACACCCGGCGACTCTACTTACTGAAAATGGCGTCGTCGAATCGCGTTCTCGGCGGTCAAACAGAGAGACTAAACAGGTGGTACGGAATTCAAATTAACTTTTACTTTGGTCTGAAAAGCTCTAATTCGTAACTGATTTAAACATAATAATTTATGGACGTACTTTGACGTAGTAAAACACACTTATTAAATACTGCCTTGAAACTGCTTAACACTGCACCTGAGCTGATGAGCACGAAGGCGCGGAAATTCAAACCCATCAAGAACAGGGGCTAGGTTACATCGATTTTCTTCCGTCGGCTATCTACATCGATTTGACGTCAAAACGACGTCGATTATAATATTTTCAATTTTTTTAAAGAAATCATCCAGAAAATACGAGTTTGAGATGTTCTTTTATCTAATTCGACTTGTTTGCAAACAAAAATGCCATTTTTCGCGAACGTCGAAATGACTTCGATTTGTCGACCTTTCAGCCATCGACCAGCAGACGATGTTGTCGACAGCGAATCGACGTCGATTCGATGAGCCATTTCTCACTGGGGATATGCTTCCAGGAGGGCTAAATAGACCGCACCGCGAGCGGGACGCTGTCTCGACCCGCCGATCAACTTTTCCTCAACAGATCGCACCCATTATTTAATATTTTCCGAACATAGACACGCAGGAGCTGATCAAGAGGGACTTTCCTCCGTTGTCCACTCTAGGGCCCATCATTTGCCAAGTGTGAGAGGTACCGCCTGGGAGGTAAACACTATGCAACCGTGAAAATGAATTCACAGTTGTTCCCGAGACAAGGGAATTGAGCCGGGAGAGGTGGACACCGGACCCAGTCCTGCTCAAAGAGGCTGTTCTAAGGGGGGGGGGGATGTACACCTCGTCACATACTGGTCACACTACGAGTGGGACCTTGTAGCCGCACGAGGTTCTTCTCCGCCAGTATAACGTGGCACCCCAGTAAGGACGGCCGTGTCCCGTTTGGCAGTGCCCGCGGGCGTCGGGCCCGAAACGGCATACGATCAAACTGTGGTCTAGCCCGAAATTTTATTGTGAGGTACGCAACATGGAACCAGAATGCACAGGTGTGGAGGGAGCTGCTTAAACTGCTAGGCGTTTGCGTTCGTATCGCACCTATTCTAAGGGCCCATTAAAATGTAATTTCCGTGGACAGTTTCTGAGGCTGTGTAATTTCCGTGGACGGCAAAAAAAATAAAATTGCGATATTTCCGATATTATTGGGGTGATAGCTCGCCCCGATGAATCCATGATCCCTAGTGATGTTCTTAACAAGATAAATGCAAAAAACCCGGTTTCAATTGAACTTTTTATCAAAAAGTTTCAGGGCCCAAAATTAACCATTTCGCGAGAACTGCTCACCACTCCTTCACCCCAAACATTTCTATGAGTGAGTGAGTGAGTGAGTCAGTCAGTGAGTCAGTCGGATTGGGGCTTTATAGGTTCTTGATACAGGGTCCCTTATAAATTTTAATACAAGTTTGTACATTTTAATTAAAAGTTAATAAACATTTCTAAATGTTTATAAGAACATTTATAAAATTTTATAAAAAATAAAATCACCTGGGGGGTCAGCACGTTTTTTGGTCTTTGAATGTAAGCTGCATGATGACTGCTGTGACGATGTTTCCAAGACAGATGCACTCTGAATAAGTTTTTGTTCTTGCCTTACATGAATCACCATAAGGACAAATTAACTCATGACCTGTGTCTATGTGGGTCTCCAAAAAGAGCAATTCAATACTGGACACTGAAAATAGGGGAAAGTTTTACCCTGTGTCTCATTGCTTCGAGACAAATTGGACTGGAAGGCACTACAAGGAAGGTGTACGCCAGACCGTGTCTTGTCGTTACAGGCGTCGCGATGCTGCGCCAGTTACGACAATCCACGCCTGGCGTTCACACCTATAGTCGGCCCAGCCAAAGGTCTCGCTTCTTCCGACCGTTTAAACTGCCCCCCTCCACCGCGAAACTCCTCCCGCACCAGCCCCCCCCCCCTGTGGAGGGGGTATTTGCAACGGTCACAACACTGAAATTCAAAGGGTGAGACATCTGACCGATTTTCGGTGATACAAAAAGTATGACCGAAAAACGGTCATACACAAATGTATGACCGAAAAACGGTCATACTTAAATGTATGACCAAAGAAAAGGTCAGACATCAGCGAGACTGGCTATTGTTTAGCTTGGGGATATATCAGCCTTTACCCGTGATACACTATAAAGTATGACCGTTTTTCGGTCATACATAGAAGTATGACCGTTTTTCGGTCATACATCGAAGTATGACCGTTTTTTTGGCCATACATCGAAGTATGACCGTTTTTCGGTCGTACATTTCAGTAAGACCGTTTAAGCGGTCAAAAGTATGACCTTTCTATTTTCAGTGAAGAAGCAAGACGTTTGGCTGGGTCGACTATACCTTGGCCTGCGGCGCTTCCTGTTTGCCCCCGGGCCCCAAACCCCCGGGTCGGCCCAAAAGGGCCCAATTTTTTGGGCCCCGGGGGCCCTTGCCTTTTTAGCGGAAAAAACGAACCCAAAAAATTGTAAAAACACGCCGAAAGGTCCACAATCCGTTAAGTACCGGTGGGTTTTAGGGCACCATTATTACGGATGAATTTATTTGAAATTAGGGGATTTTTGTCCTTAATTTACAAAGATTTGGGAATGGGTATTGTTTACAAGGGTTATCAAAAATTCGGAAAATTTTCAAACTTTTTATTACGGAAAAAAATCCTAATTTCAAACAAAATTGATTCCGAAAGGGCTGCCCTCCTCCCTACAAACAGGCCATTCCGTAAATTTATTTTCCCTAACTTTTCGGTTTTGAAAATTCTAATCCCTGTTTTCCCCGGGCATTTTTTTCCCTTGCTTCCCCGGTTTTAAGGTTTTAATTTTTGAAACACCGTAAAGAGTTTTACGTCCGTACCATACGGATATTTTCGTCTGTATGTTACGGACACGAAAACCTTTGTATTACGGATAAAATCATCCGTATTACAACCAAAATCCATCCGTAATTACGCTTGCACAAAACCGTCCGTATTGCGGATACATGGTGTCCGTAAGGAGTCTTGAGTGCACCTCTTCCAACCCCTCGGTGGGTCCTGATCTGGCCAACTGCCGAAGTCGGCCTCCTGGATCCCCCTTCCAACCCCTCGTTGTAAAAGTCTTGACGAGACCAATCGAACGACGCAATAACTTTTTTCAGTCGGTCAACCCCCTTTTACCAAGATCCTGATCTGGTCATTTCGTAGTACCGGCCGCTATCGTCGGAACCAGGTCCATTGAATTTGTCAAACCTGATTCCAAAGCCACCCCTACAGGCCTGCTAGCACCATTACGGCCGAAATCCTCCTCCCGCTCATGTAAACCATGCCTTTTCCTGCCGTTTTTGTAGTGGTTTTTGGTGTTTTAACTGCAGGGACTGAGACAGAGAGATCAATATTGGCTACTGACCCTGCAAATCTCCGCTGAATCGGCCGAGCCGTTCAGGAGTAGAAGTGCGGACACAGTCAGACTCAGACAGACAAAACCTTCCAACCTCGCTTCCAACCCCACGCGAGTAACAACCAACGCTGTCTCCCAACCAACAACTATATAGTCATCATCGTTCAATTTTATTTCATAGAATTACAACTAGGCAAACAGAGAAGTTGCTATGCGTAATTCGTGCAATCCTTTTGTCACTACTTTGCCAATACTTACAGCGCAGCCAGGCCCAGCTCTAAGCGGGCCCCCTCCCAGACCACCACGCAAGGCGACAGGCACCGCCACGCCAGTCTGTTGCCAGGCCATTGTCGCTCTTCTCGCCACAAGTTCACACAGCACGACGCACAGCGAGGCTACGTCCCGGCCATTCCCGGCATTCGCTTGCCGCCGTCCTCATCGGAAGGACCGCCTCTGCTCCGAATGTCTTCCGACCCAGAGGCCGTCGCCGCCATGGCGGAGGTCGTGAAGACGACGACGGCCGTCGTGAAGCAGGACGTCAAGAGCGCCGCATTCCCCAAGGCGCTTGCCCGCTCGCCATGGAGCGGCGCCAAGCCAAGCGGGACATGCCGGCCATGGAGGCTGCCTTCAAGGCTGCGAGGCTCCAGCTGGCGGAAGAAATGGCCGCGGACCTGGCCAACAAGTGGGCGGCCCACTACACCGCCCCCACGTCGGAGGAACGCTAGCATGGCAGCACCAACCTAACGGCAAGGTTAAAAGCCGACAAAACGGCCTTTACTAAGGCCACTATTCCATTCCCGAGACAATGAATTTTCAAAGACCACATTGATGAACCCTCCTCCCCTTCTAAGGAAAACACAATCAGGCTACGTTCTCGCCATTACTGGCATTCGCTTGCCGCCGTCCTCATCGGAAGGACCGCCTCTGCTCCGATGTCTTCAGACCCAGAGGCCGTCGCCGCCCACAGTGGGTCAAAACGGTCAAAAGTGCGAAAAAAATATTTTATTATTGAAATCGACTCAGTTCGACCCCAAAAGACTACCAACCAAGTATTTTGCGGTTTGGGCCAAAAATAGCGATGTAGGGGGTCAAAATCGAAAGTTACTATCCCCGCACGCTCCAGGCGAGGTCAGATTCGGATTCCTCGCTAAAAATTGGTCCAGAATCACTAAGAAAAAACTTTACTTTTTCAAAAATAAAAAATGGAGGGGTCAAAATCGAAAGTTACTATCCCCGCATACTTTAGGCGAGGTCAGAATCGAATTCAGCGTCAAAAAGTAATTCAGAATCACTTGGAAAAAACTTTACTTTTTTTGATGCAAAATATTGAGGGGTCAAAATCGAAAGTTACTACCTGCGCATGCTTTAGGCGAGGTCAGAATCGGGTTCCGCGTCAAAAAGTAATTCAGAATCACTTGGAAAAAACTTTACTTTTTTTGATGCAAAATATTGAGGGGTCAAAATCGAAAGTTACTATCTGCGCATGCTTTAGGCGAGGTCAGAATCGGATTC